GAGGAATACCTGGTATGGAAGTCGGAGCAACGCGCGTGGGAATGCGCTATGGTCACTGAAGCAAGACGGTGTTCCCCGCAGGTGAAATGACCACGACAACTTGAATACAGCGATGTCGAAAATATCGAAATTACAGCTATCTTTGAGCTGCGCGAGGAGCGCGGTTGATTGAGTGTACCGACTGTATCTGACGACGAGACGTTAAATAACCTGGAAGACAAGCTCTGTACATGATATTGAATCTATACAAGGGCAGGTGGAAGCGTCTGAACTCAGCAACCACTGCATCACGATACTAGACCCTACTAGCTCGCAACACCTCCTACGGTGTAGCCATGACTCTAATCCAACCAGGTAGCTTCGTACGGCGTCGCGTTGTCTGGGTAGTGGAGTGAGGCAACGAGGTCCAACGTTTTGTTCGATGGAGTCCAACCCAGAATGAACATCCAGCCTTCGGATGTATCACTGAGATACATATAATCTGTCAAATCGCTGGGATCACCGTTGGTCTTGTCCTCCCAAGGCGCAACGCGAAGACCACCCGCAGAACCAAGAGTCACGGGAGCTTCGTAGAAAGTCACTGCCGTTTCGCTTTCGAGGTACCCAGCATCGTCCAGCTCGAATGCGGCAACGTATCCATTTGCACTGGGGCTCTCCCAACTGCGGGTCGAGGCAAAGAGATACTTGCCATCTCGAGATGGTTGGACGGTATTGCTTCGGAACGTGAACTGGCCTCGTACATCTGTTGTCTTTTGCATCAATCATCCGTATTGGCGTTTATCGATTGCACAGGGTCTCTTACCATCGGGAATAACGCTGCCGCGTTGGACATGCCGGAGTTGAGTCTCGCCAATTTCGTAAACATCAAGCCATTGAGCTAGGGATATTGTCCTTAATACAATAACTAAAGCCATAAAAATTCCAATTGGTTACTCACTATGCTCAGTCACCTGTAAGCCATGATGACGTTAATTAGTTTTGTCGGCCACAGTTTCCTACTTAAAATGGCACATACCACGTAGAGCAGCTTTCCATTCTTACTGGAATAGGAATTTCGAGGACCGTCGCCTTCTGTTGGGCTCAGATTAATGGACTGAGGCTGAGCAGAGCCATTGTCTGCGATTTCGTACATGAAGATCGAGTTCATACCCCTAATCAAGGTCAGCACAGACCCATAATAATATGTTAGGTTTGTGGTTGACTAACAGATGGGGAACGAAACCCTTGTTGTTCACATTGACATCGAAGGCATGGGCACCGTGCAACTAGTTTATAGGGAGAGAGGTCAAAAATCATAATACGGAGCGATAGAGATTGACAACGGTTTACTTACAACGGCTTGTCGGGTTTTGTCCACACTATCAATATCCTCCTCCGGGATAAGATAGAGCTCTTGAATCTCGTCTCCAATAGCGCCATCATCGAGTGAATGAATGTGGGCAGTTGGGCCACCAGCGCTGAAAGCATATCGGCCATCATCGGAGATGTAGCATGCTGATGAAGCTATAGGAATTAGGCAACGCACCGAACCAAGCCATTAAGGTTATACACCTACTTATGTTGACCGTGTCAAGGTGGGTGAACTTGTAGTCTTTATCGACGGCCCATGAAAATAGCTGGGGAGGCTCGCTCATAGCGGTTGCGTAAACACGGTCTTTGGCCGCATTGCTGGTCACGAATTGGTGCAAGCCAAACCCCGGGACGGTCGAATTGAGGGAAAGAGTTCTGGAAAGAGTATCAAAGGCGAGCAAAAAGAGGGTGTTGTTGGTATAAGAACCAGTAAGGAGGTGGTGAAGCTGCATCTTGATACAGAAAGTGTATGTATCCGAAGTATGGATACACTCACGATGTCGAAAATCAGTTGGATTTATGCGAAGCTACTTGGTAGCAATCATTATCGATCTGTTACCATATATAGTCCTGGCTCTAACCCCCACACTGTCCCCAGCCGACCCCATGGGGTGATGATCTCTCAGGGCTCTCATGCATTTGAAGAGCCTGAGCGCGGCAACTGCCCGTGTATATGGCTGCAATCCCAACGAGCCCGGCATAATGCCGGCCACTCCGCGTAATACTTGACGCTTATTTTGTTAAGTGTTACGTATTTGACTCCGGATGACACATTGAGCCCTAAAAAGAATGTTTTAGCCAGGGTCCTTGTACCTCTACGAAAGCACAGAGAAACCGTTTAATACCACGCTGCCACCCGATGTCTATTTCCCATGGATCTGTTATAAGGTCATGTAACTCCCAACTCACCTGCGAGCCTAGCACATGTCGACTATCTCAAACACTTCAGGTGTTTGTGGCCTGTTGTAGACAAGATATCAATGTATGGATAATACCAAAGGATACCTTTCATATTACGAGATATGGGCTTTCCGGAGTTTGCCCGCCAGTCTTACTTCGAAACTGCTCATTACCCCGGCATCTGTCCGAGCAGGCTGCTCAAATGTTCCGAATCTATTACAGGTTACTCCAGAAATAGAATAATCCGATAACCCAAGAGCATTAGCTTTCAGCGATGTCCATCGAGTCGGGTGCCGACTGGGGACGCGGGGTTCAAAGATCTGCACGTTGTGTGGAAAGATAACTAGATATAAGGTTAGAAGCACAGCCAACAATGAGATGTACTTCCCCAGAATATTACAAGCTGCGGAGCAAAAATAATCCCTACATAGTTGAAAAGAGCTGCTACCATGGCCACCAAGACTTTAGCTTCATGGGCTCTGGCCCTTCACTTTACGAACCTTACCCAGCCCGTGACCGACATGGCAGTCAAAAGTATCTATAACTGGGCAGGATGTACCATTGGTGGATACGCTCTTCCACCAACTGGCGTTACCTACGATGCCCTATTTCCTTTACTGCCAGAAAGCGCAGGAAACTCGTCCATTCTTGGCTCGAACGCCTTCGTCGATATGCAAACGGCAGCTCTAGTGAACGGCATAGCGTCGCACGTGGATGACTACGACAACACACATGCTGACACGCCGGTCCATCCCTCGGGCCCTGTGGCGTCTGCTTTATTGGCAGTTTCTGAATGGAAGGCCCCTGTCTCCGGTAAAGACTTTATTACAGCCTTTGTGGCTGGTGTGGAGGCCGAGTGCAAGCTCGGAATTTCCGTATACCCCGAGCATTATGATGTTGGTTGGCGTATGTGGTTCATCTAAAATCCAGAAGACAAATTTGGAAGGCTAATTCCCGTACAGACATTACCAGTACCACTGGCTCCATAGGTGCAGCAGTGGCTGTTGGCAAGCTGCTCGGGCTCGACCTGGAGCAGCTTCAGCATGCGATCAGTATTGCTTCCGTCCAGGTTATTGGGATGCACGAGTCTTTTGGGACCGACACTAAGGCATTCCACGTCGGTCGTGCTGCACAATCCGGCCTTCTGGCTGCAGTACTCGCACAAAATAGTCTTGGTGGCTCACTTGAGGGACTAGAAGCGGAACGAGGTTGGGCGAATGTAGTGAGCACACGCCAGAACCTCACTGAGGAGCTGTCTACTCTGGGAGATATCTGGGAGATCACCAAGAACACATTTAAGCCGTTTCCGTGCGATCGGATTTTGCACGCTGCTATTGATGGATGGATCCAGGTCCATGATCAGGCAGTAGAAAAGAATCTAGACCTCACTGCTATTGTCAATATTACGGCCCGCACACACCCCCGTGTGCTGTTTCTGACCGATAATCCTGAGCCGCAGACCGGACTCGATGGAAAGTTCAGTGTCTACCATGCCGCTGCTGTTGCATTGCTTTTTGGAGAAGCCACACCGATCCAGTTCACCGATGAAGCCGTCCAGAACGCCACTGTTGCTGATCTACGCAAAAAGGTGCATGTCACTTCGGACGATGCAATAGCTGAGCATGAAGCGTTTGTCACCACTGAATTCGAGGATGGTACTATACTGGAAGTTCATGTTGAGGAGGCACTTGGCAGTATCGAAAAGCCATTGTCAACAACCCAGCTGAAGACCAAGTTCCTCGAACATGTCGGTAATCACATTGGCGAGACACGGGCCCAACAGGCTTTCGACGGCTTCTCTCAGATTTTGAACGCCACAGATGTTGGACGCATATCGCACAGTTTCAAGGCCTAACACGGTCATAGTCGAGAATGTTCTCCCCATATCCAGAGTCTGTGAGAAAGCCTATATTCTGTTATTCTGAATTTCTGTGCATTAAAAGATAGAGCCTGAGGGTCAATTTGATGATCAACGGCTAGCTCATTCTTTACATTTCATCTTGGCCAGGCGTTGTTGAGGCATCCAGCCTACCTTGAATAACAAATCCCATGACCCAGCCATAACTGCTAGTACATCAGTCTTACTGGCTCAATAGCTGGTCAAAGACAGTTACGCTTGCTCCTGTCATCTTAAGTTTTCCTCCTGAACGGTGGGCACAGTAGTCTACATAGCCATGAACCTTTTGAGCAATGATATCAGAACTACTTTGTAAAAACCAGTAAACCCTCATCAATGAAAATCACGGTATACTATAATTCAGCGAGAATTACAAATCAAGGCGCTAAACAGGTTTCATGTCTCCTATGAAGCCTTACCATTTAACTCGCGTTTGCGGCGTTGACAGACTCTGCAAGCCCCTTTTTGTCTGGATCGCATCAGTCATTGAGAAATCTCCATTCAAATTGCCATGGGAGGAATCTATTGAATTGTAATGAAAGAATTTAGGTTTAACGAAACACATATTTGGCTCGTTTAATTGACTTAGGGCGTTGCGGAGTCATGGTTTCTTGGGCATTTCGCCGTGGTTACCATTCGGCCGTTTTCCGCCTCAGGACTTACACTTGCTGATCGGAGATTTGCCGCTAATCACGCCAATGGGTTTTGGTCTCTAGTCCCAGTGGAAGTATATACGTAGAGTTATAGTGATGCAAGGTAAAGACCATAGTCTCCCCACCCTTACCTATACGCATTTTGTTTTCCCTGTTTACCTTCCCAGGAATCCTGATCTACTTGTTTCTCCAACATCATTATGCGTCTCCCTTACGCTCCCCAGTCTCCAGAGGGCTTAAGTGCCGATACGCAAGAAATCTACTCGCGCATTGCGGCCCGACGTACTCCACGGCCGCTGATTCCTCTCGACCTCACCCTTTTGCATGCTCCCCAGGTTGCAGATGGGTACAACAGCTTCGTGGGAGCTCTTCGGTCGAAAACCATCCTGCACGCCGATTTCCTAGAACTGTCAATATCACGCATCGCCGTGTTGAACAAGGCTGTGTATGAGTGGAATATCCATGCACCACTCGCGTTGACGCCGGGGTCACAGCATCAGAGCTGCAGCAGCTCCTCTCACTACCATCATTTACCGAAGCCACCGAAAGAAGTGCGGAAGCCTGGAGACAGACCTGCCTCAGAGCTCGGCAACGAGCCATTGTTGCTTATACTGATGCGATGACAGTCTCTGTCACTGTCTCTGACGAAGTTTTTCAGGATCTGATTAGTGCAGGGCTCTCGAATCGAGAGATTGTCGAGCTTACTACAACAGTTGCTGGGTACAATTGTGTTAGTAGGATCCTTGTTGCATTGGATGTTGGGGAAAACAACGCGCGTGAAATGAAAAGCGTGGCGGAACTTGTTGGGGATCATACTTGAAAGTTGGTTGGGATTCGGTTTCATACCTAATCTCCGGCTATCTTTAGGGCTGTGAGTGTGAAAATTGTGTTTGTATTGCAGGAATATCAACAAGAGCTATGTATCTAGATCTTGCAGTTTGTGAATAGGGTTCCTCGCGTCCAGAACATCCGAATAAGTTCACCCAATAATACCAGACCAGACCATAAAGTATTTGCTGGATACTAAGGACAAGGATTATTAATTCAGCTGTAAGGAGGTAAGAATCAGAATTAATCAGATAATTGTCTTGAAGGTAATGGGTAATTCACTATGGCATCTTTTCGACTATTCTGTTTCCCGATCGCAACATCCTACAATCATGATAAAAATTCCTAATATACCTTCGTAATTGATATTGGTATTCTGACTGCGCTTCTTGCGGTATTTGTAGTTTGATTGACTGTCTGCCTAATGTGCTCGTCTGGAGAATCAAGCGCTCTGCGCCTTACGCCCTCCATCATTTATCTATAATCTGTCCTAAGTTTTAAATATAATCTCATTCTCTCAAGCGTTATTGGGAATATTTGTGTTCTCCTCTGCGAGTGTATCAGCCTTCAAGGCTGGCCTGTCTGCCTTTCCTGCGGTTGTCTATACCCAAAGGCTTAGCTTGATTCACTGGGTTTAGTAGAAGAGGAAAAAGGATAACTTACGCCCCCATCAACAGGCATAATCAAGCCAGTGATCCATTTTGCTTCTTTGCTACAGAGAAAGAGGATCGCTAGAACAACGGAGTCAGCAAACCTCGGTCTCCAGATTTCAACTAAGAGGATTCTACCATAGCCAACATCCCAACCTGTTCCCTCCTGCTTTAACAGGTTTTGGTTGATCCGGTCTTGTCTCATTTTATCGGTCATGCCTCTGCCTCGTACCATAGGGGTGAAGACCATGCCCGGGCAAACACAGTTCACGCGAATATTTTCAGGGCCATGCTGGGCGGCCATGGCGCGAGTCATTTGAATGATTGCTCCTTTGGTTGTAGGATATAAGAGGCTGGGATTTCCACCGAGAACTGTGCCTCACGTCAGGAAGATACATGAGAGCAGGGCAAGAAGGAAGACTTACGACCGCTGACAGAGGACATGTTGACAATGGCACCCCGCCCATTTTTTCTCATTTCTGGGATGGTATGTCTGCTCATTAATACCATGCTCGTGACATTGATTTTGAAGTCGCGCTCCCATGCTGCGAGATCAACTTTGGTAGCGTCTCCCATCGCGCCACCGACTCCGACTGCACAGCGCATACATTAATTTCAATAAACATTGTGTCAGATTGGAATAGAAGCCTACCAATATTGACAAGTATGCTAACCGTCCCGAAAAGTTCAACGGTCTTAGAAACGGCATTCTTGCAGCTTTCTTCATCGGTCACATCGGTTTGCATAACCTCCGATATGCCACCTTCAAGGTCAATCATGCGCTTTGTTTCCTGGGCCTATTCCACGTTATAGTCCACAAGGGCCACCTTGGCGCCTTGTCTAGCGAGAAGAATAGCAGTTGCGCGCCTATTGCCGATCTCGCCTTATATCAGTCAGTGATGCCTTGCATACTAGAAAGGAGTAAAATGGAAGGTTAAAGCCAAACTTACCAGGTATGCGTGACCCTGTACCTGTGACAATTGCCACCTCACCAGTGAAGTCGAAAGCTCTAGCAGATACCATGATGCTCGAAGTAGTTTGGAAGACTGGACTGAACTCAAAAGTTTGAAGAGAGGCACATTGCGACGTGTCTTTATAGAAGCCCAGTCAAGTCTTTCGCGAGGCGGCTATTTACAGTATTCGGCTATATTCCGGACCCTATACTTCTCCACGCCAATCCCCGGCTATCTACCGGTTCTCCCCACAGACTGTGGAATGGAACCACCTCAGACTCGGACGGGCGAACCATAATGAGCAAGGGGATATTTGAGAGGCTGAGTGCACCTGGCTAATTTATTGAATGTCCTAAACAGCAAGGTCTGGAGTCTTACGAGAGTGGCCGGGTAGATAATATTATTGCAAGTATATGAATGTTGTACAATCTTATATTTCTAAACCAAAGTGTATTCAAAGGCAAATCGCTCTTTATATGCTCAGTTACCGATATTGGCGTATAAAATATTCCATTGGTATCTATGTGTCATTCTAGTGGTATCGCCTTAACTACTGCGATAGCCAAAAATCGAACCATTCTATGATTCTTTTCAGGCTCTGCTTCTTGACGTACCCTAGGCTATATTAGCTTTCAAGTACAACTTGGGTTGTGCTGGAAATCATATACGTTTATAAGGATCTTTCATGTTCCCTCGCAAGGCGAACCCGTGCGAGACACTGGAGAATAGCTGTAATTGATATGTCTTTTTACCAGACTTGAGAATATCTAGAGCGACCTGTCGTGCCTCCCGAGGGAATGTATGGTCTACCTCGGAACACGACAATATTAAAGGCTCTGTAGGCAGTTTTAGATTACTATTCTAGGTTGGTGGACAAGGGGAGCAAGGCTGACTAACTGGTAATCTTCTCAAAGTGAGAATCTTTTAGAAATGCTGGGTGGGCGAATGTACCAGTAGTTACGGTATCTTTGGCCAGCTCATCGCAGATATACGGTGTACTAAAGCAATATCTAGAAAGATCATCTTAGTTGGGCGCTTCAACAGGCAAATAACGGGATTATAGACCTACCCAACACACGCGTACCTAGTCGATGGCTGACTATAGGTTCTCTTGACTTCGTCAACCCAACGCGGAACCGCTTCATCTGTAAATGCCATGTGCTTTCGCTTCTATGTCTTGTAGTCAAAGTCTGGGTTTGAATGATCGTGGCGATCACGTCGATGTTTCTAAACCGGATCCTTTGGCCATTTAGTACTGTAGAAGACAAGGAAATGTTTTGAAGAAATATATATCTCTGAAGTAGTCCAGTCCCAGGACGAGATATCCGGCATCAGCAAATGTATCTATCACTAAAAGACTATTCGGAAACATTCCCCATACATCTGGGAAGTACAGCAGGATTCGGCCATTTGCATTGCCTAAAGGCTTCGAGATATATGTTTCTACTCCCGCAACGGTGATAAAACGCCCGCGTGCAGACCCTTCGTGAAGAGTTCCCTTAATACAGCAGGGCCCTGATGGCTGGGCAAGCCAGGCGGTGCTGTCTACGTTCGTAGAAATCGGCATTTTGGAGGAGTCCTAGCGTCGGTATGGCGTATGTGGGAAAGCGGTGCATTGAGCTTTCGTTGCGATGAGTGCTAGGAATGGCCGAATCTGTTCTATTTGGCTCTTGGCTAAGTTGACAAACAGCGATACTGCCCGGCCATATGCCGAATGCTAAGCTCAGGTGGAGCTTCGGAGTTTGGCCTGTTGTGGGGATTTGCGGGGAAAAGCTACTAGCGAGAGAGAACTATGCCGAGACCCATGGGGGTTTTTAAGTCCAACTAACACCCGGAAGATCACGGTATTTGACTGCTTGGCTTCTTACCTTGGAAATTATGTCGTCCAAGGAGAGACCCAACATGATGCACATCGAAGAGGCTAGCCATCAGAGTGCCCTGCACGATGATATCGAAGAGGCAAAGGCTAAGACAAGCTCGATTCACGAAGTAGGGTATTCATCCCAAGATTCTGTACCACGCATTAATATTCGTACTTCTCAGGAAAATGCCGTCGGATACAAAGAATACCGCGAGGGGTTACATATGGAGATAACAGCAAAGGAGGTGAGTTAGCTGGGATTTTCACCAAGCCATTTAAGAAGCGGTGTCTAAGATAATGCTAGAACTCCAAAGTCCGATGGAAAATTGACATGGTCGTGCTGCCAATCTTTCTGGTGACGCAGGCGCTGCAGTTCATGGACAAGACGGCCCTAAACTATGCCAATCTGTTTGGGTACCAGGAGACTCTTGGGCTGAAGGGTCAACAGTTTAACTACCTTTCTGCAAGTATGGTGCTCCTGAAGATCTCTGAGCTGTCCAGGGGAGGCTAATGTCGTTCTACTTTAGTGGTGTATGCCGGCTACTTCTTTGGTCAATATCCGTGTGGATGGCTGGTTGGGAGGTATCCCGCTCAACGCGTTCTCGGAGTAAGCTGTCTCATGTGGGGCTTGATGGTCATTATCATGACCCAGTGCCATACATTTTCCAGTGCTCTAGGTGTTCGCTTCATTATGGGAATCTTTGAAGCTGCTGTGACGCCCGGATTAACCCTAATGACTGGTTTCTGGTATACTCGACAGGAAATCCCACTTCGCCAATGCATTTGGTATTCGGCTCTTGGGTTCGGTGGCATTATAGGGTCCTACATATCCTTTGGGATTTCCAAGCTTCCAGAGGACTTCAAGCCGGTGCGCTGGGAGCTACTCTTCTACATCCTCGGAGCGGCCACATGCCTCTGGGCGTTCGTAATTTTCTTTGTCTTGCCTGATTCGCCCTCAAGTGCCTTCTTTTTAACACGGCCCGAGCGCATCATTGCGGTCAAGCGAGTTGCTGGCAACGAAACCGGGATCAAGAATAAGGCATTTAACAAGAAACAAGGCATGGTCACATTCTATGATCCCAAGGCGATTATGCTGTTCATCTCGGTATTTGCGGCTGCGATCCCAAATGGTGTCGTCAACTCTTTCTCGACCATTATCATTCAGGACATGGGTTTCACCCAAACCAAAACAACGCAACTAAAATCGGTTGGTGATGCAGTTGTTATTATCGCGTTGTTCATTGGAGGAACGATCACCTTGAATGTGCCGAATTCTCGATTGTTAACCTCGACAGCTGCTAACATCCTATGTACGGTTGCTGCTGCTTGCATGGCGTACCTCCCTCGATCAATGAAGTGGTCACGACTGGTCTGTTTCTGGCTGGTAAATGCACAGTCAGTGGGCTTCACCGTATCTCTAGTCACTATTTCGTCAAATATGGCTGGATATACGCACCGAGCCATGGCTAATGCCTTGGTATTGTGAGTATCTCAATAGCTGATAAGCCTACAAATGTTCGACTCGGCTAATTAGGAGTAGCACTGCCTACTGCTGGGGCAACTTTGCAGGGCCTTTTGTGGTGAAGCCATCCCAAGCGCCTGAATATAAGGGGGCTACAATTGGACTTCTTGTTGGTTATGCGATTAAAGCCTTTTGCCATCTTTCACTCTTCTGTATGGCCTCCTTTCCTGTTTGAAGGGAACCCATTCCTTGACGGATCAATGAGCTAATGAAATTAGTTTACATGCTGATTGTCAATCGCCGCCGTGACTCCCACTACGGTCCGGCCGACAAGGCTCGCAGTAACGAGGCTGGCATGCAGGATCAGACAGAGTTTGAGAACAAGGATTTCCGATATGTACTGTAGTAAACTTGGTAGAAGTTCCTCGGGAAGCCAACATCGAGATGCTTTCAACTCAAGAAAGGATTTTTGCTTGAAATATAAGAAGAGATATCAGAATCCGGTTATCCTTGGATTAGATGCGATGCGCTCGTTTTTCCGAACGGGTTCAAATTACTGTCTAATTTCCCGAGCGGCACCTTGATTGGATGAATATCTGCTAGTGCGGAAGCGAAGGCTAATCAAACTCCATCACTCTAAGAAATGTCTTTTTTTCTCCCTCTCCTGACGAATCAGGTTTGACTGTGCAATACACGCACGAGTGAAAATTACCGACTTCCGTACTAGTATTTATGGGGTAGAGTACGTAGACTCTAGAGGTCTGGGGCTCCTCCACAACTCACCTTTCTCCGCGTTTCTCTTTTTCCCTCCCTCTAGCATCATAAGACAGAAGAGCTCGATGTGTTCTCTACGGTAACCAGTTTCTATTATGACGTGATGGTACGGCATCACAAAATTGTCTGCGCCAACTGTCGGCGTCGGAAAAGCAAGTGCGATGGCGCATCCCCAAGCTGCTCGGCTTGTCTAGCCAGTGCTTCGCGTTGTCACTATGATAAATCGCCCTCACTTGCCTATGTGCGCTCCTTACAGGCTCGGATCCGTGAGCTGGAGCGCAGAGGTAGTGCCGATGCAACCCCATCCTCTCAATAGTCATTTGTCAGTCCGGCTTTGGGCAATCAGGGTTATGACTCTATCAGTCTGGATGCGCTGGGGGATGTTAGCTACCATAACCCAACCTCTGCCATTCATGAAGATCTACCACGCACGCCTTCTCACTCATCGCATGTTGGGGCCCTTCCGTCACCAGTAATGGATGCTCGCGCAGCAGATATCAGGCAAAGTCTAGTTGCCAATGCTGCTGCCCAGAAAGATATCGAACTCATGAACTTGGATGCATCTCTTGCATTGACAAATATACCCAAGGATCTTGCCAGTACTTTACTACAGTCGCACTGGTATTGGCTGCACCCGAGCTTTCTTTTTGTATATCACCCAGCTTTCACGAGAGATATGCCTCTACTTGCCAGTGGAGATCGACCCTCCACGTACTGCACTTCCACCCTTGTCAAGGTGCTCTATGCCCATAGTTGCCGGTTTATACGGTCGCCAGACAAATTGTGGAGCCCAGAGAACCACTCTGAGCCATTCCCGGAGCTTTCAGACCGTCTGATGTCAGAGGCAAAGGTCTTGCTAGCGATGGAGACCCTCAACCCTCCAGCTATTCCTATGATTCAAGCATTACTCCAACAGTCAGCTCGTGACATTGCTTCTGGCCGGTCCTCTTCTGCTTGGCTTTATTCTGGTATGGCCTTTCGCATGGCTATTGACCTCGGTCTGCACGTCTGCCCTGACAAACTGCAACAATATTCCAAGTCACTTTCAGTAGAGGACATTGAGATAAGAAAGCGCCTGTTTTGGAGTTTATATGCGTGGGACAAGCACATCAGCTTGTACCTGGGGAGAATGCCGAATTTTGTCATGGGCGCGGAAAACGTCTCATTGGAGTTTTTAGACGATTTCAGCGACCATGATCCCTGGCTACCATTCTACGGCCCAGATCCAAAAGCAGCGGAGCTTCCTCCATATCCTCCAACTCCGGGCCGCGTCATGTCTTGCTTCACAGAGCTGTGTAAGTTCTGCAAAATTCTCACGCGGGTGATGCTGGAGCTTTATAGCTCACAGTATGCCAGCCACACGGAACACCCCCGAGCAGCTGCTTTTGTGTCGATAAAACAGGAGCTCCACAATTGGCACTCGTCTCTGCCATCGTACTTGCATATACCACCAAATGACATACCTGAATTAAGTCCGCCACCACATATCACGTCGCTTAATTTAATGTATCACAACGCGCTGGTCCTCCTTCATCGACCACACGTTGCGAGTGGAGGGGTACCTCGCTCGGCTACTACTCGACAGAGCTGGAAGATATGTCGATCGGCAACAACTGCAATTTATGGTCTTCTCAAAATGTACATCCATACTTTCGGGTTCCATCATATCACATACATGAACAGCTATTGCACCTACACAGCTGCCACAACAGCTGTATACCAACTGGAAGCCCTAGAGGATGGATCACAGCCTGCACAATCCCACCAAGCAGCGTGAGCAGAGCTGAAGTTTCTACTCGACATACTTCAGCGTACTGCCACGGCCATGCCCGGTCTGAGCCGGAGTATTGAGATCATTAAGGCGCGAATAAAAAAGATTTTTGACCGCCAGGTTTCTAGACAGCTCAACGCGCTCTTTCCCGAGCGGCAGCCGAAGGAACCTGGTAACGTACGCCCTCCGAACGAAACGGTCCCAAGGTCCCATACAGGAGAAATTGACAATGTCTCAAATACTTCACCTGAACGCTGTTCGGCGAGCACAGCTTATGAATGGGGGGCTCATATGAGTGCTGTGGTGGATGAGGATCTCTGGCTTCCTGCATTTCTCGCCCAGGACATTTCATACGGGCCAGAGGTGATGCTCGATGTACAGGATGGTCTAAGCCCTGAGACGCGGTCTGCACTCATGGGATCAAATCTTGATCCACAATTGCGACTGAATCTTTCAGCACCTGACTCAACAATGAGCTATAGTCCCTTTCCTGATACATTGCTTGATCAATTATCAGATGCTCCTGCGGGGGAAGGAGATAAGTTGTCATGTTCCGCTATCTAATTGATTGATTTTTGTGACCTTCCAGGATCCAACCGAAGATCTTTCTGGGATAGATCCTTTAATGAATACTCTTACATCAACACACATGCGAGACTGATCTTCATTTGTTATGCGGACTGTACTTTCGAACCTGAATACCAGGAAGAGTGGATGTCTTCCCCGACATCTATATCGACTTTATTGTCATACAAGTTCTTCCAGGTGAGATTATTGATGAGATCCAAGACGAACTTATCAATCGCCAGCTCAAAGTATCTGAACCCAGCTTGTGTATATCTTAGAGTAAGTCTATAGCTTTCTATTAAATAGCTGACATTTGTTTCTCTACTAACAAGTACTGGCTATCTTACAGAATTAATATTATTCCAACAATCCCCCCAGAGCTATCTTAACTACAATACCCAGATAAACAAGCTTTGTCCGAGAAATCTTGCGGGCCTCGATTTCACCGACTCGAACAGTAGCACGTCGTTCCCGATCGACAAGGAGAGCCCGTACATGGAAATGTTCAACAACCGGCGCGTGCCATACAGTAGGTGGAGGAGAATGAGGACAGGAAGGGACAGGCAGAGGTTGATTATTCGATCAATTGGGCCAACAAGGCCGAGACTGCTGCGAAAGGAAATTCTGCATAGCTTCCACAACTACTATCTACTCCACTTAACGATAACAGCGTTTAGTACTTATTTTCCTTTGGTGCTTGCTGTTCCCTTGACGTCGCAATGCCGGTCCTTATACCGTTATGGTTGCCAAAATGGTGTAAGTTTTGGATAAAAATTACACGGAAGCACTGTACTTGTGTCTGAGATTACTCAAAAATAATTATGGAGTATGATCCAACTCTGTGTACTGTTGTGAATCCCTGCAGTGACAAGCTATGGCTATTGCAGCTTAGGTTATGGAATCCTCTATATAATTAATACTAGCCGCCTAAGTACACTAAACTGTCGGACGCTTGGTGTCTAATTGTTACGGGAATAAATGACTTGTTTTGAAGGCGTATAACTTGCAGCACTGTCAAGGTTAAATTCCACTGTAGAAGCGTGGCATGTAATACACATAAAATAACTATTCCCTGATACTGGGTATCCGCAGAAGGCAAGCAGAGCCATTGTAGACTCTACGATTATAACACAACTGCAATGCGACCATGTCTGCGAAGATAGAAAGAACCAAGTCGAACTGTCGCCTCAGGATACCACAGTAAAAATCACAGGAGAATGCTATCAACACTTTGGATTTCGGTATGTAGGGATGAAATGGCGTTTTCGATTTGATTGAGAGTCATACTTGAGGATGTGCTATCTGATACCATCTCATCAGATACCCGAAGAAATAATAGGTATTCAAAGTTTGAGAAAAACACGAGAGATTCTTACCTGGCTGTATGACACATCGACCAGCATGATTCCGCAGCCCTGATCCCTTATAATTGTAATCTCATCCCGGTCCTAAGCTAAAACAAGTCTTCCATTGACGTATCGTACTCGATATCGCCCAGATTAAACGAAGAGCTACTGTCTGAGCGCCGCGTCACTCGGGGGGCTTAGGTTTCCGGTGATGCCGATGTAGTAAAGTGCACGAAACTTGTGGAGGAACAGTTGTGTGTCGTAGGGAAGATCGGGAGCCTCGTCGTCATCCTCATATTCACCTAGTAAGGCCTCTATCGCATGCACCAAGGAAACCTCAAAGAACCTCCGCGGATCACCGGCAAATACGCGAATCGATATGGCGACATCATTTAACCATGGCCTAAAGAGATTTATCATCACAACTGGATTCGTAGTAAGGCCGTCCCATCCATTCATCACGATGACAACGGGCAGCCCACTCTCCTTACCACGGGTGAGGAGCTCGGTAATGGTTTTTGGCACAGTATCGGAAGAGAATTGCCTGTTGGAGGATTGTGCAAAGACAAGGAAAGGTAGTTCCTCAGAAAGAGGACCATAGTGGTTCACGTACGCGGCACGTGTGTATGACAAGCTTTGGCTCAAAAATTCCTGCCAACCTTCCTCTTCGCAGTCAGCGCGCGCGATGAACAGCACAAGCTCGGGTCTCTTCATGTTCATAAAAGAAAAGATGTAGGTATGGGAATCACGGTGATGTTTATTAGACTGTGGAATAGATGTAGTAGGAGTTATGTCACCATAGACAGTTCAACGTTGCTTGATCAAGGAACGTTGAAGTGGCAGGAGTTGCACCGTTCACTCCGTTGGGATTGAGAGGTCACGTTATCAAGTGCAAATGACCAGTTGGTACCCTAATACGTCTCTTTTAGCCCAGTCAGCTTAGTATAACTTTGGGAAGAACGGTAAATACTTGATTGTAAGAATAAGTTGGTCTGCAATTGGTAAGGTGTATGAGAAGCGTGTATTATCACAGCATGTTTTGGATACCACTTACAATCACCAGCACCTTAAACTTAAAGTGAACAACGACTATTTCAATTCATGAATAATGACGCTTATCTCTGATCCACACCTGCGATTTTTCAGCCCGTTGTTTTCATTGTCGCTCATTTTTTGCATAGTTACCCTGTTCGGGTTTCACGAATAAACCTGAGAGATCAAGTGAATACATGGTGAGAGAACGATCTATGAGAAGAAGAAAGTGGATAGAGGAGCATGTGGGAAGAGGATGGTAAGCAGGATGATATTAGCTGGATTTGGCGAAGAGAAACAGAAGATCGCGGCCAAGGGTTGAAAGTCGTTTGGAAATTGTCAAAGCATCTACCGTAGGGTTTTCCGTTGACTCCAAACAGCGTCAGTGATGGTACTGAACATCCAGCGTGACGAGCAGTTTTGAGAATTCCAAGATGTTAAGATATCTTCTTCATTCCGATCTGTACGATAAGGTAACTGTCAACTATACTGTCAGGTCATCAAAGGCTGAGAATACTAGCAGAATCTATATACACCATGAGCAGCCCATATCAGACGTCTCAAAGTCTACGCATGCAACCAACTTCAGCATCTCTAAAGTTCTCCTAACATCCTCACTTCTTGAAGTACCCATTTGACCTCTTGAGTACAATGCTACGATCTCGATCAGATCATCCTAGAGAGACTCGCGATCATCATTCATTGCCACCAAAGTGGCTGACTATGCACTCGTACTTTAAAGTCAAGTTCTTCTCCTGTGGTTATGTCCTTCTTCACTTATCCAACGCTTCCCTCAAAGCCCAAATACCATCCGCATGGCCCTCCTTTAGCCCAAAAAAAGGACAGCACTGCCCTGGCCTAATGCAAATTCTTCAAGTACTCAAGAGATATGCCTCCACAACAAGGATTCGAAACAAAGCAATTGATACGCTGGAACATGCTGACAGTATTATGGTATGTAAGATCTAGTTGCAACATAGTCTAGCCATGATATCTTATATATGAAGCGCATCTGGGGATGACTTAACAATAGGGAAAGTCTACCTCCGCTGGCCTGCAATGCGTGTTTGAGAATCAAATCATTTACTGAAAGATATCATAGATGGATTGTCACTGTACTATACTGCTACGATACCAGTAAAAGGATCATATGTGAGGGTTGTTGGCCATGGACAATGACGGATCTATAGAAATTGACACTGCAAAACAAGAATGAGTATTTTTGAGCTGCAGTGTTAGGTAACAGAGCTCTCGTGACAGTGAGGTAAAGAACAGCTTGTCAATCTCCCACGATCGTCAAGCTCCGGGGAGACATTTATTCGTAGCTAGGTCTCTGGGCTAGTATGATCAATACTACTCGTGCTACCTATACGGAGAGATCTATGGCAAGTATAACGAACACGCTGACGAAATCGATGCAACATCGAATAAGATGAATCCATGGCAATCAACAACATTCATCGAAGGCAACTCAATCAGCAGCAGAACTATTAACCTTATTGAAAAAGCCCTGACTATGCATATTGGGCAGAAATGACATTGCATGCAATTCAGCACTCCTTCCAGGCATGTCTGTGGCCATACCAGAACATGCAGCAGTTGAACACATCGTGCGCGAAGCGTTGAATATCGATACTGATGCCTCCTGCTATGTATCCAATTCCAACCCAATAAGTTAGACAATCTATCAATTACCACGACCTCCAGATTTATCAGAAACAGCTTTGGTAGCGATGAGAAAGCCAAGATTAACTCATGTGAATTGGCGGCAAGCCGCCTGCCTAAACCGGCAGCATACCGGCAGAATCTAGCCCTAAGTTGCAGGACATGTCTGCTTCAGACGTTGTCAGCTATGATTTACCAAATACGAAGCCCTCAATGTAATAATGCCTTCCGTAGTGATACATCCGATGATAACTGGCTGTGAGCAAAAGTGCCTCATAAAGACCAGGTCTAGCGGATCGGGGAACCGAGTAACAGGAATCAGGGGCCTGATCTCGAGAAGGACTTTAGGCTCTACATACAGAGGTTTGGGGCCACCAATAGGGGAAATTTCAAGTGCATTCCGTGTGGCACATTGCAGCGATCATGTGACCTTCAATATTAGCCCACTACTACCCCAAAACCCCCGCCAAAAACGCAAAAACATTGCCCCCGCGCGGGATTGAACCGCGGACCTCATCATGTCAACTCCCAAGGCTCCTAGGCGTGACCTGAATGCCTGAGGCTACGAGTGATGCGCTCTCCCACTGAGCTACAAGGGCTGGCTGTTGAGGTAAGCTTGTCTAGCACAATCTATACTGCAAGTAAGTTGATATAGGCTCTGAGACGACTTGTTGATTTTGTGCACGACGGCGACTTGGTCGATGATAGACCGCCTTCCCGTTCTTCCCCAAAATGGTGGACTAACCTCAATAGGCAAGCGGCCAACACTGGCAGATCTCCAGGATGCGCAATCTGCTGCTTGTTGACCTCTCCGACAACGAGTCATTGACAGATTGAGATCCAAATTCTGCTTTAATATCAGTTAGTAGCCGCTGTGGCGGTATACGTGTCCGATAGTGTTGTCTAAATAACATGTTTTTCTGGGGTTCCCGTCACAAATATTAGCTGGTGTGATTTCCTAGGGGGACTTTAAGATATATATATGTACAATCGGTGGCAGTACTTGCCAGGTTACCTACAAAGTTCTAGAAGACATACCTTCTATCATTGCTTATCTGAACATATGTTTGCCAATTTGTATCAGCTCACTCTCTCTGTACTATTTTAATTATTGGATATATGTACTAAATAGATCTGGCTGTCCTATCGCACAGTAGTACTCCCCGGTCGACGGCTATCCTCCATGTTTGGCCCAGTGAACTACGCAAAGTACATCCTACCAGGAATGCCACACCTGCTCCAAACTGACACGAGATTTACATAGGTTATCTCGGATATTGAGTGGCATGTTGAGCGACATCTACTCTATTCAACCTATGTCTATTACCGAACGTTTGTCTCACACAGCCAAGTATATGAGCGAACTGAAGCCATGGCATAGAGAGATGGCCGGTTTCCTCGACCAGCCTAGTTCAAACGCTGTCCCAGTAGTCTTAATCTATCAGAGACAGAGAAACGTCCTTAATCTTGCATACTGGCATGCAGTGATTCTATTCTAAAAGCAGTCATCCTACCCAGCCAGAATTCATCATTATGGTCTGTGATGCCGTCAATGCTTCTGACTCTTGCTTTCGGCATCGCGATGGTGTTCTCAACATTAGTCATGATATTATTGGAAACACTATATTACCCGCTACTTAAGACAAATTAGTACATACGACCACAGGGTGTGGAGAACAGGGCTTCCCGTCCGCTCAGCCGTACTTAAGCCACACGCCGGGAGGTTAGTAGTTGGGTGGGTGACCACCAGCGAATCCCTCCTGTTGTATGTTTTTCTTTTTCTTTTTGTTATTTTGCCCTTCCAATACTTTTGTTTTCACCTCGTTCACCCTCCTGCCCCTGAAGCTGTCTGAACCCATTTAAGCTTTACCCATTGCGCCATTATACCTCCCGCACATCTGAAGTGTCCACTGCCCGTACTTTACATTTTTTTCCCTTTCTTTTTTTTTTCCAGCCCTTCTTCTCCACCCGGCGATTGAGGCCTCCATAAACGGGATAGCAGTTCAATTTATTTTATTTTTATTATTTCTTAAGTTTCGCTTCTGGCAGCCTTTACTAACATATATTATTTCTATACTTTCATCTTGGAGTAGCAGACATACATCCGAGTACAGGTTGTGCTATCAACTAGTTAACTAATGCTATTGTATATTTTTGTTTTGGTTTTTATGATTTGTTTGGAAAGCAAGCCCTCTTGACTAGTTGTTGCTTGACATAGCCATGAGCGGAAATAAAGGGATATTTCTGGCCGGCCAACCCACTGACTGTTGCGGATGATCCTTCCGTTGGTATGGGTTTAGAGCATGATTTCTTGAGCTGTACTGGCTGTGGGTACTCAAACTTACGTCAGGAATCGAGACCTTGAAGAAGGCTTCTTCTACATAGGCTGAATATTTTGAAAGATATTGTTCCAAGAGTAGAACAAAGTGGAAAATATACAACCGGTAGTGAATAGCTTCTCAGAAGCACGGTTCCCAGTAATCACCTCTTATTCTGGTACTTTCTGAGTCTGAAAGGGTGCCTCGGCGGTTATCTGTGGCTCTCTCTTGGGTAGTGCTACTAAGCAGTTGGGAGACCCCATGTAAACCATTGCGAGTCAGACGTATTCTCCAGTCATACGATTAGGGCCCAAGGTCGACTAAGTCGGACGACTGAAATGGGTGATAAAATGGCACCCTTGATAGGCTGATGGAAAGCCTGTCGCTAGAGCTCGGCGCTTCGTCGGAGGGACATTTGAGGCTGACGGCAGTGCGCAGCCTTGCTTCTGCTCATCGACACAAAAACATCAACCTCAAATGTTCTCGCAAGGTTTGTTAAGCACTCAGTTCGCTCTCACCTGCATTACACGATATCAACCTTCCCTCTATTAACGCTATGGCTGAGCTAGTCGGTGTCGTGTCTAGCGCCATCACATTTGCAACGTTTGCAGTCCAAGTCAGCAAATCTGTTCAGACACTTAAGGGCTATTGGGATTCGATACGCGATGCACCAGATGATCTCAAATGGCTTCTGAGAGAGGTGGAGATGCTCGGATCCATAATAGCTGATGTTGACAAGGACTTGTCACAAGGATCTGTCCCCTTAGGTCTGAGAGATAGCCAGCATGTTACACAAAGCTTGCATCTCTGTGAAGAGGCTGTGGAATGCTTGGAGTCACTTTGCAAGGACTTATTACAGGGCATCGGCTCATCTAGCCGAATGCGTAGGTCCTACCAGGCCGCAAAAATTATACTACACGAAAGGAGGATTGAGAAGCACATTTCAAAGCTACATAGCGTGGTCCGGCTACTTATGCTATCCCAGCAATGCTACATCAGGTATGACCTTCTATTTCAGTGTATAGGATGACTGAGATCTCCCTGTACTAATAAAGCTAGAGCGGTGATACAAGTTCAACCGAGCTTGATCGCCGAGGAAATAAGAAACTTGGGGGTAGCTTCCTCTCACACACTTATTGCAGAACATGTTTCAGCACCTCATTGTGAGTCTATGTTGACGATTATTTTCTTGGAAAATAACCACCTTTTCAAGACGTTAGTTTGGCTCTAATAGAGACGTCAGTGGGGGCGTCGAAATTGCAGAAAGGACAGTTTCGGCCTCACAAAGGCAGATTTTTTTGGCTTCTCCGGGCCCCGCATTGGATGACATCTCGCGTATTGGAGATATCGGGGATGAAAACTCTCTCCGGATGGGACTGGAGTTTTCGGACATACAGTGAGGTGCGCTGGGCTAGTGACTTTGATTGTGATTTAAGAGAAGGAAGGATAGAGAATATCCAGCATCGCTTTGCCTCGGGAGAGCTCTCACCATTCTTCCGCGTGCAGGGTAGCGGACGAAGTCTACTACATGTAAGTATCATCTTCGTTCAAGGTAAATAATACATACCTTGGCTATTCATACTGACTTATTAGTATGCGGTCTGCGCTGGTAGAAATAATCAAATGGTTGACTTTCTCCTGGAGCAAGGAGTGGACCCATCCATCGAAGGGGGACTCTCCACGTCGAAGACGCCCCTTCGGCTCGTCTTAGAGATTGGGAGACAGGCGGCATCAAATAAACTCTACCCGCTTTTACCCTACCTACGTTGCCTACTTCACCATTCACAACACCTCGTCTATGATAATGCCGAAGAAGCAGTCAATGGAATCTTATCCGAGTTTCATGGCACATCTGAGGAATTCAGATTCTTGCAGCAGCACTGCTGTCCCACATTCTATCAAATGCCACGGTGGGCCCGGATAAAGGTAGCAGCGCAGATTGTTTGTGACGCAAACCATTCTTATTACGCCGAAGAAGCAAACAATACCCCTGACTTGATTAAAACGGTCCTCAGCAAAGATATATTAGAAGTGAAAACCTTCCAGGCGAAGTTCACTCTACCTTTTACTCCAAAAGAAACGACCTTGATGCACTGTATTGCAGAAAAGCTAGGAACTACCCAGGGCTTTCTACAAATGTCTTGTCGATGTACAAGAGTCGCAAACTGTAGATATCAAAGATTCACTCAGCCTGCCAATACCCTGTGTCTCACAAGATGGCAAGCTATCTATGAGTCATGGAAAAGTCTCTTCTTTGACTTTTTGCGGGTTGGGGGAAATATTCATCAAATTGTCGATGGCAAAACGCTATTAATCGCATTTTTGGAAGGGTATCTGGCTTCCCTGTTATCTCTCTCTGAGTCTAACCAAGCTCTGTGGCTTGGCCAGGAAATTTGTCATGCGGGTATTCGAGCCTGGCTGAAGGATATGAGAACCGCAGGTCTAGATTTGGAAGGGTTGGGGGCACATGAGTGGCGTATTTGGAAGAGCGGAAAGGTTCAAAGGGAATTTAACGGGGGATTTCACCGGGTTACTGGTATTGTCTATGGTCCATACCCGGAAGATTGGTACATATGGCTATTGGAGCCATCTGATTCTTTTGTAGGGGAGTTTTGGGCATTAGTCGAGCGACCAGCAGAGACAATGCCTGGGGAGTGGCCGAGTGAATAGCTCCAGAGAAATGCATTTGAGCGAGTTATGCGGCTGGCAGTGCATAATCAAGAATAATTGACGAACTGTTTCTTCTCTTCTCCACTTAAATAGAGAGTCGCACTCACCCAACAGGAGAGATGTGCCTGAATGAAAGCAAGAAAACGCCAGAACCGCTGGCCATACTACACAAAAGAAAAAGGCCTATCTTTTATATCCCTGCAGAATACATCAGTAAAGAATGATATCAGCCTTTTATTATCCCTATATCCACCTTTTATAACCATAGCTACAAGTTCCAGAACCCCTAGGTAGGATCGACCGTCAGGCGGAGGCACAGGTATCAGGTGTGGGGCTAGGAATATGCGACCCATCACTATCTAACCTCTGCGTAGCTATCTTAACTAGCATTCAAGTGTCTGCTCAGTGATATTTCAGTTGAATGTGAGTACCAGTTAGGTTGCCTTAGATTGTCATAGTGACCTAGATAACCGGCTAGTCGAATATTGATGCGTCTTTCCATGCTATCTTTCAAAGATCAGGAAAAAAAGAAAGAAAAAAACCTGCAGGTCTTGATGAAATAAAGTTTTAGTGGAATAAGATATATAAAGTTTATTTTGGCTTACTTGTTATTTTGTGCAAATGTGACTTATAGTTTGAGCGCATAATATTCAGGTGGGCGAACATGGGCCTCAGGGAAGACTGAATAGGGCAGCAAGCCGCCCCCACAGCGCTTGGCGACCACCATCATACTTTGTGCTGTTGTATGTTTTTCTTTTTTATTGGTTTGTTGTATGTATATAAATAAATACCGATACCAAGACGCCAACAATGACTCGTAATGGTGTACTGACGAGCGTCGCGGCAAGCAATGAGAAGACGGTCATTTAATATAACGATGACGTCCAAGCCGTGGTGGTAGATCGCCAGTCTGCCTACAAGTTCTGGGCTCCTATGTTGGATAATAATCCACTTGCATGGGAGAACTCTACTGGTAACTACACCCGTCTTATAAGAGCGTGCGATATACTCATGTACTGACAAAAAGCACATTAGTTCTTGTCCACGGACCCTATCTCGTCCGCACGGCCGAGATCGAGGGCGATACCATCTACATCACTGGTGACTGGGACGAAGAAACTGACGTCGAGATCTGGGCTCCCAAGAAAGTGAAGAGTGTCTCATTCAATGGCTCGAAGCTCAAGATCACGAAGTCTAAGCACGGAACCCTAGTTGGACCATTCCTTATGGCTGGAAGGAGTGGAAAATCCAAATTCAACTGTAATCGACTTGAGACATCAACGCTAGCTGCCAATTAAATAAAGTCGCAGAGTAAAACGTTTCTCCTAGATATACAAAATGCCTCACTATAGAAGCAAACACCTGGGGCAGTGCTCCTAGGCATATTCTATGTGGTTTAATTATCCCACCATTGAATACCTGTGCATAAAGTATGGTCTGGTGGAGACGTTGCGGGTTTTGAGGCCGAGATGGTCAAACATAACCGTGGGTAACACTCCCGGATCGACGGGTACGTAACTTAAGGTTTCTAATATCCTTTGCCACTAATTGGAGACCAAACAATGGTACAGGGTGCATACTTGTGGGGTTACCGTGTATGCTTAAAACGTTACCTCCAAAGGCGAGCAAATTTCACCAATCGAAACCCTTTGTAGGATTATTTAGATACCCTGATATGCACAATCCTTGGCATGTCTTAGATTCGAATCCTTGATCTGGGTGGCTGCAAGGTATTGTTTGTGTAAAGCTATGCTGTGCGATTCCCGAAGTCAACTGGTACGAAATTGCTATGAACCAAGCCACATGGGACAGGGCTTGCTGATTGGGTTGTGCCGCTTGTAATCGACTGACCCCTTTTCACATCTGCTATAAAGAGTGGCGACTTTCCCCAATGCATATCGAATGATACATTGCCATCTTAGGGTCGACCATCTTTCACCCTGTCCCTACTGAAACACCCAAGACATGTCCTTCTTAATCTCTCTTCTCACCAAGGGTGTCTTCATTCTTGCGTTATATTCTTACTTTATGGCCGCTAGTACTGCTTCAGCCAGTGGTTTTGTTAAACGTCGACAGGCGAAAGCCAATGTTTGCAGGGTCGATGGCAAGGTGGTAACTGCCCCTACCGATCAGCGGAGGGCCACTGTCCAGGGACAGAGAAATAAGCTCAAAGGAGCACCATAGCTTCCAGACTGCCATAAACTGCCAGATCTCAAAGGCGAAATGGAGTGCGTTGCATGAAGATATTTCAGTCGGAACCTGGGCAGCTGCGGCGGCCGTTTGCACGGAAGGACGTCTTATCTGTTCAATCTTTGAACCAGCATGCGAGGCTGCACACATGGCAGTTGTTTCATGGGATTTGCACTCTATTTTCCAAAAGTGTTACTGTCTTCATGCAGACTGCAGCGACAACAGTGTACTTGCTCGATTCCCAAATGCCCCCGGTACTCTATGAATTGGTGGAGGGGCATTTCACATTAATGGCCTTCCCGCAAAAAGAGTTGGAGTTCAGTCCCTCAACCACACAGAACAATCCTCTGGTTTGTAGTGATCTCTAGAGGGCTGGACCGGTAGTTGTGGTACGTTTAGACTTAAATAATGTCTAACGTTGCTAATTATCATAGATTCAATGATCGTACAATTGGAGTCTAAACCACATAGAAACGACCGTCTTTGGCCAATATAGACAATTGGATTGTCGTGTGGGTGTTTTCGTTTAGGCTGTCTTTGGGTTGATTTGCAATGGCCAACATCCATAATTGACCTCTCTCCTGTTTCTCATTTATTATATCTGTTTAGCTTCCTGTTTAGCACTATTCAACAGAGTATAATGAACTTCTGCTTTCTATTATCATACATGTGTGCAGTTGACGGTGCATCATGATAGTTTTGGCTCCCATATTTCCAGGAGACTTCACAAGCTGCCAAGCACTAGACCCTAGGATTGGTCTTTTGCTGTCCTGAGAGCTGTCTACCAACCCAAAAAACCGAGAGATGTACCAGGCTGGATCCTCATCAAGTAGCCTCCAAGTCTGAGAGTATTTTCGAGCCGTGTCGGAATTCCTCAAATGCAACGAAGGCCCACAGTTGATCTACTTCCTTTTGCCTGCTTTCTGCTTACACCTATCACTGGGGCTCTGAATCATCTTCTCCCGGAACAAAAGTGTTCCAACCGATTCCGAAACTAGGGTCCTATTCTGCTAAGAGATCCAGGCTTCATTCTCGCATCTACACTAGCACAAAACCGCAGGATGGATGGTGCGGGGTGTGACGAAAGCAGTAATAGGCGGAGGCATACTGAAACCCTTGGAGCCCATTGATCGCGCGTAGATCTCTCCAAATGTACCGCCAGAAGGTAGTAAGATAGCCAAGCTTTCGGGGTCGGGTAAAATGTCAGCGGAAGCTGGCTCCTCCGTTCCTGGTTCCGAACACTGCGGCTTCTGATGGTTCGTCTAATCTTCTCCGTATCTTGTGTAGCCCCTTGGATGGTCTCATCCTTTGAAACTCAGTGCTACGAGGCAGTGATGCCAATTTCCCGCTTTCTAGTGAAGATAAAGGTTCAAGTGCGTGCCGAACTATGAATTAAGGTTTTATTTTCCTTTCTGGCTGACGTGGATACATTAAATTTAATCTTGCGGCTTGGCGATCTGCAAATGCACTACTTCTCTGATGCAAACTTTAGCAGCAGAGGTTCCTATTTCGCTCATGTGTCGCTCAGAGGTCCCCGACTTCTGCTGGCTGAGAGTACGATGTAGCCCACAAAAGTTTTCAAAGCCTATCTATGTCTCATTTGGCGCCTGGACTGACCTAGAAAAGTGGTCCCGTGAAGACTGGTGTTTTCCCAAAAAGATGCTCAATACAATTTCAACGTGGGAAATCCTTGGATAGTACTGGGAAAGTCATTCGCTGGTGCATCAATCTTAGCAATAATAACATCTTTGCTGCTCACATAATACATTGAAAGCTAGTCGTACTTGGGGGCAAAGCTCTTCAGATTTGGATATTAGATACCGCAGTGTAGGATTTTCCAATTATGAAGGGATGGAACATGTGTATTGCAGAAGCCACCGCGGTCTTTCTTGACGCTCAGGAATTGACTCAGACTTAATACTTGGGGAAATCTTCTTATCAAGCACAGCTTGGATAAATCATTCGATACCCTTGGTCTCGGACTCACTGGATTAGTTGTAAGGATACTGGGCCTTTACCTATAGGTCTTGGATAGTAAACGCAGGAAATGTTGAATTATTGAGATTCAAGACAGCACCCACACATATTCACTCATACTCCAGCCTTCCTAACTAGCTACAGTGCAGTTCACCCCGAGCCCGGTTGTGCGGTACCGAAGTTCATCATGAGGCGGAAATCAAGCCGTGTGAGAAGATCAGGGGGGAGAGAGAGTCTCAGTGTCAACAAACATGGGGTCCCAACGGTTCATGACCCAATTTTGGGGTCCGCTAAGTGGAGTAGCCGCGAAATAACAGAGGCTTAATCGGGTGTGGATCGACTTCTTGCAATGGATCGATCAGATTGCTAACGGTGGCGCGGAAAGTAAAAAGCACATAGTCGTGACAGGCTTGCATTAGTGCCAAGAATTCACCTCGCAGGAGTTCACCCAGCGTGTGTTTGCGCTCCGCTATCAATTAAGCTCAGGCTTGACTTTGTTTAGGGTCTAACTTTAAACTTCTTGTCAACCAGACTACTGGCGCAGTGGGGAAGGGTCTTACGAGAAAGGGGAAACTTCGGTGAGGTCCCCTTCCATAAACCGTTTGAATCCCCGCCATCTCGGCTTCAAGCGCAGTCGAACCTTAAAACCCTAAAATCGAGTCGCCGGCAAAAACGCTTCCGTCAAGCCCATGCTTTCCATCAAAACCCAATGTTTTGACCTGGGGGGATATGTTAAAATATAACCACCTAATTATTGAGTTGGGCAGCACAACAGGTGCTTGAGGAAAACTTCAAATTCGCGACCTATAATGTTTAGACAGATTGCCGTTGAAGTCGGGTCTAAGCAATGGGGAGATTCAGACGCAACAGACAGCTTGTGGGGTTCATTTGAAAGTGAAATCCGTCAAAAACCAGATAATTCACCCAAGCATAAGATTTGGATTAGACTAAAAGATTTCGGATAATTTCTCCCCAGATTTGACGCGTTTTAGCCACGCAGAATTGCCACAAGTTGTTCTGCTATACTGGAAACGGTAAACGGTCGAACCCTAGGTTCGGATCGAGGCTTGGGACAAGGCACCGGTTAAATTCCTGAAATTTATGCAATTATGTCTACGGGGCCCACCCAAGCAGCTTGGCTCGCCCCGTTGAGACTCAACCTTGGGAGACTAAATCTTGATGACACCCTCGAACGTCGATCAAACTGAACAACCCCACTCCGGTTACCACCAATACATGTAAAGCTTAATCATCTCAATACGTGGCCCACTTGACGGTCAGACCTACGGTTGCCCTTCATCAGTCCAACGGGGAGGCCTATCGATGTGAGGTTGCTGTGTGCGGCTGAGCTTTCGATAGCGGTATACACTGACAAATTTAGATCTAGATGTTGTCAACATTGTGGACCCTATCATGCTGTATTGTTATCGCTGCCCTGCATATAACTAATTGTATGCTTTGGATGAGAATTTCGGAACTGGATTTTCCCACGTGAGATAGACCGAGCACTATGTATGAGATTCTATCTGTCTACCTATTCACTTGTGGCGATCAAGATCGGGCACCCGCTTTCTAGAGAAATAATCAAACGAATTTCAAGGAAGATGGCATATTCAATGATTGGTGGTAAGAGTTCAATACAAAAGGTGTTGGATGTTGAATCCCAAAGCTGAGCGAAATAGAGACTAAATACTGGATCACCCCAAACCCATCTAACGCGCATATTCTATAGCCCGTATAAGAGCCACAGGTGCCTAGGAGTTAGGACAAGCCCGGCCCTTTCCAGTGCTGATACTGCAGCAATCCGCGCCCTAGGGATAGATGAGCATCAAAATAACAGCAAATCCAACCAACCAAATACTTACACAGGATACACCGAACTTGTTACACATCTGGTCCAAATACTTCTGAGTGACACAGGTATCGTCGTTTCTAATCGGCCAGTGCTGATTCAGACAACCGTTGACGTCTTTCCAGCAGCAGTCTTGTTCTTTTCCGTTGCACTATATGGGCAGCGTTAGTATTCATTTTTATAAAGGGTTTAATGCTACGATTACCGCAAGTGCAACGTTTGAGAGGCCAAGAGCCATAACAAAGGTTGCCTGAAGGATGGATGAGAGCTGCATTTTGACAGAAAGATGTGTAAAGTAAATTGGAGAAGTAGTAGATTGACTGAGGATATGATTAAAAAAAAAGGATATGACACCAGGAGGAAGATGCGCTGTTAAATACTCCCCGGTGGCGGATTCCATACGAGCAAAACCCAGACCCCAAAGATGCTCTCTCATGGATAAAGTATAAACTTGTCGAATCCGGAAGACCGAAGGAAGACCCGCCAAGACGATCGACTAAGTTGTTATTCTGTTTCGGAAAAGCGGGGATAACAGGTTGACCAGAGGATTGAAAGGAGGCAATATTGCACTTCCAGATGAATAATGATGACCCACGGGTTCTATTCCAAATTTTGAGGTTGACCTCACCTATGTGCCACAATGAATCGCTAGGTCGCTCTTTTACTCGTTTACTGGATTCTGTTGAAGAAAGATCAGAGTGTGAGACAGTGGTTACAAACTCATTGATAGAATAGGGGCTTCAAAAATCTACGTATCTGAAGGTCCACAGAATCAATATATTTAGAAGATACCGGGCTTCATTCGCCCACAAGAATCTATATTTTCCCTCTCCTCCCTTTCAAACTCTCGCGCACTGGCCTATACTTGATAGGAGAAGGATAGATACAGAGGCCATGGGTAGTCCTTAGATTTTAGCGTTGTAAAACCAAGAACGGATGATTTCTCCCCAAGCAACCGCCATGTCCGTCAGATCCACTGCCCAGATTAAGCTTAATAGTTAAAGTCCAGTAGTGGAATATCGCTGATTATTGCGCTCCGAGCCATGGGATTAGAATCCTTCGAGAGAAAGGGGAATTCTCGGTGAGAGCCCTCTTCTCCGGGTGCAGAGTTTCACATTCTCCTTAGAGTATGATTTGTCACTATCTGATTTTAGTTTTACGCGGTGGGTCTGCATCTACAAGAAAATATAGAGGAGAATTGAGTTCTTCTGGTTAAGTACGGTTAACCTAATCTAAACTAATGTTTGGGTGGGTAACAGATTCTGTATGGTAGGCTGGTCGTAGACCAAAAGTATCAGCGGCAACGATCCTACCCAGTGCTTACCCAAAATCTATAGATCCCTTCTGAACTTGCCAATAGTTCTAGCCATGCGCTTTTAATAGCCAATTCTATCAATGGATCTAAAGTGAAAGCTTGGTTTAGTCCAAACCTTCAAACTCTGCTTTGGGATTGTCTTCCCAATGCAACTGGTGTTCCCCAAACCAGACACTGTCTCACTCACCATAATTATCGTTCAGTGGCAAATAGTGGCTGATCAATGAGACATTTGAAGATTTTAGTGCGTTTCCCAGTGGATGGAAGAACTGGGAGACGTCTCGAGCAAAGTATTTAAGAACGCATCTCCCCCGTACTGCTCAGTTCCTCAACCCAATAAAAATCCAAACAAGGCAAGACATTTCAACTACTTATTCATCTACCCGTATATTTCGTTTAAATTACTTTGCTCCATTGCAAAATGCAGGTCCCGTCTATCGTTCAAACCACCCTCCTTCTGGCTCTTGGCTTCTCAAGCATGGCAGCTGCTGTAAGTTTGAATTGAGTATTCAGACTTTATCAATGAGGCGAATATCCTACTGACAGGGTTATATGAAGTGCAAACAATCACAAGACTGTTGCTGGAATGATGTCAAGGGCTGTTTCAATCAGCATAGCCCGGCGCAGAAAACACTCTGCCAAACGGCTGAATACGCAGCACAATTCTGCACGAACTTTGGTGTCAAATGCGTACGTCTGAAGATCCTACCACCTCAATCTATTACTGACAAATGTAGGACGGTGCGGACTGTTGTAGCATCAGTACAGGAAAGGGCAGGGGTTGTCCTAAGTGATCTAATGCCATTAATAAATATAGCCCAATTTCCTCCCACACAGCAGAGACTATAGGCTGAAGATGGTCGGGACATGAGTAGCTTGAGCCGAAGTACTTGATTCCTGGATTCAACATCCTATGTTTTGTACTATGTTTTTCACATGAATGCATATTCTTCTTTATGCCCGAGAAAAAGGTTCTAAAGTAGAGTCAGGAGTATATCCAAATTGTTGTAACATGGAATTAGTGCGAATCTGGTTGAAGGTAAGCTACTTGATGTGGGCGCAGGAGATGTCACATCTCTTCTACCAAGGGTTTGTCAAGAGGCATCAAGTTTGTTTACTCCCTCTCCTTCTACCCTTCCTTCCACTTCACTCATCTTTCTTCGGTTCTTGTAACACACGCGGAGCACGTAGGATATCGAGGGGGACCTACGGGTCTATCTGCGTGACAATATAACATGGAGAGGTAAATCCGAGGTGGAAATACCACTCGGACATAACTGCGTGGGGAAGAACCAAGAACCTCAGGGCGATCCTCCGCAGTGATCCTCGGCGCGAGCAACCATTACCCACACCAAGTATAAATGATTGGTTCGGGTCGTTTGATAGAGTACTACCCAGATCTTCTGGCTTTGAAGACAGGTATGCTCGTATATGGTGAAAAATCCATAGCGAGCATACTGATCGTCCATATACCTTGCAAGCTGACCTATAGTATCATAGAGTTGGTATATGGAATATAGATACGTATATACAGATGGCTACTCACCCAGCTTGTCGCACATAAAGTCATGCCATGACTGATGCTTCTTGGGCGTGAATGCCCAGCTCGTCTTCACCTACCCCAATGCTCTAATGGCATGTCTTGCTATCTACTAGAACGAGATCCGGGACAAGCTTGCTGTCCATCTTGCCTTTTTTCTGCGCTCCGTATTTCCGCTTCTCTGCCTTCTTCGCCTCACCCTGGCGTCTGTTTATACCGTATTGAGCGTCGCCGAAACAGACGTCTAACTTCAGCAGATTGGCGATCTCGCCAACGGGGTGCATGGCGTTGATGACAAAACGACCCTGCGCCCCATTTCATTCACGTCTTGGTATTTCGCACTCTCGAATATATCCGTCTTCAATTCATCGCCAGCTGTGTACTTTTTCTTTCTGGTCCTCTGCGACGGATTCGAGCGGTGATCTGAGTGGACATCCGAGAGGGGCTCCAATGTCTCATCGTCTTCATTGTTCATAATGGCCGCCAAGCCAAAACCGCCTCGAGGTATAATCGGCATAAAGGCCTCATACTTGCCACAGTATGGCTCTAGGGGCTCCTTGATTTCCCTCGTGAGGCCAGTCCCGAACCTGTGTTATATCCAGTGTAAACGGAGACTTGCCAGGTTTCAGGGGCCTGAAGCCTGCAACAGTAATCGAGTTTAGAATGGGGATTAAAGTCATTGGCGATGGGCTATCGGTAGTTTCAATGGGGAGGATATGTTTCTGGATAATTACTGGCGCCAAGGAATTCAAGGGCAAGGCTTGATTTATTACTTATGTTCAATGGAACCTTCCAGCTTATGGAGAAAGAGTAGGTGGTAGGTATTTATACAAGTCTACAGTGTCAAAGGAAAATATCTTTCTGCTTCCTCAATATGTGAAAGAGAAGATATTCACAGTTGTATTCATTGCTATTTCGGATATTCATATTGAATGTGTGTCAAACCAACCTTTTTCTTATGAGTATTTCCATCCAAAGCTTGTGGCAGCTCATACTGATATAGTGTCGAGAAAGGTACCATAAATAGAATGGGGGGTTATTATAGTGGGACCAAACCTGTAGGAGTGGGTTCCTCAGCATGGTCTTGTTGCTGAAGAAATATAGCAACCCAGAAAACTGGGAATAATGGAAAGACGGGGGAAGTAACAACAAGTTAGCTGTACTAGTGTTATCACGCAATAAGTACTTGCACCAATGTCTTCCAGAGACAGACAGGAATGTATGTCAAACAGATGTGTTATTTTGCTTCGTTTATGTATAAATGCGCTCTCCTGGGTTGAATTTCGAGGCCAAGTCAATCCAGAACCCACCCCGGACCAGCCAGCTCTAAACATCATCTTGGATTTCAACATGCACTCCTGAGAGATCTCTTAATTGCTGCACGGCGGAGTCTTCTAGTCTGATAAATGGATTAGTCACTCAATACGATATCATTCAAAGACTTTAAATTAAGATGTTTCTTTCCAGACTGCCCCTGATCGCGTCCTGGAAGAGGAAAAAAGAAAGTCTTGTAATACTCACTCTGGAATAATATACATCGGAGGAAAGCTTCTGGTGGCTGGGAAACTGCCTTCTCGAAAGCCGTTCCTTTCGAGGATACTATAATGCAATGTCATTAGAAGGGCCGTTGTATTCATCTTGGGAAAGCCTTGTATGAACTTACTCTATAACTACTTCATCATGCTCCTCAAATGTCTCGGGTTCTTCAAAGCGAATGATGACCTGATTAAGATAGATTAGCCGTGAATATGAAGGCCGTCCGGTATTATGGTGAGAATATACAGTCATTTTTGCAAGATATTTTTGATATTGTGAGAAAGGTTTATGTCCACAGATGGCTTTCAGAAATTGGCGCCAGAAAGGAATATAAATATTCCAACATTTTCGAAGCGACATCAGCACGAGCTGTGCGTGTTATTTTGCTCCGCTACTCGTATCTCTGGTCGACCCCCCACCGTTCAGCTGCGGCTGAGCCGAGTTCACGACGTACAGTTCACTAATGACATCATGAAACTTCATTCTGCGCTGCCGTTGCAGAGATCGTCAAGCTGAATACGAGTCATGTTCAAGCCCAGACGTGTTCTTTCCCCACGTCCGTACGTAGCATTGCCGAGCTTTTGCTCGGATTGAGCATTCCCCGATGATATATCTAATTATATGGAGAGAGCGGGAGTAGATCTACATCTCCCTCCTGTATGTATACCGATTTGATGTTTCATACTAGAACTAAAATGGGACAGAAATTAAATTACGGAGGAATTCGGTGTTATGACAGTAGCACACCGCCAACTAGTGGAGGGGGGACCAACACCCCGCGGTCGCTGATCTCGATCGGCATATAGAGTCTATAGCCGATCCAGTGCCGATATGCGGATATTACCTCGACTTGCACATAAATACTAGTAATGCGAGTATCTGGTAGGACGTCATAGTACGAAATGGCTCGCTTGATGACATATTTTTGATTGGATAACTCTTTACTGTGTATGGAAAAAATATAAAAAAATACACTATCTTTACAGCGTCTTCCATGCTGAGTGACGGAATCAGTCGTCGATCAAAGGAGGCAAGCGGGTCAGCAAGTCAGGATAAACATGCGGTGGAAGCATCAATGTCCTCCCATGTCTAGAGTACGTTGTTTTGGTATGTAGAATAATCTCAACCAGTCCTGAAATGAAAGCCGTGATACTAGCGCGAGAAGGGTGCTGCGAATACAATTGTCACCCCACTGAAATAAGGTGATACAGCTTCAGCGCTAAATCTAGCTAATGAGAAGCGCCTAAGATGACATGGCCAGGACCCTGAACTGGTATTTGATCTCATAGGTACCCTGCCTCAACTGCGACTATTTGGTTATCTATTTCTTTCCTGCTATGCATGTAATATAAACTGTTAGATTATAGATTATATTAAGATAGACAGATTATAGAATCTTAGAGTAAAAATATAGAAAGTTCAGAATCTAATAAATTATTATAACAGATAAATATAGAGAATCTGTCTAGTATAGAAACTGATTAGATAGATAAAGAAAACTGTACTATTTGATTAAATGGATACCCAAGCTGATATTATATAAAAATCAAAAAGCTTTGTTTTCTTTCTACTGGGGTGGGAGTATGTATTAGGATAAGACAGACCAATACACCGAAGTGCGTGATAGATCTGCTGACCTAAGAGACGGCTATGGTATTATACACAGTGAGTAGCATGAGGATGGTTGTTTAACTGACTAGGAGCATGAATTCCTCTACTGAGATATTCTCGTCAATTGAATCGAAGTTTCGAAAAGCCACTCAAAGTGGGAGAATTGTAGGAAACCGGTATTTATTTCCTAATAAGATCTCGAAAGACTGTCAAGGCAAATATCTTATGTCTCTTCGACCATAGGTAACAAATCCTCAATCCAGTAGATGAATGAAACCTATATTATCTGATAATAGCCATGATCAAATGCCTGACCCTGGTCACCCTGCCGTCATGTAAAAGAATTAATTATCCCCAATACTACTTACTATATTTACCGTGTGGCTTCGTCTACAGCGCAGTATGTGGTCAGGATCGCCGCTCGCCCTTAAATTACGTTATAGTTAATAAAGATGGTGAGGTTAATACTAAATCAACCATGGTATCTTTATATATATTTATAGCTAGCTATATTAATATTAAAAATATTACTTATATAATTGCAATATAATGAACTATCTTTTTTAAATATATAACCTAAGTATATGCTTACTATATTAAAAATTAAATATCTTCTGTAGAAAGAAATAAGTGGACTTAACAAGGAGTGTTGTGGAGTAGCCGCTATAGGCCTCCATAAGAAAACTAAGATTCATTTTCCAACCATGCAATATTCGCTTCGGATCACCGCACCATGAAGAATGCAGAGCTCGTGGGTCATCCCGTTCAATGCGCGAAAGGTGTAGCATCCGGAAACTGGCAAGTGATATCACCACACTGAATGCGGTAGTGCTATACACTTATAGTTCGTAAACTATTCGGGAAATGGACCGTACCGTCTCTTCCGGTCTTCACATTGCTAGTCGTCTCCCATGGAGAATCGGCTAAGAGAGCGAACTCTTTTCCCATAAACAAATAGAAGGATCGGGATCGGGATCATTGCGATGGTCAAGAACCCCAGCAGACTACTGGCCCAGGCAACACCCAACTTGTGGTACATCTGGGTGGCAAAAAGGGGAAAGGCGCCCCCCAAGCTGCATCGAACCAGCGTGTTTGCTGCCATGGCGGAGTTTGCGTACGGCAAATAGACGTCCACAAGGTAGTTGAGTCCCTGCATGAAGATCACTAGAATACCACAACCGATGGGAATCCCGGCTATCACTTGTATGCCCCAAGGGACAGCTGGATCAGAGGTCCAGCCAAACCAAAACAGGCCGGCAGGCAGAAGAACCGCCGCAATCATCATCGGCGGTAAGCGTTCCTCTGGGATGACGTATCCGTGCCTTTGCAGCTGTCGAGCGAAGCGGGTTTTGGTGAACATGATGATCAGGCAGCCCCCGCACAAGATGCCAACTGCTATCCCCAGGAACGGGAGCGCAGCGACGCCGAGTTCTCTCCACTCGCGGACCTCGGTAAAGGCTACTGGGTATGACTCAAAGAAAAGGTAGAGAATGCCATAGACGAGGGAAATGTAGATTGTTAAACAGACCAGAATTGGCTCCAGCAGGAGCATCTTGATAGGGCGGAAGACATATTTGGTGATCATTCCCCGCCACGACGGCCGATGCGCGTCTAGCGAGGCGAGGAAGAGCGGATTCCCTGTATCACGGCGTAGACCGGCCGCGCGACGCTGCAAGAGAACAGGACTGTATGTTTCAGGTACTATCAAGAAGGAGGCGACCCCGAAGGTTCCGGCGCCGATCATGGTGATCCAGGCCGTCCAACGCCATCCAAGATAGGAATCGACAATGAATCCCCCTCTATTGCGATGGTGAGCCTGCTGATGGATATTATACAGGATAGTATAACTTACAGTACCGGGCCAAAGGTTGGACCGGCGAAGCTCGCGATGGAGAAAAGCGCAATGGTGACCCCTCTGGCTACAGGGTCCCAGATGTCGACCATCGCACCGCCAACGATGGAGAGGGGAGCGCAGCCGAAGAACCCAACGAAAAATCGGCCAATGAGGATTGTCGCGATGCTTCGGCCCAGCGCGACCAGAAGCTGGGCGAGGATGAAGGCAGCGTAGCCCACAAATAATGGGCGCGTGCGTCCGAAAAGCTCTGAGGAAGGCCCCCATACAAGTGTACTGATAGCAAATCCCTGTTGGCGGTAAGCATCTGCAGAGCATCTGACGACCTGCGAGATATCAGGCGGGCTTACGAAGATGGGTAGGCTGGTCCCCAAAGCCATCACTTCAGTTCCCACATGGAACTCTTCTGCGGTAACGCTGGTCGCTTCACTGAACACACTACTGGCAAACGTCACACATAAAGTCATCATAGATAGACTCCAGGTGATGAGGCATTTGCGCGCGAACTTGAAATTCTGGGGATTTTCGGGGTCATCCGGACCCTGCCATTGGACCCATATGAATTCTTCTTCCTCGTCCATTGGGACTGAGGATGGATGACTGTCTCCATGTTCTTGGAATCCGTCCCCATGTAGTGCTTCGATGCATTCAGGAACATGCGCGGGGGCGTTTATCTCCATCACATTATCGACTTTCCCAGTTGACATTGTTAGGGGTACCACCGGGGTAGGAAGATGGGTGTTCAAGGAGGTATGGCTATTCCAAACCAGAGACAACAGACTCACCAGGCGGGAAACATCTGACCGACATGTTCCAGCTAGTTAAATAGTTTACCGGCGAGACGGTCAGAAGCGCAATCGGCTATAGCGGCTGTCATGTCTCGCCGGTCGACGCCAAATCGGGGCTGCATGAGATTTCCGACATTGTCGAGCCGAAATGAGCCGAGCGATTTTGAGGATTTGGCAAAGAAGTGTCCGTGAGCAACTCAAGGTTGCATTTCTGGCTAACGATCCCATTATTACCCAACAGGCGCTGACGTATAGATACTGTCGACCTGATGATTCGACGTATTGACTAATATTCAACATGGCCTACAGCAGTGTACCAAGTTTGTCATAATAGACAACTTGATTAAATCTAGGCTGGGACAATCAGAACGTATGGCTTCTTTCTCTAGCCCTGACTCGATATCAAGATGGGGGCATTGTGCCCCAGATCAAAAAAATCATTGTCGAGACCCGGTGGGGGGAACTTAACGCTAGCAAGTGGACGATTGTACATGAATTCGTGCTTGTGTTTATATTGTATATGTATCTGCTTCGCAACTCGTCTGTTATAACCACCGAGGATCGGCACATTCCAGGGGGTACCTAAAGTACTCCTGAGCACCAGTCCTTTCGTATAGAAAATGCTATGTATTCTGCTTGGGGCTAGAGGAACTAGAGCATTGCATGAACCTCCGATTACACACTACAAAGCGACACATTGCTATAGGCCTGAAGTGCCCATGTTCCTTGTGTGAGAAGGAATATTAATTGTGCCACGATGTGCTAAAGCATCCATAGTGGGAACCAGCTGACACGCCAGGAGTGGGAAAAAACCACGAACTATTGTGGTGTCGACCAATGCTGGTAATAATGGCTCTATTGAGATAGTCATCCTCCCCCCCAAAAAAAGGTTGGCCATGAGGTACTAAAATAGCTCCACATTCCAACACGGGCTGTTGAATTAGACGCAACTTGGCCTACTAGATGACCTGATACTTGAGCTACAAAGTGCGAGGAGCATGGCTCTTCATCATTCAAGATGACGGGTTTAATCATTGAGGAGAGATCTCGCTAGTGAGTAATTTCTTTTTGTTTCTTGGCATTTACTTGTCTTCAGTCCACAGTCCCAGAAGATGATGGATTCCTTCACGCTGTCAGCGTTTCCAAACGGAGGATAGTGAGTCAGATGCTTACTTTTGAGGCCCAGGTCATTGCCAAAGAATGTTTCGTGGATCCCTTCGCCGCTCGTGACTAAGCCATCTGGCCCCAACGTTGCAGCATTTCCCCCAATCGCAAGATTCATGATGAGTGGAAACGATGGAAGCATTGCCGGGACAAAATTGGATGCCACGCTTGACCGAGTATCGATGCCCATGCGACCGATGACATTGATGGCGGCGCATTGGCCCATGAACAAAGCGGCACCCACGCTTTTCATCCCATCCCACGCTGCAATGTCTCCAATTGCAAGATGGAAATCGGCGTTGGGAATATCGACAGCAAGGGAAAGGCTGCACTTGTGAGCATCTGTCAAAGCTGCGGCCGTGGCCGCCAGTCAAAATACATTCACTTACTCTGCTTTGATCTTCACAAAGCCCAGCTCGTTCAAGCAGTCCATCGGGAGAAACTGTGTGTTTGGAGAGGGTTTTGCGGTGCAAAATATCACCTTGCCCGCGTCCAGAACTTCTCCTGTAGATAGGAACAAACGATCAAATTGTTCTTTTGTATTTTCCAATACAACAACATGACCAACGACCCGTCGTTCCAGCTGCACTTCAACATTAGCCTGACACAGCAGTTGCCACACCTGTTGTTTGTAATCCACCGGCAGAGGCTCGGACGACAATAGGTCCGACCGAGAGTGAACAAGAATAACTCGTTTACGCGGATACGCCTGTGCGATCTCTGCGGCTGTCTCAATACCAACAGCGCCTAATAGTATGTTTATATCAGCGTTAAACAACTTGAATGAGATGAGAACATTCGAACTGCCTACCGCCTCCAACAATAACAATAGCGCCTTTCACTTGTTCTAGATCTGTTCTTTGCCCCTCAATGTCTTCCAAGTATGCGTGTTTTGTGTGATGAAACGGAACAATTGGCCAAGGTCGATTGAGACCCGACGCTGCAACGAGGTAGTCGTAGTGTATCTCAGTATTGACGGATTTTTCGGTAGGTGAGCCGGCCAAGGTCTGATATTTCACCACCCTATGCAAGATGTCGACACTGGCGACTTGTCCCTGGATAAATTCAACTCCTGCCCGTTTGAGGCTGCTGCAGTCCGCGTAGCCCTTCCAGGCGCGCTCAGCGTATCCTCGGACGGCTAAGGCCTGTGGCGCTCCCATTGTATGGACTATAAACGCGGAGTTCGTTAGACTGCTAGTACCTTAAAGAGAGCTGGAGACACGAACAGAATCCATCCCGTCTGTCAATCAAGGTGATCTTCGGTTTGATAGTTGGGAGCACTTCTGGTGCTTTTTGTGGAATTGGCGATGGAAGTAACTCCCGAGCCTGTATCATTCTGATCATATTTTGTATCGCGGCAAGTCCGGCATATGAGCCACCTATCACCACCACATGTGGTGCTCTGCTTGTGGTGGACTGCATTCGAAGGTGGCCCAGCATGTTTAGATTGTTTTGAATTCCCTGAAAAATATGAGTTCCACGGAGAAGAAGAATCACAAGGGGTACCCCAATGTGATATAGGATGTAACAGAACAGATTTCGCCGTAGTGCTGCAAAATATGTTCTCATGCTCGGGGCGAAACCGGGTCAATACCTCCACCAATTCGGAATCTCGGGGTCAACACTGTTTCCGGTGGATCCATACCGATATAATTTTGCGCATATTTATTCCGATTAGTCTAGGCTAGTCTGGTGTACGGATGGGACAATAATGGACCCATACCAAGCCCTGAGTCTCGGGGCTTGTCGTGACTCCCGGCGTACCCACCCCGATGTGTGACTCCTATTGGATAAAGACCGGCAACGCCTCCATTCCCCCCCACTCTAATCATACTATCTTATCTGATCCGCTCAACGAAAGAATAAAACTAAACTGGGTACACGACGTGTCTTGATGCGTCAGTAATCGTACTGGCTGGTTACTCACTGTCCCATTCCCACCCAGAGAAACTGGCCGAGGAAAGAATAGACTACCCACATTAGAGCTAGTAGCTTATGACCTCTTCCTCTCAAGTAAACATATAAAGTATGGGTCTTGGACCCCCAGTAAACATTGGAGCATCTTGATCATTGATCCGCCACAGAGGCAGGCATTTTCCACGGCAAAATACGATTGATAGGCCAGTTTACTTTCAGAGAAACCAGCAGCTCTCATCATGAACACTACCACGCAGGACGAATACAGCAGTGCTCAAGTGCAGAAACTGGGCCAGCCGGGCATCACTGCTTCAGCCGCAGCTTCCATACACAACCCAGTTTATGACGAAGGCGCAGAGAGTTCGCTCAGGATTGATTTGCCGCACGGTGTCAGAACTGTCGAGGCGGTAACTTCAGTTTGGTCCAAAAGAGCATTGACGGTTGCTATGATCCTGTAAGATGAAAGTCATCGCTCTTCTGTAATCTACTAATGCACACCAGCTTTTATATCTTTCTCTTTGCGGTGTCCTTGCAGCAAGAAGTCACTACCAACCTAGCTCCTTATGTCACCTCATCCTTTGAACTCCACTCCCTCACTGCAACGACACAAGTGATTGCTGGCGTTATCGGGGGTGTTTCCAACCTACCGATCGCTAAGGTTCTTGATCTTTGGGGTCGAACCGAAGGATTCTCAGTCATGACTGTTTGTTGTACCATCGGTAAGTTCTCCTCGAGGTTTGGGAGCACCACTCTGATGCTGAGAGAGGATTGGCCATGATGGCGGCATGTCGTAATGTCCAAGTGTACGCAGCTGCGCAGGTAAGTTCTCGGCAAATTTCCCGATGTTAATGGCTGTTTTCGTACTTCATGGATGGAAGTCTGACACCTTGTAGGTGCTATACTGGGTGGGATACAATGGATTGGAGTACATTATAAGTATTTTCATTGCGGATGCGACCTCCTTACTCAGTCGCTCCGTGATTCTGGGAATATCACAAACACCATACTTGGGTACGGCCTTTGCCGGCCCTCCAATTGCTCAGTGGTTTCTAGATCACAGCAGCTTCCGATGGGCATACGGTATGTTTGTCATAACAACACCCATCTTTGCGGCGCCTATTGTGCTACTATTTTTGCACAACCAGCACAAGGCCGCGACCATCGCCCGTGTCGTAGAAACTCCCTCACCAGAAAACCACAGCCATTGGCATTCGTTGAAGACGCACTGCAAGTCCTTGGATTGTAAGCACAGCAGTTCATTTCTCCCATGCGTCTTCTGAAGCTGATTCAACTATAGTAATGGGCATGCTGCTTCTCATGGCCGGCTTTGTGCTTCTGCTTTTGCCGCTCAGTTTGGCCGCACGAGCCCCCGACGGCTGGCGGACCGGTTACATCGTTGCGATGTTAGTTCTCGGAGTCATATTCTTGATTGCTTTCGCCGCATGGGAGAAATGGATGGCTCCTGCCACGCTACTCCCCTTCCGATTCCTCACGGATCGAAGTGTGATCGGTGCCTGCGTGGTTGCCTGCGGCCAATTTATCAGTTTCTAGTAGGCCCAGTATCTACCCTCTTCTGACACCATTCAATGTTGACTAACACGCGTAGCTGTTGGGCGTCGTATCTCATATCTTATCTCCAGGTGGTTCATAGGCTAAGTGTCCAGCATGCAGGCTATGTGTTGGATGCTTACACGCTAATGTCTTGCTTCTGGGCGGTCATGACGGGGCTGTAAGTGGGGCAAGCCACGCGGAAAGAGAATCCTTTATGCTAATCCAGGCCACGATCCATTCAGACTCATTCAGAAAAGCGGCCGGTTCAAATGGCTTGGGGTCTGCGCGGTACCCTTGATGCTTCTTGGTACTGGCCTTCTCATTTACTTCCGAGCTGCTGGGACACCCATTGGATATGTGGTTATGTGTCAGATCTTGAATGGTGTCGCTGGAAGTACCCTGTTAGCGGCCCAGCGCATGGCCGCCCAAGCTGTGGTCAACCACGAGGAAGTGGCGGTCGTAACAGCCTTGATTGGTCTTTTTTCCTCCCTGGGTGCAGCCATTGGATCGACGATTGCCACTGCGATCTGGACGAATCTGATGCCCCGATATTTGATGATCTATTTACCGGCCACGGACCTAGACATGCTCCCGATCATATACGGCAGCATCGTCCAGCAGCTTCAATATCCTTGGGGTAGCCCAACCCGGGATGCGATCGTACACGCCTATGGCGACGTTCAGCGCCGGCTGCTCATTGCGGGTACATGCTTCGTTCCCCTTGTGCTCGGCGGGGTACTACTCTGGAAGGACACTCAGGTGAAGGGGATGAAACAGACGAAAGGGACTATTTATTAGAATGTGCGCGAAAGATGTCTGCGAACACTCCTAGTTGACCGCATACTACGTTACTGCCGCCTCCAAGCAAGTGCTGTTGGATTGTCCGGAGGTCCTAGAATCAATTGATCGCCGCTCGTCGCGAAGCAGAAGCGGAGAGAATACTACGATAACCTGTATCGTGATCGTAGATTTTCTACGGCGTAGGGATCTTATTTGCTCCTCAGAACAAGCTTTGCGCTTTTTGACTATATGGAATACTCACAATGGCACGGTACATCTTTTTGAGATACTATGAATACTGTACTCGGACCTTGTCACAACCAACATCAGCAACGGAATCCTGAGATACTCTCCCGCATCGTGCAACGGCCTTCATTGCCGGCTGTAGATTTGAATCAGCTTCTTGGGTTGTCGCACGTTGCCCAAGTCAGAGAAGGGATCGAACATGACGCGATATAAGCATAATCGGATCGTATAAGCTTGATGACCGACTGATTTCTCGTAGCAACTGTCCCAGCTCCCCCGTACTCAAATTGTAAAGAGGACGAGCGTAAGTTTCTAGTCTGGTTCGGATTTCCCTTGCGATGCCGATATGCTCTCAGTCCCTGTCAACGATGCGGGAGGGCCAGATGCGTCGTCGAACGCATTCGCTCCCCGCCCGTTACGCATCGCTGCCATCTTGCCTCGCAGAGGAAGCTGAGTGAGACGGATTGAGAGACTTGGAAATGCTTACCTTTCGTTTTCTCCCCAGTATCATGCTGTGTCGGGTTCCCAAAAGAATGGTGAGGAGATTTTTGCGGTGTGATTGGATTTGATAGAGTTCTCAGGCTTTTCACAGCCTGCGGTCGTATGCAGCCCTAATGCTTTATGATCCAGTTACTATTCAAAAGCACGTGAAGGGTCCGTCAGATTATGTTAGCAGAGCAAACCCAGCTTTTCGTTTGCTCACTGTGCCTTAATCATCACCCGTCCTTTTCCTCCACCCACCTCATGAAAGCAGAATCAAACGTTTCCGTATATGCCTCGACAACGATCAATGAATGCCTGCCGACAATGTCGCCTATCCAAAGCAGGGTGTGATAATACCAAACCCACATGTCTGAGGTGCCTGCGAAAAGGGCTTAACTGTGTCTATATCTCGCCCCTATCGCGTGAATGTTCTCACCGGCACAGCTTCACCACTGTCGGCATACCCTCTCTAGATCACCAAAGCTCATCAGTCACGCACGAGGTCCCGTCGATTCCATTCCAATTGTGTTCCCACACTGAGCGAGATGGAAGTGACATTGGCCGCTATAACCTAGAAGTCGACTCATGCCGGAAGGTAAGCGGGAATGAATCCGGCGTGGTGCATACACGTCATTCATGCACTAATATCGGCGGGCAATTGCTCCAGGAAATCGAGACTAGCCGAATGTCTAGCTCCTGCATCCGTTGTCGACAGTCGAAAGTTAAATGCGACCGAAAAACCCCTTGTCAGCGTTGTGTAAAAGCAGGGAAAGGGGATGCCTGCACATATTCAACGGCTACTGCTGGACAGCAGAGTTCAGCATATCAAATGTCGAGGCTCCATCTCCCCATGTGGAAGCAGAATTTCCATATAGACAATCATTGGAACGTGGTGCTTGAAAACGTATTACAATATATCCTACTTGCGAAGCGGTTTCCTAACAAGAGACTACAGGTCGAGAGTTTGTTAAACCACTACGCTGGGCGTGGTGATGAGAGAAGCGACCACCAACAGAAAGAGACATCTGGAGATACAAGCTTTTTCGCTGGACGTGATAGCCTTCAGCGAATGTCACGCAGGACGCTTCTTTCCAATGTGCCTCCGCGCCACATGGCGGACACATTCATTAGATGTTACCTTAATGTCATTGAGCCGTCTCACCACGTATTGCATGCGCCTTCCTTTTCCGACGAGGTATCGTCATTCTGGGTACGACCAGGTGCGGCCAGTGATTCGTGGCTAGCCAAATTGTTTGCCACTCTGGCTCTTGGAAGTCTCATCCATCAGTCATCCAGTTCGGCAGATGGATCAACAGAGCAACTGCCAAATCGACTCTATGAAGTTGCACATTCTTGTTTGAGACGTACACCGTACATGGCGCAACCGACTAGCGATAACATTCGTACGTTGTGCCTGCTAGTGATCTTCCGGCAATTGAACAGCTTGCTCTGTGTCGAGTCCGACGGCCTTTGGCCTGTTACGGGGCTGATTGTCCGCTTAGCTATCTCATCGGGGTTACATGCAGCAGGGGATGGCACCCGTACACTGGCGGCTACCGCTAACAGAGAGCTCTGGAACGCTGTTTTGTTTCTGGATCTACGCCACAGCCTTGCATCCGGCCTCCCGGTCATGACCCCGTTTCCAATGCATCAGTGGCCGACGGATGCCACTAGTACTGGTGGAACCTCTCCCCAAACATGGAGCATACCCTCATCTATTGGTCCTCTGGAGCCTCCACAATTCTCAGATGTTATTTCTGATCATCTTCCCTTGATTTACAAAATCTTGGATTGTTCTTCTGGAGCCGTTCCGGTCTCCTATGACTCGGCTATTATGTATGATCGCCAGATACGCCAGCTCTTGGGCCATTATCATCAACGGCTTATGACCACCGCCGATCGCGTGCATGAATCAGAGGCTACTATCTCCCAGTGCCATGCCATATGGCCTATGATTAATATTCTGTTCCGTCGAGTACTCCTGGCACTCCATAGCCATCTCTGTCGCCAAGAGATGGCCCACGTTCTGTATCCAATTTCGTATTGGTCCACGCTCGAATGCTGCCTTTCATTGCTCTCGGAGCAAAACAGCCTATGTCAAGCAGGTGCTGACTTGTGTGGTGTCCCAACACGCTTTTACGCGCGACTTTTTCGACAGGAATTTTTTCTCGCCGCGATGACGATTGCCCTGCGTATACTGCAACCAGAGTCACCGCTGGAGCCGTCGAATGATTGCGATTGCAGGAAGCAAGCTCGACAGACGATTCACGGTACCCTTAGCGCCTGCCGAGACGTTTGGAAAGCAGACAGAGACCGCTCCAGCTGCCTTCAGAAATCCTTCGAATCTCTCGATGCTGTGCTCAGGTTCATGGAGGCCAGAGACCGATCACTTTAGCCCTAGATGAACCTGCATTTTCCTTATAGGCAGGATTTCTCTTCGACATCCAAACGAAGAATGTAATTCACGTGCGATTGTATCTCTTCGAGTGTCTTCAGAACCCGAGGACTTCGTTTGGATCCGATTGGGATGATTTCGTTTTGCCATCTCCCATATTCGATGAAATTCCGATGTTCCCACTGCATCGTCTCATCTCACACCCTGGAACCCTGTATATGACGGAGCAGTTTTCATTGGAGTCTATCCTCCCCTGCTGGCCCTTGGTCGTGGCACATGTGCCCTTGGTAAGGATCATCTCAAGTAATGGACTGTGTAATGTACTTAGATGAGACGGAACATATATCCCGCGAATAACAATGCGTAAAAGAGCCATACGGTATGGGCACCTGCCATCACCTCAGGCCCAGATACCACCGAGGCAAGTTTGGAACTTCCAATCGGCTTAGCCACCGGAGGGTATCATCAAGGACAACGGTGTCGCCGTTGTATGTCACAATGGAAACCTGATCAAAGGTTCTAGAGACAGAGCAACTCTGACCTGTCCCTTGGCTTGAAATCTTGATGCATTGTGTCTTTGACTTACACATACAAAATTACGTTAACAAAATAATGGAGACCACTGTCTTTAGTGTGGTAGTTAGTCTTAGCGGTGTATGTGCTCCGTGTTAATCCAACCTCTGCTATCTTGCAGCCTAACTCGCTGCTTATTATTATCGTGGGTAGGTCCAATAGAGAGATGTCAACTGGCCAACTGGCCTCTCGACGAATATAACGGACACACATGTAATGCTGAGATGGGAAACTACTAAGTTGAGTTCCTTGGGTTACCTCAGTTGCTTGAATCTATCAACATGGCTGGGAAGGGGTTGCTAACCCGCTGAACCCGTACCGCTTTAAGAGGGACAGTATAGAAACTAATAGAATAACCAAAATTCAGTCAGGGGCACATTTGTTTGAGCACCTCAAGTAATAGAAGGTCCCACACCTGTATCTGCTTTAAGCCACGCAGCTACTATGGCTACAGCTGGAGTATACCTCTCAATGGGATCATTCCCACGGACTCATATCTGTAAAAGCTAACCTAGGAAAACTAAATACCTAACTGCTTATCTGACACCCAATGTGAGCCTCCCGCACACCGATACCCACCACTCTGCTTAATCCACCGGTACCCCATGATGCAAACTCCCATCTGTCTTAGTTTTGTTTGTGCTTGGGCCTCTTTCCTCCTCCGCTCTTCGACCTGAGCTTTCTGCTTGCGTAGCTTCTCTAGCTCCTCTTCCTGTGCTCTTCGTTCGAGTTCGCGGCGGATGCGTTCTTTTTCACGGGCCAGCTTGGTCGCGGGGTCGTTTGCCGAATTGGTGTCGGCAGGTTTGTGTTGTTGATTGAATGCATCTTCTAACGTTCGAATGTCGTTAAGAAGACGGTCATATCCTTGTTCTGACTGCTGTGCATTCAGCTTGTCAAGTTGTAGCTGGTTCCATATCGCATCTGATACTCCCGCATCTCGTGGAATAGTCGTGCTCAGCGTGGGTGTTGCTGGATCAATCGCATGGGGATCTGGCGATGGCGCTTGGGTGTTTGCGTTCGTAGTCATCGTGGTCGTACTTGTGGACACACTGCTGTTCGTTCCGGGTTGAGCCTTGTCTTGTGTATCCGTAGCAGTTGGCAAGTGGTTAAAAGCAGGCCCGGCATGACGATGACCGACTCTCGACCGACTTGAACGTTCTTTAACCATCCGGCCCATCTGCATCACAATATCATGCTCTGTAAGAACTAGTCTTCCACCACCAATATTTTGAATTGCTTTGGCAAAGATCTTCTTAGCCAGATCCTGGATATCTCTTGCATTGGCCCAATTGGGCGTTTGGCAGAGTTCTGCAAAATAGGAGTGCATATTCCCGCGTAAGTTAGGTGGTAGATGGTCCAAGACGCCAATGTTGAATTCTTTCCCCTTTTCTCTCAGTTTATCTCTCTGCTTTCTAAATAGGGTAGTTAACAGTGTGATCGATGCGTTGGGATCAAGTCCGTTAAACGCAATCGACTCCGGAAATCGACTCGTCAACCCTGGGTTGATGGCCATGAGCCTGTTAATATCCTCTTCATACCCGGCCAGGATAATGACCAATTTCTGTGCGTACTTGGGATGGGTAATACAAGCGACAACCTCATCAATGGCCTCTTTAGCGAATTGCCCTTCGGCTAGTCTGTATGCCTCGTCTATGAGCAGGACTTTACCGAGTGCTTTCTCCAGCAATTCCTGTGTTTTGGGACCGGTGTGGCCGATATACTGGCCAACAAGGTCGGTGGCTGACGATTCAATCACCTCTGTAGACGAGAGAAGGCCCATGGAATAGTATAGCTGGCCAATCTTGCGGGCTGTAGTGGTTTTGCCAGTTCCTACTCATCCTATTAGTAAATTGATGGCCAACACGACAGGAAATTGAAGTACCTGGAGGTCCACGAAACAAAAAGTTAAATGGAATCTGTGTCCGAGGATCCAAATCCAGCGCCCTCATTCCTTTAGCAATTCGACAATATTCCTCCATCTGAGTGATGATCTTCTCACATCCCACGGTCCCTTCAAACAGTTTCGGTACGTTAGCCTCTGCCTTCTGTCCGCGATCATGATCCTCATCAAAGTCTTCAGGCACAAAGGTAGACGATATACGTGATTGGCCACTGTTGATTCTTTTCTGGTGGTTAAGCTTGGCCTTGTTTAGTAGGATATCAATCTCGCCAGCATTTCCAAAATGAGGCCGGTTTCGACATCTCCCGAGAACATCCATCGCAACTTTTCTCCCGAGAGTGGTAGTATCAAAGCCTTGCTCTGTCAATTTCAGATCAAAGATCTGGCCCATTTCAGCATCCGTGAAATCATGAAATGTAAAGGCAGAATCCAGAGGAAACCGTCGGGTGAGCCCTGGGTTGACATTCTGGAACATCTCCTCCATTTGATCTTTATATCCTAGGAGCAGGACGCAACGGTCATCCCCCGGAACGCTTTGTACTTCCGCGACAATTGTATCGATGACAGCTGTTTTGAATTGGTTCGTGTGAGAGCCTGCTTTATTCTTTGTACCTCCTCCGCCGAAAAGTCCATATGCTTCGTCAATAACAAGGACTTTCCCGACTGTTGATGCGAGGATGCCCTTCGTGTTCTTTTCAGATTCACCGATCACACTTCCCATGAAGTCCGCAGGATTTTTAACAATGACTTGGCAAGTTAGTACAGCTTGCCTGGCATTTGTGGACTAGTCACTCACCCTCCCCATTAGACAAAAAGCCAATATCAACCAGAATCTGACCATATAATTTCGCAACACTCGTCTTTCCGGTCCCTGGGGAGCCCAGAAACACACGATTCAAGGTAAATTCCAACAGTGGTTTTTCTTCCAACTCACGAAGATAGTTATACTGCATGCTATCCAAGAATGCCTCGATACTCTTCTTGACGGTATCAAGCCCAATCATTGTCTGAAGTTTCTGCCACGCAGTGCAGTTCTGTAGAGCCTGTGATGGCTCGGGGCCAATGAGATCTTCCTTGGTTAAGAGCATGTCGTCCACTGTGGCGTTCTTCTTCATTTCCATTTTAAGCCGAGTTGCTTGCCGATCGTATATCCTTGAGCAGGTGTTTTGAATAGCACGCGCATTCCCAAATCCTTCATGTCCACGTCCTCGGCCAACGCGACGAGACACAATGCGGCTGTAGAGACCACCCATGCCACCTTCTAATTTCATCCGGCTCTGATATGTTTGATTGATGTTATATTCGAAGATCTGAAGCAACTCGCTATCAGTGTAGTCTTCAAATTTAAATTCATGTGGAAACCGACTCGGTAAACCAGGATTATGCGCGAAGAACTTCTCCATATGTGTGCGATACCCAGCCAACACAACCGCCATTTTTCCCGTTTGATTCTCGACTTCTGCTAAGAGAAAGTTCATGACTTGTGTTCCTTGGGTCTGGCCCTCTGTCAACTGGTATGCCTCGTCGATGAAAAGAACTCCACCGCCGCTGTTGAGTATAGTGTTAATCCTCTTTTGGCAACCTGACACGCCTTCATTCGCGAGGATCGAACCCGTTGTTTCTGCAAAATAACTGCCTGGGAGGACTCCAACAGCACCAAGAAAGTTGGCATACAGTCGAGCCACTGTTGTTTTGCCTGTCATAGGTTAGACTTCCATATCTATTCTCTGGCCAGAATGCGTACCAGTTCCTGGATTCCCAATCAGGACAGAGCCAAAACGCTCTTTGCTCAGATCAACGCCCTGCCGCAATGCCGTATCAACTCGAGCTTTGATGGTGAGAAACTTGTCTTTGACTTGCTCAAGTCCGATCATAGCCATCAATTTGTCAATGCTGTCACTGCGTGCGCCTTGAAATTGTTTCTGATAGTCCCAATCGTCCTTTGCAGATGAGTTGTATGGCCTGGCCGTTGGCGAAACCGGCTTTGTTGGGTTATTTTTCCCATCCCGATCTTTATGTTTCTTAGTAGAGCTTGGCGGGTGAGCACTGGAGGAGATTGGGCTGACGTTCCCATTACGGTTGCTAGTTGCGGTTGAGGCAGTGGAACTCCCAGCTGTAGACATATCGATCACGGTATTGCGCTGGTTTAAAGAGTCAGATTTCAACCCATTCAGGTCATTCCGATGTTGTGCTAGAACTCTCTGTCGATCTTCATCTTCCCGCCTCTCTCTTTGCAATCGTCTCTCATGGGAAATTTCGTCTTGTAACTCCGCCAACTCTCTGATGTACTCTTTCTGTTTTCTCTCTCTCTCCAGCTCGAGCTTCATATCTCTTCTTTTCTTGGCTTCCTCGGCTCGATCTTCAGCAGCACATGGTTGACATGTACCGTTAGCTTGGAAGCAGGGACAGGTTATTTTGTGACCGCGGGCACAATTCCATTCTGTGATCTTTTGGCATTGCATTCTAGAGTGATCCGACAGTTGGTGGCATTTGTATGGGCATGTATGTACGCCGCAGGCCAATTTGACGCCACTAGAATGTTAAGCTACTTGCCATAATATATCGGATGCCAAGGGAAGACTTACCAAGGTAAAACACACCCTCCATCTGGACATTCAGCATCAAATTCTTCTATTGTTTTAATTATTGCGGTCCTTGCTGGGTGCTGTTCGCACCTCACCGGTAGTCCATCATACAAGTGTCCCCTGGCTTTAAGATTATTGACAAAGGGGACCCAGACATCCTTTCCCTTTCGGCTGTTGACAAACGTATTGACATTTCCAACCATAATGAGAATGTTTCGAGCACGAGATAAGAGAACATTTAAACGCTGGGGAGCTGCCATGAAGCCGATATCGCCGGCGTTGTTGCTGCGGGTTAGAGTGGACACGACGATTTCACTCTCTTCACCTTGGTAGTTGTCTAGTCTTGATGAGCATTGTATTGTATAAACGAAGGGCATATCTCTTTCGCCTACCTATTGTTGACAGTCGAATCGGTCGCTTGGAATAATTTGCACTGACCTGTGAAAGCAGTCCAGCTCTCACAAGATCGTGAGAGTCCAAGTCATTTAACACAGGGTCATTATCCTTTCTTAGCCGATCCCTCAGCAGATGCAGCTGTCCCAGATACGGGGTTAGTACCACAACCTTGTCAGTTCCATACCCCTGCTGTCCTAGATATTTGACGATTTTCAGAACCATGTCCACCTCGAATGGATTTGTCTTGCTCCCTTTTGCCCCCTCATCTCGACGGTCTGAGACACGGGCGAAGTTCGTCTCTGGATTTTCATGATGAAAGAAGATCACTCGATCCTGTAGTCCGCGAGGGGCGGGACGAGACAGCGTGGCTGGCGCATCTTCTAAAGCGGGATATGTAAGACTTCGCACCAAGAAGGAAATCTCCGGGCACATTCGGTGTTGTGTAGCTAGGGTAGAATGGGGATATCCGGCCAGGACCAGTCGTTCAAACAAGGACCGATTAAGGTCATATCCATCACCTCGTTCTACCGACAACACATAGCTGTTAATCTTTGGTCGTAGCTGCTGGTGGTCCCCGATCAACACTAATTGTTTGGTTTCTGAATTCATGGCCGCCAGAACATGTGACTCCAGGATTTCGCCAGCTTCCTCAAGTAGAATGATTCCAGGAGACGCAGCACGAATGTCTTCCGTGTACATGGCGGCCGCAGTAGTAGTGCACCCAATGATGCGTTTAGACTTGAGAATGGAGTGGGTTCTTTGATTCCAGACTTTCTCTATATGTCTGTGGCATTGGTCGATACCGCGCATGGATTCGTGTAGGTTGCTGACTTGTTCTTCAAGGATTTGATGAGACCATGTCTGGATATACGCTTGACGTGTGGGCATATCGAATGACCAGACATCCTGAGAGTGTGCATAGCTGTCTAGCTTCACGTAGCCGGGTTGTTCCCGTCCCCTTGCCCAAAGATCGTAGAGATAATGTGAATCGACTTGTTTTCTTTTCTCGCCGACGATGGTCATATCGTCGTCATTCTCCGGTGGCATGAATGCACTGTAGAAGGATGGATCCTCGAATTCGAGAAACTCAAGCATGGTGCGTGCATTAACCTTGAAGTCGACATACTTTTGGAACGCCGGCATCAGCCGATCCTTGCAATCGGCTGCTTCGTTCTTATATCCATCAATCACGCCCCAGGTACTCTGAGTATGTCTATACGAGGACCTTTGAGAGGATAGACTTAGGGGCTCAGTACGAGCGGTGGATTTAGATCCCAGTCTAACAATTGACGACGAGTCGATTCCAATATCGAGAAGATCTTCCAGAAACTGATCGAGTGCATGATTTGTATAGCACATCACTAAAATGGCCTCTTGACTGTGGTCATGAAAGACCTTGGCCAACAAAGCCCCTATAAAGGATTTTCCAGTTCCTGGGACGTCAGCTACATTTGGGACTTTTTGGAGGAGAGATTACCTGGAGGCCCTTGTATGAGACTAACTGTCTGCGTCAAGCCAGAAACAAACGAGTCAAGCTGAGTGCGATCAAGGTTTACTGGTGTTTTGGTACCAATCAGATGTTGGATGTTTTGATCACCCGTGTTTCGTATGTTCTCCACAATATCATCTGGGATGAGGCCCGATGGCTCAGCAAGTCCCCCACGTTGATATTCGAGCAATTCCCGCGACAATGGCAGGTCTGGTTTATCTTGAAGGCATTTCAAGATCGGCTCATACGCAAAGACCGCAGCTTCGACCAGCACGAAATGGATATCGTTGTAGAGTTTGAACGCTGCCAATGTCTTCTGCATCGCGTGCTCCCCCAAAACCCGCAGCGTAATCACCGGGACGTCAAGGCAGAGTTGACCGACATTCCGATCGAGGGTGGCAAACGCGATGATTTCTTGATTACGAAGCAGACATCCAAAGGAGTTATGTTTCAGAAAGCTATGGTTATCATTTAGGAATTTCTTTCGTTCGTCCGCGGAGCGAGTAGAGAGGGAGTTCAGTCCCTTCGCGCAGGAAATCGCGAGGGAACAAGGACGCAGGCGCCGATCATCGCCGCAAAGGATGTTTACAATCGATAGTTTCTGGAGCAAGGACGCCGCTCTTCTTCCTTTTTTCTTTCCTAAGGCTATCTGGATGTCCTCGCGGAGTTCAGATAGCATATCCTCTCGCATCAGTCGAAACTGATTGTCCAGATGGGCTGGGAGGCGTTGTTCGCGAGGCAGTTCTGATATCTCGTCCATGCGCCGATAGAACGGCTTTTCAGTCGATGCGAACTCATGGGCGGTTGGGTATATGGCGACCGTGCGAAAATCCAGAAAGTCATTGTCGTGTCGCCCACCGGGTGCACAATCGGGGCTAAAGGGCGCACTCGTCGACTTGATTATTAACATGTGCTGAATTTTCTGTCCGAGTGCTCGGACTTGGGCGGATGATGAGAGCAGCAGCGATCCATCGTCGATCATCTCTTGGGCGTCGCCTCTAATATCGATGGTCGACGAGGGCGGAAAGGAGAGCAATTCGACGACCATCCAGGCCAACGCGTGGACACTGGATTCGGATAACTCCTTCTTCTTGAAACCATCTACAAACGCCGTCCATAGTGTCTTTGGCTCCACAATGAGGGTCAGAATGTCTTGCAGGAATTGGCCGTTACAGAGCCGCTTGATCTCAGGGTCTGCGAGATAGTGAAGAAATGGTGTCGTGTATTGGTCAATAAACTGCGGGGTGATATTGAACCGCAGGCCCCGGTGGAGCGCCGTACGAGCGGCCGGACTGGCGATGATGCGCTCAATGCACCCAGAGCGGTTGGATTGATCCTGAATAGATTCCAAGAACAGCTTTAGACTGTCGAGGTTGACGATGGCTCTTTTCCCCTGGGCAACCAAGTTAAAGAATTTGAGCAATCTGGCTGAGCGTGGCGACATGGCGGCGATAGATGATGTGGATGAAAAAGGATTTCGCTCCGGTTCATCAAGGGGCTACTAATACTGGAGCTCGAAAGATAGACTGAGCCCACCAGGCCGCAATGCAGGATAAGAAACCACTGACAGCCAATCGACCGCAGACACGTCGATGCACTGAGCTACACAGCGCGAAGCAGTCAGCCTTGCGGGGTTGTTCGTACTTTGGTCATTGTCGTCTCGAGTGCATTGCGCTCCTTGAGGGGGATTCCTCTCCCTGGCCCAAATGTGGCATCATTATCCATCCAACATGCAATCTCCGAGGGCTAGATACCGTCGCTCACGAGGAGGAGGCGTAGAAAGGAACGGTCCGTGGAGAAGACCAGAGGGTACCCAGCCACCTTCGCCTCGGCTGGGTCCTGTTTTGGCAAGTATTGAGCATAATGATCTGGATCTTTCCGAGGATAACTGGAAAATCACCGATGTCCGTGATATTGCATCGTACAACTGGTTGAATCGAAAGACTGCCACCGTTATGATCCCAGGTATGTCTATAAGGAGCGAGATCAGGCCATGTCTAACTCTACAATAGGGAAACCACCTGCCTGGACCCCTTTACCTAAGCCGACAAAACTCAAAGAAGACGCGGGTCAATACTTTCGTGATCAGAATGCCGCCCGATACCCTTCCCATCCCTTCCAGCCGGCCATCGAAGCGGTCTTTGAACAGTATCCGGACTTCCCCGCCGCTAAAGTAGACATCGTGGGCTGTGGTAGTACGCTGGGGAATCTTCTGCGTTTTGCTAGGAACATCGATAAAAGGTTTCGATTTGTTGTGCAATGTGTCGGAAAGACAGTGTTCCTCATCCGCAGGGAGAATTCACCCACTCAAACGATTGCTGACGTTCGGGGGTACGGTCACACCTTCCCAGAGACTTACACGACTTGGGATCCAGACGTCCAAGGATCCGAGTCGCATCAGCGAATTATCCAGTATTCCCTTGGTGGGCTGAACTGTCTGGTGCGGTTCGAGGGGGATGGATATCACCCTGATCTGATTGATCAGAAAGCCTTAGGAGAAGACGTGAGAAAGCGGAGACCTACTGACAAAGCCGAGGAGACGATCGATCAACTCCTATGCGCGTTCAATGATGCCTCAGTCAGTTCCTATCGCTCGTCCGGCAAGGCTCTGACCAAGGAGACCGGGGGCGGCTACATTCCTCAGGCAGCTATATTTGATCTCAAAACCCGCTCGATTCGCAGAAAGGAACAGGACTTCCTATGGGAAGAGATGCCTCGCTTATGGATCGCCCAGATTCCCAACATGGTCCTCGCCTTTCATCGTTCTGGAACGTTCGAAGAAATACACAAGATTGACGCTCGCGAGACGGCCAAAAAGTGGGAAACAGAGGAGGAGCACAACCTACGTAGGTTCGTGGCGTTATTGAAGATGGTGGTAGCCTTTGCCAGGGGACAGCCTGATGGTCGACTGGAAGTGTTCCACGATGAAGGCAGTCCAATCTTGGATCTGAGGGAGGTTGGGGACAATTTTAATAACGCTCTACCGGAGGAGGTTGAAGACAGATGGATTTTGAACAGTTGATCTAAGATGTGCTTTTCAAGTTGCGCACGTCAATAGCGCCGGTTTTGTGTTGAGATGACGTTCCCAGTACTGAGGACCTTTTCATCCATTTCCCCGATGTCTGATTAACTACGAAAAAGTTGGGTGCGCTACATATTCATCCGAGAACGTGCAAGAATCGACCTCGAACCCTACATGTACGCGTTGCAGAAGGGGGAGTTTTCAACAAGCTCATGATTCGCATAGAGAAACCGGATGCCGTAGGTAGCTACTCAACAAGTTATAAACTCAATTTGATTCTCTTGTTATGAGGGGTAGTTGTGATCCCTGTGTATCCTACTAGCCCTATTGCCAACGTCGCATTTACCATACGCCGAGGATTAACCAGTCCTGTTCAGACCATTGCAAACGAAGGTGGGGACCATCCAATTATATGAGTGTCAAGATTTAATCCACACTATAAAAGAAGTCATTGGCTGAAAATGTCGTTCAGAGTGACTGCGATAACAATTCATTGATGGCAAAGAAGCCCACCTAGCCCTAGCTCTTTGAAGTGAACGGAGGCTAACCACGATAGTCCCAGCTGTATTTCCAGGGAAGTGTTATGCTAGCGACCCTTAGTTCTGGAAGCAAGATCCCTGAACCGTGGTACATAGATCTATCTCGATCCATCTAGATGTGACTTTTCATGGCGGGGAAAAAGGTTTAACCCACGCCCAAATGGAAGACGTAATAAAGATGAGTGAACACGATTAGTGATAGAAAACCCGTGATTTTATTGGATTAGTGATATGAGTGACATTAGTCAGCGATTCATCAGCGCCGGCGACGATGATGGTTTCGGCGTCGTTCCATTTTCCTTCTCGGTGATATATTAATCGGTCCAGTCGTGCTGATTATAGCCGACCGTTGCTATATCTCAAATTACCATCGCTGTGACGGCATATTCCCCGAATCAAATCACACAAGATGCCCGTCCCCGACACATTCCTAGCGGCTACGGTCAACGAGCCCCACGCCCAACATGTTGTTTCTAACCGCTCATTGCAACCACTTGAATCGGGCGAAGTTGCGATCAAAATCACTGCCACAGCCATCAACCCGGTCGACTGGAAGATCCGTGACTACAACGTCTTCATCAAAGAGTACCCAGCCGTGTTAGGATCCGATGCCGCGGGAGAGATTGTTGCCGTCGGAGCCGACGTTTCCAATTTCGCTGTTGGCGATCGGGTCTTCTTCCAGGGGATCATTGGCCGATATGACTCGTCGACCTTCCAACAATACTGTAAGATGCCGGCCACACTGGTCTCCAAGACCCCCAGCAGCATTAGCGACGACCAAGCGGCAGGCATCAGTCTCGCGACCGTGGCGGTTGTTACGGCCTTCTACGACAAGTCCGGCCACGGGTTGACCCCACCGTGGGACCAGAATGGCCCACAGGTCGGAAAGGGCAAGGCCGTCGTGATCATCGGAGGCGCCTCGTCCGTGGGCCAATATGCCATCCAACTCGCTCGGCTGTCGGGCTTTGAAAAGATCGTGACCAACGCAAGCCTGCAAAACCACGAGTGCGTCAAGAAGCTAGGCGCACATGTGGTGCTGGACCGGGCCCATTCGAGCCCGGAGGATTTCAAGGCGGCCATCGGCGGATTGCCTTTGGAATTCGTGTTTGATGCTATCTCGGTGAAGGCGACGCAAGCATTGGGTGTTGAGATCGTCCAGGCTACGGAAGGCGCCGATAAGATTGTGACGGTCCAGGGTGCCGACGCTGATGCTATTGCCCTCGGTCAGTCGAAAGAGCCGAAGGTTGCGGTCAAGCAGGTCTTGGGATTGGGCAGCTCCCCGGCGTTGCGTTATCTCAGCGAACCTTTGGTGAAACATCTCGGCGGCGAGGATGGCTATATCGCTAAGAACCTTTTCGTCCCCAACCGGGTGCATCTGGTTCAAGGGGGACTGAATGCCGTGGAACAGGCCCTTGCGAAGAATAAGGAGGGTGTGTCTGGTGAGAAGGTTGTATTCCGCCCTAATGACGGAGCAAACTGAATGTGAAAGTAATTTATATATTTGCCTTATTAGTAATAAACCAATTCAATAGTTCTCATTCTTCAGTATTTCGATACAATTTTTTTTATCATGGACCTTTTCTCTGGTCTCGTTCATAAGAGGGTCTTGTAAAGCTTGAGTCACTTGGCCAAAGCTTTTATTTGCATGTCATCGTAGGTGTCTTGTGATTTGCTATCAAGCCAAGCATATAAGGGGCGGGACATATAACATCAGCCATTTCTCCTATCTCCATACGATGCCTTGAAGAGACTATCTTAAGATCAAAGGACCTACTAGTTCTATAATGAACGGGTTCTTGTGCACTTGCCTAATACGGGTGCCGCCGCTTTTGTGAGGATACCACATAAGTGATCAGCACCTCTCCTCGGCCCAGCTGTTGGTCCGATTGCCGGCGGCTTCATCGCAGAAAGAACAAGTGAGCGCTCCGGGAGTAGTTTATACTGCTAACTGTAACTAATGTTCCTTTTACGCTGAAAATTCCTTTAGGCTGTCGAACACCCACCGGCGGAGAACCGCCAGTGATATTGGCCAACTTATTCAGTTGGCTACAACTTGTGATAATACCGGTTTCTATTCATGTATCAAGAATTCCAGTAAGCCGAACTTTAGCCCAGATGACAAAGTAGAGAGGTTGGTGGTCCACTGAATTACCCATGATGCACAAATATGGGCCCTGTCCCCTCCAATAATAGGCCAACAGTGAGATCCGGGGGTTCAGCTCGCTCCAAATGTGGTCTAGCTCTGACGATCAACTATTTTAATACCATAGTAAGAATTCTATACGGGCAGTACCCGCCGTTCATTGATACTAGCATGAGGATTGTACTCAATAGTCAAGTGATCGGCAGATCTTGAGCCCCATCGGTTCTTATTTATATTGTGCCCCTGACCGACCGCAAGGATATTGGATTGTCTTTACTTTCCTAACTTTCTTGTCCTTCTTGTATTATCCAGCCGATTTATCCCCGTTAACATATACTTCCAACGTTATTTGTTCCCTCTGGTATTCAGATCAGTCAACATGTATCTACGTAGCATCATTGCTGCCACACTTGCAACAAGTGTTATCGCCCAGACCCAGGATGCACCAGAGATTACTGCTTCTTTCAAAGAGCATGTTTATGAAGCCAAACTACCCAAGAATCCATTCTTTGAAAAGGGTTCTCTAGTTGGAAACATCGATGGGTCTATAAGGGCCCAGTCCGCTGCCGATGGTAAAGGCGTAGACTTTACAGTATCGTTTTCCAATCTCCCGGAAGAGGGTGGTCCATTTCGTATGTTACCCCGGTTCTTCATAAATATGCCTTGGTATCTAACATCTTAGCTAGTGTACCATATACATAACGCAGCTGTTCCTAGCGATGGCAACTGCACTGCGACTCTTAGCCACTTGGATCCTTTTAACCGAGGGGAGAAACCGCCTTGCAACCCGTCCGCAGCCCAAACCTGCCAAATAGGTGATCTGAGTGGGAAACATGGGAAGGTCACCCAGGATCCCTTCGAAGAGGAGTATAACGACCCTTTTGTAAGCCTTTCGGCAAACGATGAGCAATTCATAGGCAATAAATCAATTGTATTGCATTTTGGGAACCGAACACGGATAACTTGCGCCAACTTTGTCAAGGAAGGAGTTGCGGACACTGGTCTTTAAAGGGCAATGGCTTATGGAAATCAAGGTTCAGAATGTTGAAGTAAATTATTTATATCCAGGTGATTATCCCGGATCACTCCGGCTCTGGCTCAATGCTCACTGAACACTCAGGGATTGCTCAGCACACGCACGTCACCCTCGCACCACGCTCCAGGATAAATCACTGAGCAAAAAGCGGCCTTGAGCTAGTCTTATTCCAGAAAGGGAAAGTCGCATTGAAAGTTCCTACACAAGAACCGTTCATAAGTACTTCTAGTATATGTTGGCCATCTCATTTGTCAGTGTCGATGCGGTTTCTCGGGGGTTAGTGAGTTTTTTAGTAGGCTGGCTTGAAGGCGCTTCTTTAAGTGTTCAACATCCCGGATCGCTTCGCAAAGTTTCTACACAAGAACCGTTCACAAGTAGTAAAGTACTCCCTCTACATTTAGAAAAAAGATCGGTCAGTAACTTATAGTAAGAAGAGAAGTAACAGGAAACCACATATATCAAGTTCTGGAGATGTGAACCCTGTTTGTGTTATGCTCTATCGCCAACCCTAACTGGATAACGTGTTCATGACCGGTGCCCTATCTCATAGTCGAGAAAGAGCGTTGGCTAAGGCTGTGTTCTAATTGGTGGCTGGGAGAATCCATGCCAATAACGCCATCTGCAGACAAGTCGCGCCCATCACTTTGTTCCGCTGATCCATTGACTATCTTTGTCGCTCCCCTGCATTGTTAATTTAGTGCAAACGACAATGACTCAGAGGTATCGATTGTACTCGGCGAATGAGACAGTGGCAATCTCTACTTGTGTTCCATGTTCCTCCCAATTCGTGGCTATAAATACTCGAGTGTTAATCGATATCTATCGACTCTCAGAAAATCGAGCAAAATGACAGCCGACGAAGAATCGCCGTTTTTGCATTCGCCCACGACCCCGGGAAGCCCTGAGTCCGACCTTGACCTAAGCCGAAAGTCTGAACACGCCAATAAATTGGTCATCTATGGTTCTTTTCTTGGTGAGTGCGCTGCAAATGGCAATGTGACATAAATATTCTGACAAATCCCAGGCGTATTCCTTGCGTCTGCCGACGAGTCACTTGTCATCTCAACATGGAGCTCCATCGCTTCGCAATTCAACCGTCTGTCAGAAGGGTCATGGCTGCTCGTCGCATATAATTTTGGCTATTGCGTCTCATTACCGGTGGTATGTCGCCCGGAATCTGTCTATCGTGTGATACTGACGCAACTTTTGTTAGTATGGTACGCTCAGTGACTCGTACGGACGGAAGAATGTCCTTCTCTGGGCCTATTTTCTATTTGCTTTGGGATGCCTGGCATGGTCAGTTGCCTCTGCTTGATCAGACCTTTTACAGCGCTGACTGGAATACAACGCAGTGGGGCGAGTGGTTCCTTGATCCAGCTAATCCTGGCTAGAGTACTGGCTGGTATTAGTGGGGGTGGCATGGTTGCTCTGGTTTCCATTATCATAACCGGTATATCCATATGTGATCCATAGAAGTGCAGCTAACATTTGATAGATCTGATGCCCGCAAACGAGGTGGCACTGTTCCGAGGATATGCCAACGTGGTCAATGTTGCTGGTCGCAGCTTGGGAGCCCCAGTTGGGGGCTTTCTGATCACGACACTTGGATGGAGATGGTTTGTTTTGTGATGTTATCAAGTGTGGCGTTATGACACTAACACGGTCCAGGTCGTTTCTAGGCCAACTCCCTCTCATCATTATATGTATGATGGTCGCATATTACGGCCTTCCCTCGTCGTTGAACCAGAGTAAGACAAATGACGACCCGGATATTCCTCGATCCCCAGCATCTCACATCGATTATGGCGGCATCATCAGTTTTGCTACGGCGATTGTCATGTTGCTTCTTTTGATCCAAAGCTCGAACGGGACAGATGATTACCCAATGCTACCCTTAATGGCGTCTGCGTTCGCAATCGCCGTTGCAGTCTTCGTCTTGACGGAAGCATACTGGGCCAGGAATCCTTTGATACCGTTAAGCCTAGTCAAAGGTCCCTTGGGAGGGTACTTCGTGGGACAATTGATGTTACTAACAGGTCGCTCGGCGGTAGGTTCGATATGAAAGCAACCTCGTTTCACTGCTGACATGTCCCTCAAATATAGCTAAGCAGTAACATGGTCCCGTACTTTGTCCGAGCTGAAAAAGCGACTGATATCCTCGCATCCTTTACCTACGTCGTCACCGCGGTAGGTGTCTCAGTCGGCGGCTTGATCGCAGGCGCCATCATCAAACGGTGAGCCCGCAGACCAATATATCTTGTGCTCCATGCTGATTAAAGGAAAGTACCAAGCGATACAAAACAATGAGTGTAATAGCAGTGGGATCCGCTGCCCTGCTATCTATTCTAATTTACATTCGCTACCGCGATGGCTGCTATACCTGGGAACTAGTCTATCTCTTCCCGTCCGGCGTGTCCAATGGCATACTCTTCTCCACACAATTCATCGGCATGTCATTGACTGCGCCGAAAGAGCGGCTGGCGACTTCCATCGGGATCTACTACCTCTCCCAGCAGTTGGGATTCATTGTCGGTCCGGCGGCTTCGGTCGCTGTTGTTCAACGGCGCTTTGCCAATAGCCTTTCTGGAGGCCTGGAGGGATTGAAAGAGAAACAGGTACGTTTAGTGAGTCCGGAATGAAAGATAGAGCTAAATGTCTTTTCCAGCGTATCGATCGGATCCTCAATGATCTGAGATTCTCCGAGAGCTTACCGGAAAGAGTCCAGAGCATCGTCCGGTCGAGCTATCTGTATGGGTTTCAATTTGTACCGTGTAAGTTCAGTCTAAGCTCAGACAAAACCGGAGATAGAAGAGCTGACAGGTACAGTACTCGGCACGGTGTCCATTTTGATCATGTTGCCAATCGTGCTACTGCTGAAGGAAAGAAGAATCGAATGAGACTCCTAACCAAGGAAACTATACTTGACTGGCAGAAGCAATACATGATTGAACCACGAGAAGCTGTGCCAGTCATGCAACATGTAGGAGGAAGTTTCTAAAATGATCGGGTCGAGTGGTGGGTGAAATGTGGGCTTAGAGCCAGTCTACACTGGGATAGAAAGGAGATAAACCAGCCATTTAACCAAGAATTATGCCTTCCTGCACCACAACCCTGCAGTGTCCATAATCAATCATTAGCGTTAAGGCTTACACAATAGCACAACACCTCTTATCGGGTATACCTGACCTCACCCCATTCACCGGATGGGACGGATATACATCTAGGAGTAGGATCCAACAAGCGTATTAATCATGCCACCTGTATCCAAGAGCATAAGCCAGCCTTATACTGACAAAGTGGGAGTATTGACTTCAACTTACAATATCGACTTTTATATGACTGCCTGGCAATGTAACACATCCTAGACTCCAAATGGAATCCTGTGCAACAGTCACACGTTTGACCCAGGCTGACAAACCTCGTTCAATCCGAGTCTCCCCTCACCTTTGACACAAACCAAACCTAGATAAAACCACCCTAGACGAGCAAACACAACGCCAGAAAACCTGCAAAACAAGGCAATAAAAAGAAAGACTCCCCGCAAACAGCTCTAATAGCCAGCTTCGCTACCCAGTATCGGGTCGCCACTCGCACACATACACACTCAGCCACCACATCTACGTGACGCTGCATATTTCGGCCAACATCCTCGAGTCCTTGCGCTACAGTCCAACGTGACGGCCACGGAATCGGTATCAAAACTTCAAGACGGCTGAAGATCGAGCCAGACGTGCTTTAATAATGCGGGGTCGGAGTAGGTGCCGGTGTTGGATGCGGATCTGGAGATGGCGCGGCCGGCCTACGGTGCGAGTATTCAGGGTCGGGGTGCGGTATGCTTGATCCCGGAGCTTGGGGGGCTTGGTTGTTGGTTTAGGGATGGGTGATCAGTATCTAGGAAGAAGTAGCTTCACGCAGTCACGAATGCTCATACGGTTGCTACTCGACTGGGAAGAGGATCGCAGGATCATCTGCTGAAAGTCTTTGCAAGCATTGTTGAACCGTGGAAAGGTACCCACAGAACCAGAAGATCAATTCGTCCAGCTCCTCTAGTATACTACAGACTCGCTTTGACTTCTAGTTAATGTTTCTCCAATTCTTCCATTCCCTTCAAATTCTCTCCGCCGTGGACCCTCTGGTCCACCAGTGCATTCACCCGCCAGCGATGCTGTGTGCCCTTTCTCATCTGGCAACATCTCGACACGGCCAGGACCTTGTTCCCAACATAATCAACCGGGTCGACCGCGAATAAAAGGCCCGTATTTGCATCCACACCGTTATCATCCTCAATCTCAATAATGTTAATCTGTAGCACCTCCGGGTTGGGCTCATCCACTGGGACAAGATAATCAAATGTGACACCATAATAGTCAATCAACCTGACCCAGGTTAATGAAAGTGATGAGCGATAGGGATTTATATAAGGGATTAGTGCGTAGAGATTCAGCCAGAACTTACTGATCCGGGTACTTCTCTGCCATCCATCTCAAATACTCATCCCTTACCACCAGATCGCCCGCGACTTCCGGACATGTATCCCGTCCGTATATCTGTTGGTACGTCAACCGGGCTAGTTCCGGGCCTGCTGGCTGTGGGAATGTGCGGTCGAGAAGACTCAGATGCCACAGGATATCCGGTAGAAGCTTTTGGATGGCGACCAGGGGTCCTTCGATATGGATTCTCAGCGGCTGGTCATGTGGTGGAAGGTGATGTTTGCTGGTTGGATTGTGAATGCAAGGTGGGATATGGAGTGGGAGCGCTATTAGAGCTACTTGATTGTGTCTGCTGGAGTTGACTAGGCCGTGGTAACTAGAATGGATGGCTCGCGTAAAGAGGAATACAGATCAACTTTGAACAGGGTGCTTGTATGTCGAGGAAGAAAGTTGCAAGACGGCTAGACTGTGTGATACATATCTCTTTGTACTACTAGCTGGTCGGGATAACCCTCATCACATGACTTACACTTCATGCGGCTGAATCATTGCATGAATGGTAGACAAAGGCTGAATTGGTGGGCTAGGAAGATTCTAGAAGTAATGGGCGATTATACCTCTGCATGGTGATGAACTTAGACGTGCAATGTCTGTAATAAGTCCACTAGGCACTAATCGACTTCAACTCTTACTTCGGTAGTTTGAATCCTCCAGGTACAGCTGTCTGAAACAGCCTCTTCGGATCGACGTCCTGACTTACACGCTTTAGAAGCTCAACGTTCTTGCTCTTATAGCTGGTGATTGGATCCTGCCACGGCGCTGCGTAGTTGAGGTACACGAATGGCTCGTAGACACCCAACTTGCGCGCGTCGTCATCAATATTATCGAAAAGCTCACGCGCGGCTTTCTCCACTTTCTCATCGTCCGACTCATTGTCCCAAGTTGCACTGAGCAGAGTCACCACCAGCGAACCAGACACATCATCCAGGCCCAATGCATTCTTCGAGGCATTACGGGCATAGATAGCCGACGGCAACGGCTCCAGAGAAATCGCCCACACCATACCCGGAATATCTTCAACACCCGCAAGACTAGAATCCCAACGCTGGTAAACCGCCTCCAGCATAGGCAGAGTAGACCCATGAGTGGTAACCACACTCATCTGCCTGCAACATAGTCAGCCCAGACCCACTACGAAACGAAATAAGATATCCCCCAAACTCACCGCTTCCCAACCTTTGAGAACGACCCCTGCTCCATTGCAATCTCATGCATGCTCGCGATCCTGACGGTACTCAACAGCTTGGGGATGTTCATAAACAGGCGAAAAACGGCCGGATTCTCCTCCGCCTTCGTATACACAATACTATTCACCACGGCCTTGCCCTGTGCCGAGAACCCAAAGCTGGTGATCAGCGACGCAAACTCATCGTACCCGTCTGCGGAGTTTACCCCCGCAAACGCCTCGAGGTTCTGCTGATAGGTATCGACGGAATGGTAAACGCTTCCTCCCCAGATAGCACCTTGTTCGAACGCCTTCAGGTCTACGCGCGTGACAACCCCGAAGTTACTCGATCCGCCGCGCAGCGCAACCATCAGTTCCGGGTTCTCATGCTCGTTGGCGTTGACGATCGTGCCGTTGGCGAGGACGACCTCGAAGTTAGCCACCGTGTCGCATGTCCAGCCGTACCGCGGGGAGAAATACGAGATTCCCCCGCCGGTTGTTAGGCCACCCACCCCCACCTGTGCTGCGCGTCCGCCTGCGACGGAGAGGTCCAATGGGTCGAGGTGGGAGTAGACATCGCCCCAGGTTGCGCCGACGCCGATAGAAGCGGTCGTACGATCGGGACTCACAGTTATGCTGTCCAGGCCGCGGAGGTCGAGGGTGACTCCGTTTGCGATGTTGGATGCGCCGGTGAAGGAGGCGTGGCCGCCCGAGCGGATGGCGAAGTTGGTGGTTTCGACAGTTGAGGTTATTGTGTTGATGGCGGTGGCGACGTCCTCTGCTGTTGTTGGGGAGATAATGCAAACGGGGTGGAGGTTGGAGTTTTGCTGGGAGAAGTAGGTGCTGATGGAGTCGTTGTAGGGCTGGGTGTTTGGGAAGGAGACTTTGTTGCCGAGGACGGAGGCTAGGGCTATACACTACTTTGGTCAGGTTGCAGTATTGTATACGTTGGATAGAGCTTACACAATTTCCTACGCTGGTGTTGGTGGTGTTGCCGGCGGGGGGTAGCTGTTCCATGGCTAGAGATTATGTAGTTATTGTCGGGAGGAAAGTAGGTAGAGGTGGCGGAGGAAGAGGGGAAGAAACGGTCAGTTGTACACGAAGAGATAGTAGTTACTACTACTAGTAGTATACTTTAGCTACGTGACTTAGGGCTTACCCCCCCCCATACGATATGACCAGTCGGAGTAGGTACCGGCGGCTTACTGCATTAGCGGCGATTTTTGTCGCGGTACGTGGTGTCTCTTCATCCCAAACTTTGTTGTTTCTCCTTTACTTATACAACTCCCTTATGTATGAGTTGGTATTAATAATGTACTATATTGGGAAGGGTAGCCGTCGGCCTGACTCACGTAGAAGTACAATCCGGTGTCTGGGGCAGGGATGGCTCAGTGGCGCGTGGGGTATACGAGGGCGATTGAGTAGCTACATGTTTAATACAAAAAAGGTGGGAGATATTCATAGTTGCCTCTGCTTCTCACTTTCCCCAGAAGCATTGATACACGCGCATTCGTGGAATGCATCAGAAGATAGTCCCAATCATTCGTCCTATCGTATTTCTCTACAATCGTATCGGTCTGGAGTATTCTATCCCGTGAAAACAGGACGACCGCCGATAATGAAGCGCAATTACATACATAAATAGGGACTACGGCCATAATGCTTTCAGATATATGATTCATGGTGTACTGAAGGGATGTATATGCATAACCCGACTTCCTTTGACTAGCCCGCACCGGCTCATACGACTTTAAGGGCTGTCAGTATTGAATCCGGCCGATTCCAAAAGTCAAGTCTGTTTAAGCTTTTCGATGATAGCATTTGCGCCTTTGATTGCAAAGCACATGGCGGTCAAAGTCGGATTCGCACTGCTTGCTCCGGGGATGACACTTGAACCCCCAATGTAGAGGTTATTCATTCCCCAGACTTTGCAGGACTCGTCACAGCACGAATCCTCAGGTATTTCTCCCGTTCTAGTGCTATCGGTGGATTTCCCTGCGCGAGTAGTTCCGCAAGCGTAGATAGCCGGCTCATGCGGCAGAAGTCGTGGTTCGGAACCTGGTAGATATCCTCCAAGCTTGTTCGCCACTTCGGCCATGTCCGATATCATTCGATTTGAAGTACTTCTGTCGTTCTTTGGGACGTCAAAGTAGAAGGTAGGCTGGGGCATACCGTATACATCTGTTGCGTGTTCCTCGAATGTAACACGGTTGTTTTTCTCAGGCTGAACCGGTCCGAAGAAGCGAAGGTCAACAAGTAGACGTTTATCCACGGCTGTTGGAGCTGAGCTGGAGGAGAGCCCGTCTCCGTGGATCTGGACGTGCCAATTCTTGGTTTCTTCAACCTTGAGAGTAATCTGTGGGTCGAAATCATGGAGTGGAATTGGTAAAGAGTCTCCCGTGCTCTCTTTGTGTGCTTTGACTTTTTCCTTCCAGTCTTTATTCTCCTCCACTTTGCCGATTAGCTCCTTCGATAGGACGACCTGACAGAAGCCCATTGTGTCTTCTGTTAAGAAATGACCCTTGGCAATGTTAACATTAGAGACATAGATTGCTCGTTCAGATATCTTACCAATGCGGGAAGTAGCTGTCTATCAGGCGCTGATTCCGGCCTGAAGCCAGAGGCGTAGAGCAACTGTGGCGTTTGGACAGGGCCACCAGAGACGACAAAAGCCTTAGCCTTCACATGAATGGTCTTGCCGTTTACAAGATCCTTCACAGTGGCATATTGGATCCCCTTGCCCGCGTCATCGATCTGTAATTTCGCACATAGGTGCTCGGGGAGCAACTCAAATCTTTTCTTGAGCTCTTTATCTTCAACGATCCGCCCAAGCACCGTATACGCAGAAGACCATGTAATCAACGTTGGGTTCTTGGGGTCAATTCTAGCAGCGATAGGGAGTGCATGGGGGTCGCGATCTGGCAGTACACCTGATAGATGGTCGAGTAATAACTGTTGCCGAATAGAATCCTTGAGAACATAATCGGGGCCAGGCAAACTGGTCCCAATATATCCTTCGGCCTCTTTGAGGAGTTCATTCCATTCGTCTGATGTATAAATATCTGGCCGCGTTTTTATATTTGGTCGAGGAGTGGCGCAGGCCCAACTATCAACAACACCCTTTAGTCAGCAAGAGCTTGCAGAGAGCACAGGAGGATGTAAAATGGCAACCCATTTATACAAGAAGTGCGGTTCTCTTGACTGACCGAGTCGACAACCCGCCAACATTACGCGCATCTGCATGCGCTGAGATATCGGGACCTGCATTTCCTCCATCGAGAAGATGATTTGCCCTGTTGTTCATCAGTCATCAGCACCCTTAAAACAGCTCAAATTACCCCGCCTACACTACTACTTACGATGGGAAAGGGAACGGGGACGAATTAGGGATAAAAACGTCCTTTGTTGGCACTGAAACCACAGACATAGATGCCTATAACCCACCTTAGTCAGGATCACTATGATGGGCCTAATTTAGCATTGCCCACCTTCATGGTCCTGTGTCAACTGATATTAGTATCCCGTCTAATAGCAGGTTGTGGAAGGAGGAAATACATACTGGGCAAACAAGGCCATGTCCTTCTGGAACGCCGCAGGGTTCTTGTTGTGGTCTCCTGGTTTGGCACTCGTCCTTGGAGAACTATGAGCAGATTACTCACTCGGCGCCTTGGCTTGAGGACTTTTCTCTTACCGGGCTCCCACTTCCACCATTTTCACCTCTAAGCCGCTTTCGACAAGCTTTCTGGCGTAGGTCGCCCCAATAGGGCCGGAGCCCACGACTTCGAAACCGTCAATGTCGGCTCTTTTATTCAACTGAGATGTGTAAAATCACTCACTAAGAACATCGGTTTCGATGGTCTGAGGCTCGTCCATGGTGGAGGTTTTAACGTGACGAAAGGGTGAGCGATTCCTACTTCAGATAATTCTTTGGACAGCAGCAAAGGTAAGCAAAGAGATGCTAGTGAGCAGTATTGCAGTCGTCTGGTTTATAGGTGAAAATTATAGAATAGAAGTGCCAGGAGGCATTTTTCCTTCGTCGATTGCGGACCTCGCTCGTATGTGGACCTGTAGGGCACAGACGTCATGACGTGGACCGATAGCTCCCAGTAGCCTGCACATCTTAGCAAATCATGGAAGTTTCATACATAGATCCAGGAGGTCATGTGGTGTACCTTAGGTTATACCTTGCATTAGGGCGTCTTGACATGTAAGTTAGTGGGCATTGATGTGATACATCATCCGTCGCAGTTCGTGGCTATGTGCGATAGGCTCGTGGGGATGCAGATCGCCAGGAAGCACTCCAGAACGGTCTGGATGACAAGAGACTGCATATTTAACTGAGAGCATCAACAAATCAAAATTGCCATATTTCTCCGGTTCAACTTAAGTCCTCCGTAGACGGCCCTTGGTGGAGCTGATCTGCAACGTTATCTCACTCGTAATGCAAGAACGTCACACCGCTTCGAGAATCATGACCCGTGAAGAAAATCTGGCAGAGATTTTAGTTAAGAGCATTATGTAGTTATTCAACCCATCTTGAACAATATCATTACGTCTCAAGGCACAATCCCCACACTAGCTCATGACTTCCAACGGCACTTTCCCGTTTGACACCAGGGCTCATATTCGATATACCGGCGTTATATCCTGATATCATTTAGTTCACAATTCTCTTAGCTTACTTACACTTGCGAGTGACTTCCGTAGGCCCGAAGGATGTGACCCGCCAATTCACAATCGCTTGCCACGTCCTGCATAATGCTATCGCGATGGCCGAAGTGTATCGGGTCGCTCGAGCCCTGGCCTCTCTGAATGGACCTGCCCTTCTGGTTCTAGTAGGTGAGCAGCGCCACCATGGGCTCGCGCGACGGGATGGTAGTAGAGCTTGCTGAACACAGATTCATTCTTCGTCTCTTGACTGTTCCACTCTCTAGAATCTTGAAGCTTAATTGCCTAGCGCCAACAAGAATTCCTATTGATAATCTTAATATTCTCTTGCTGCTTTATTGTCCAGAGTAAGAGCGACACAAATCTGATCAATACGCCATTCGTCAATCTCAGTCTCTTTTATCTCAATATCCACCATGTAGGGACAGAACAAGCTGGCAGACCAGAGAATCTTTAGTTATTATAAAAATATTACCAGACCAGAATGAAAAGAATCCACATTTTCTGGGTCTAAAAACCTAAGATCTGTCGCATAAGCAGTATTAAAAGAACAGAAACAGAGAAGACAGATATACCCTAATATAAATTGATGGTACCGTAGTTATCCAATAAAACATCGAAAAACAGAAGAAAGAGATAAACAAAACAGAAAATACAAATCTATATTAATACAAGTAATTAACAAGTGAATAACGTACTGGAAAAAACGGAAAACAAGCCCGATTTAATATAAGACTATTTGAGTTAATATACTACGTGGTTCAGATCTTGACGTGGAGAGGACCCTAAATACAATCTGCTTCAACCGATAGTTCGACAGCTATTGCGATCGAAGACGAGCGGGGCCCAATAGCGCATGATGATCTATTAGCTGAGCTGGGGGTCAAGCACATACCTCCGATGGATAAATCTCCATGAGCACCCACCGTACACGCTTCCATCAGAGTCTTCTGAGTCCCCAGTAGTTTGAGTCGATGATCTGGGGAGAGGCTTCAACTGATCGCCCGGACAGAGGACAGTGTGGGGGTTCTGCATCGGCCAAGACCAAGTGGATCCGTCGATCTTTCCCAATCTCTGCGGGCTATTGATTTGATGATTTTCACTTCTCCATAGTACGGAGTAGGGGAGCCATACTCGGAGTACTAATGGGTCTCCAGGTTCAGCCGCGCCAGCTGATGAAGCCCCAAGGCTGCCTGCCTTCAGGGTGGTGTATACATGGTGAACTTCAAGGTATGCCCTCTGTTTCCCTCTCTCTTCCAGAGGTAAATAAAGACCCATTGGCTAACCCTTTGATCCAAAAGCTCCCTGCTCTCCTCCTTACCAACTCGGTCTATACTCTCGCAGCATCCCCTCTAAACATATTCAGTCACAATACATGCATGGAAAAAGTATGTTCTAGCACAGCAAGGAATATCAGTGGATGCATTGATATCCCATTTCAATCCGCGAATGGACCGAATCTTAATACTACTCTGTCTCATGGTATTAACTGTTCAGCAGACGCTTATCTTGCTGTAAGCTTGTATCCTGCAGCAAGATGTTTAGGGAAATGGCAGAACTGTGCATTTCCTAGTAAAGATGCAGGGGGTAACACTGAACGTTGTTGACAACTTACCACATATTTAAAGAAATTATTCCACATATTCTGTTTGCAGCCAACATCTAGTCGATAGGAACTAGTTTCATCGGGTGCTGTACTGCCAATGGCAGCAATTTTGGACATGACAGAATTGTGGAATTAGTACTCTGTACAGCGTAACTCTCCATGATCATCACTGTGGACTTTGCTGGTCCCACGTATCATAATACTTGGAAATGTACCCCCCTGAAAACGAGGTCTCCAAGTACGTCCCTGAACCCAGGAGCGCAGACTCTCTACTTTCAATCTACAATAAGAAAGGAGCGAGAGTCCCAAGCAAGAACACAGTTGGTAGCAACTCCCAGACGCGAACAATAACCCGGGCAAACAAGGGCATATATCAAGCCCAGCGATATCTCCGGGGTTTTAACCGATATATAAATTATAATGACTCTTTTGCTGAAGCAGCTAAGGAACCGTTCTGGGTACAAGAAGAGATGAAGGGTGTATGTTGATACCAAGATAGGGGCGAATTATTACTGATAGACGAGAGAGTTATTAAGAAAAGGTGAGCGAATTATCTTGAAAAGTGATTGATTTTTCCGACTGCAACAAGTGAAGAAGGGAAGAAAAGAGTGCCCGTAGTTTTGCACCATAGAACTACCGATCTAAACAGGAACAGCCTCAAACAAAGCATTAGATCCCACCCCCTGGTTATCCGCCCGCCATACCTTGATGACCTGGAATTGGGCGCGCTCCAGAAGACTCAGCCATTGCTTTTCTGTGCGCTCCAGAGAGGAGAACATGGTCATCATGATGAGGTCGACGCTGGCATTGAAGCGGGGAACGCCGGTCTCGGGCACGCTATTCTCGTTGATCAACAGCACCGAATCGTCGGCCATCGCCTCCCGGATGCGCTGCAGGGCTTGCAGGGCCTGCTTGTCGGGCCAGTCGTGCAACACGGTGCGCATATAGTAGGCCTTGGCGCCTCGGACAGGCTGCGGGTCGAACATACTGTAGCCTTGGGCCTCGATGCCCTGGGCGAGTGGGGCTTGGATATCCTGGATGACCTCGGACAGGTCCTGCAAGATCAGGCGGCCGGCGGGATTCTTCTTCTCCTTGAAGCGCGCGAGGTCGTGACCCTTGCCTCCGCCGATGTCAACCAGGAGCACGCGGTCTGCCTCACTAGCCAGTCGCTCCTCCCAGGGGTAGAAGTCGTACCACTGCTCACCCTCCACTGTCCGGTTCCCAGTCTCCATCACCGTGTTGAAGGCATGCTGCTCGTCCGGGTGCTGCGCCAGCCACTCAAAGTGGTGTAGTTTGGTGCCGTACGCCCGCTGGAAGGGGGTGTCGTAGGCGTCATCTGGGCTCTGGTAGCCTCTGGCTTCCAAGAATTCGTGTGTGTACGCTGTGGCCCGCAAGACCATGTGGCTAGTCGAATGGCCATCAAAACAGTTAGCCACACCCGCTATTTCTTTCACGTACTCGAAAAGCTTCCCCGGCAAAAAAAAGAAAAGACGAGGACTAGGAATCACTTACAAGTTTTTGATCACCTCACTGGGAGCGCCGGCCGCGAATCCCAGCGCTAAAGGCTGGGGCTGATATTTGTCCACTCCGATTTCGGTGAAGAGGCGATTGGCGCTCAGGAGCCGCATGATCCGGACTGTAAAGCGAAGAAAGGCCGATTTTATCAATCCAACGGGCTCCGGGGTCGTTACCAGTTATTTCGAACCAGAAAGGTCTCTTACCTAGCAGGTCCTTGTCGCCCTTGGTCTTTTCGTTTAAGTCGTCGAGAGTCAACTCAGTACCTCCAGCATCAGCAAATGCATCGAAGATTCCCATCCCAATCGCAGTTCGGATGGCGACCAGGGGATGAGCCTGCGACAAACCCACGGAGGGGCTTTGGGTCAGCGAAAGATTCCCTCGATAAAGACCTCTCTGCAGACCACCCCGGGGGCTTATCTTACCGCCCAGCAGATATTCAGAAGCGACTGGACAGGGGGCTCGACGACCCCACGCAGTTTGTCCAATGCCTCGAGGAGCTGGAGCCGCGCCGGGTCCGGGATATCATCGGTGGGAGAGAGCTTGGACAGGGCTGCATTGACAGCGATGGTCAGGTCGGCAACGATCTCGGCCATTATGTATGAAGAGGAAGAAGAAAGGGAGGAGCAAGGAACTGTTCAGGGTAGACTGTCTGAGCCGAAGAATTGGTGCGGATGATGGCCAATGTGCAGCACATTTTATACTACCCGATTACCCCTTGTCGGACTGTATAATAGCCCATTCCCCTCTTTCCCTTCTCATCCAGTGTTGCAGCTGAGGACGAGTACAAAGAGATGGTTGATTGATACCATTGGTAGTCTGATAATTATGGAGGCTAATTCTTGGATGTAACCTTACGACTCAGCTTGTACAGGGGTGGTTGAGGCACTGCGGTCGACACTAATTTGAGTAATCTCGGGCAATATCAAATCAGGTCGATGGAATAGATTGAGTAGACATTCGGATGCGAGTCAAACCGCATCGCCCTGGTCCAAGTGCCTGGGGGCCCGTAAGCCCTAACTGCTAGCCACGCACTAGTGCCCTACGCCCCCCCACATCCACAAAGAGGCCTCTCTAGCGGGAACACATCCCTGCCAGGTCCGCTCGCCGTCGCGATGCGCCGCCATCCACGCACGGAAGTCTCCAAAAGAACCTCGGTTGAGTCATGAACCAGGCGGGGTCGGAGATGGCTCTCTTTTATGTATATGGGTCACTCGAGTCAGTGGGTACCGTGAGTATTACCGGTTCATTCTTAGCAAGAAATTCGGATTACTACATAAAAGATCAATGACGGTTTTATTTCCATATTCCCCTGGTATTGGGAAATGTCCCCTCTCAAACTTGCACGATGCCTCACGCGTGCGGAAGAGACGAAATCGATGTCTGATCTGTAGACTAGTAACTGCCAGGTAGGGCAATCGTGAGGAACAAACAAACTCACTTCTCAGTCTCAATCTCATAACATACTACAAGTGTCGGCGGGATACAGAAATTGCCCCTATGAGTGTACAGGATATTGAGGACAAAGATATATCTTGGTGGAAGTCTGTGAGAGTGGTGAAACAGGCACAATCCAAGTCATCGAACACTTCTATTCTTGGCCATAGACTTCTTGTATCGATTAAGGACACTTCTGCCGAGATCCAAGTCGGTAGTTCTCTATCAGGATTGATTAGATTCAGGGCTCTCCGAATCCTTCTCCCGTCAGCCTCAGCCGCCGTTTCGGCATGACTTGCCCCAAATCGCCAACCCTAATGTTGGCCTACGCCGCTGGAGGCTGCTCAAGTTTGCTGACGGACAAAATCAATTACCTCGCGTTTATAACATAACCATTTCACTCGTTCTGTGCTTGATGGGCACCAAACAAAACTCGTTCTGCATATCGCACAAAAACCAAAACTCAATCTCATCACAATTCGACCTCCAATGTGGCGCCAGATCGCTCAGCCGGCGGTTGCTACCAGGGATGAATCCTTGGACGTAGCAACGTCCTCCATCCCGGCCTTCAGCCAGACAGAGCAGGCCCAATCCCCAGCGCTACAAGCGCGTTCTCGGCTTACAGAGAGAGAATTACACCTGACCGAAGGATTTCGCCGTAGTAGTAGAACTCGTGGAGCACTTGAAAAGCCGTGAAATATCCTCGGAAGAGCTCATTCGCGCATTTATGCGAAGGGCAGTGGTAGTGTTGCCTCCCCAGCCAAATTCGCGACAGTTTCTTTTTATTTCCCATCATTTGCCAGCGCGCATTCAACTAACGAACCAGAAAGACGAATTGCATCACAGAGCTCATGTGGGACGAAGCGATTTGCTCGAGCCCGCTACCTAGACTCGCTACCAGACTTTCTGGGCCCGCTGCATGGATTCCCAATCTCGATCAAGGAGAACTAGGGGATGTAGGGAGCGGGGGAAGTATGCAACGTCGCTAATGTTGTTTGGGTTGGGGATGCATACACGTCAGACTTTCATTTGTATAATATTCTTTTAGATGCTGGATGCATCTTCGATGCACGGACCACGCTTCCCCAGTCGGTTATGCAGCTCGAGACAAACAGCACTGTCTATGGCCGGACAACGAATCCTTACAACCGGGAATATACATCCGGTGGTAGCAGCGGGGGCGAGGGTGCATTGATCGGTATGAGAGGGAGTGTTTTCGTAAGCAGCCATATAGGCCCAAAGCTGATATTAGGGACGCTCTGAGCTAACTCTGACTCGCACAGGGTATTGGCGGGGATATAGGTGGGAGCATCTGTGTTCCGGTGGCTTTGAACGGGATATATGGGTTCAAGTAAGCCTCAAAGGGTGAAGTGAGTGGACGGTATCTAGATGCTAACAGTATGAAAGGCTCACGACGAATCGATTCCCCGGCGTAGAATCTAGGGCACCCATGGCGGGAAGTGACACTATCCATGGTGTGAACGGGCCTTTGGCCGCCGACCGTGAGGCCCTCGAACTTCTAATGAAGGTCGTTCTCGATGCGAAGCCCTGGCGAAAGGACCCCTTAGTCATCCCCCAACCCTGGACCCATTACACCTTCGGGCACCCTCTCAAGATTGGTATCCAAATGTCAGACGAGATGGCCACGCCCCATCCCCCGGTTCTTCGCGCTCTCCGGTAGGTAGCTTCAGCATGCCAAAATGCCGGGATAGAAGCTGTTGACTAGATTTCTCTGGACCATGACAGAGCCTGAGGCATCACCAGCGGCTTGTTTTTCCCCGACGGCGGTGAAGATGTAATGAACGTGCTCGCCGAAGTCCAGGAACCGGTGCTGCCACTGACAAACTGTATCACAAAAGAGCAACCCAATGTCAGAAGCCGAGATCTGTCCGAGCTATGGGAGGTGCGTGAGAGTGAGCAAACGGATGAGCTCATTCACCCCCTCCCCTCCCGCTTCTCTAACAATCTCCCAACTAATTCCCAACTTAGATCTGCTGCCAACGCGACAAGTGCCGAGCTGAATACGCCCGACACTGGGCCAACACTGGCAGTGAGGATGGCAGAGAAGCAGACGTCGTTCTTGGCCCCGCGTATCCCGGCGCAGCACCTCCACATGAGTGTACTTGTTGCTGGCCATATACATCGACATGGAACCTGCTTGACTACCCTGCCGCCGTATTCCCTGTTACCGTGGTTTCCCCCGAGGACGGTAAGGACATGTCCTATGTACCTGGCTACCGCAGCAACTGCCCTGTGGACACCACTCTCGAACCTGATGTGCTCCAACCGTGGTCTAACCGTCTTCACATGGCTTGCCAACCTTAACAACACCGGTGGCTATGAAAGCTGGGTCTGTGTCTGCATTATCTACGTTATGTTCCGGATGGCCACAGACACCAGGGAGTCACCGACTTGCCCTATCGATCTCGCACACAGCCTTACTTCGCGTGGATGTCTAGCATCCATTTCTTCATCCTGATGCTCCTCAGTGGGCTCCAAGTCTTTTTGAAAGGTCAGTGGGACACAAGCACCTTTCTGTCTGCTTATACGGCATTCCGGCCTGCTTGGCGCTCTTCTTCATACATAAATTCACGGCAGGCCGCAATGACCCTTGGACACGGTCGCCAGAGGAAGTGGATCTTGTGACTGGCCTGCAGGAAATAATTGATGGGGAAGTTCCGCTAGTGCAAAGATCGAGCAAATGCTATATGATGTGGACAAGAGTACTTTGGTAGATTTGTTCACGGAAAATTGACGATTTGTGTGTTTAATTATCACGGTGGACTTTGGTATGGTACTCGGAGACAGCTATATATCTAATCGAACGCCTAGCCTTTAATGCCTGTTGCGCATGTCCTAGAACGCATAGTCACGTCTACACAAGCCAGCGATGTATAACGACCCATTGTATCTATCTCTGCATTGGTGGATATTCTTAGAGCCGATTGATTCTTTGTATGATGAATACGGGTGTGTCAAAAGGCATGGCAGTTCTACGTATATCTTTAAATTACTATAGGAGTTCAACTTAGGTCTGATAAATAAGTAGCAAGCTAAATATCTCTTCCCTATTATCCACTATTAGGCTTTATCAAAGCCCCTAAATACGTATGCTCATTATTTACCATTGATTCCGCCCTGAGCTACTGCGCGCCTTCTGTGACTCAATATGCTTCTATCTTCTTCTTTGGCACTGTGTGTTACGAGAATAGATGGAGGCGTGAGAAAAACAGATTTTATATTATCTACATAGCTAAAAAAAAAAAAAGAAAAAAACCAGGAGGCTGCCTTGAAAGGCCATTGCAAACACATCAACCATCTCTTCCACTATCCAGGAACATACACCACCATTCAACTATAGTTTGCTGGAGCCAGCCGGAGTCGGCACAGGAAATTTCGAGATATCGTCAGTCGTCTTTCCGTCAATGGCGAGCTCCGCCACCACGCGGCCGATCGCAGGAGCGAATTTGAACGCGTGTCCGTTACCCAGCGCGACGATGATGTTGGGGTTCTTTTGAATCGGGCCGATAATGAACTGGCGATCCGGCGTGATCGAATACTGACAGGTGACGGTGCGCAGGTCCTGGCCATGGCCGGGGATGATAGTATCCATGTGATCCTTGAGAGTCTTGAAGGCCTCGGGCGAGGGAACAAAGGTACGATGATCGGGGTCCATGATATTCATCTGGGCGTCCTGGCCTGCCTTGATGGTTGGCTCGCCGTAGGTCGGGAACCCGTAGAACCATTTCTCGCCTCCCCAGATCCACACGGGGAACCGCGCTGGCTCGTAAAGAGCTGGGTCCGCCGGCTTGAAGTAGGTGATCTGCTCCTGCATGACGGTAAGGGGGATCTCGGCTCCCAGGGGTGCAAGAAGCTTGTTGATCCATGCGTCGGCCGCGAGGATCACTTTCCCCGCGCGGACTCGTCCCTTGGACGTTTCGATGACCACTCCGTTACCGTCTGGGATCAGGCGGTCCACTCGCGTCTTCTCTCGCAGGACAGCCCCATTGGCGCGCGCTTGGTATTGCATGGTTGTGACGGCTTTGGAAGCATGCACGATGCCCGTATCGGCCGTGTACACGGCGTCGATCCCATCGGGGATGTTAAACCCGGGCCAACGGCGGTTGACTTCCTTGGAATCAAGAAGCTCGTAAGGAACACCGTTGGCGTCGAGGCTCCTTGTAAAGTCGCTGGAGGGGGTTGGTCCGCCTCTAGGAAGGAAGACAACGCCGCCAGTTATATCCAACAGGGTCAGCCCTGACCGTCTTTCCAAGTCGGCCCAGTCTTTGTACGCGGACCGGGCCAGTGCAACAAATTCAGGGTTGCCGTATGAGGTTCTGACGATGCGAGATGTATCATGGGAGGCTCCGCGGACATGGCCCAACTCAAATTGCTCGAAACCGATGACTTTGGCTCCCTTGACGGCTGCTTGGTATGCTGCTCCGCTTCCGAGGGCACCAAGGCCGACAACGGCGACATCGTATCGTTCCATGATTGTTTTGTCGGGAAATTGAGAAGGAGGCGAAAGAGAAGAAGGTTGGAACGCTGAGAGTTGAATGAGTAGTAGCATAGGGGGTCGTCAGTACAAGGCATATATATACCTTTTTGCGTCCTACAGTACTTGGTAGTTTACTACCCCTCCTTCATGATAGGCATCGGAGATGATCCGCTTCGTGTGTAGTCCACGATGTCAGATATTGGAGAGACGACGAGCTCGACTCGGTCACTGGACAATCTGATCCGACGACGCTGGGTTGGATTCAAGCTACCTCCTCACCCGGCCTTCAGCCCCGGCAGATCTAGTCCCCACATTCTCGGTCTTAGCTGCCGGTGGCGCATCAAAGCGTGAGCACGTCCCTGGTTAAAACACGAGCCAATACATACGTGGAAAGGCTTTGGCTGGCTGGGCGGGCTGCGCCAAGCATCTGATAACCCTACGGCCTTTTCCTCCGATCCGCTACTTTGATTAGATGGCGGAGCATCGTCCGTAGTATTACTAGTTCTACTGACTCCATATCGGAGCAAATGCGGACGGTCTCCTAGTGTCAACCCCGGTGACCAGAATTGAGATATCGGAGTATTACCGCAGGGTGAAAATGAGGGGTCGTACACTACGGTCACTAGAGCATACAGAATGAGAAGCGAAGGAGAACGATGGCTGGTTCAGCTTAGTGGATGTTCCACAACAAGGGTCACAACCATGGGGACTCTACGAACGCTACGAAGAATAAGGGGGAAGAAACTTAGTGATATAAGTTGAATTGAAATGAGAAGGAATGGGATACAATGTTTCTAGTCCACTTTCTACACTTATTATATTGTCAGATATCCAGGTCGGGCAGATCATCAACGGAGGGAAACGGCCAAGTCAGACTATTAAGGTCTAAGGAGTTGGCCAGCTCCATCAACTGATCTGGCCGGAGCTCGTAATGTTGCTCAAAGCTTTCTGCGGATTTCAACCCCAGTGAATGGCTATGCTCACCCGATTCGACCACAGGAACCATGGGTACCGGACTGTCCCTCTCTCTCGATTCACGAGGGGCGTGTGCAGAAACGACCGTTGCCATATTCCCCTTCATCGCCAGCTGAGCAAGTTCACTATCTAATTGCTTCAACTCCGACCGGATTAACCTGGCAGAAAGGTTGCCGCGGGCGCTCATGTCATCCAAAATGGCGTACGCACGTTGTGACCAAGGTGAGTGATCTCGCAGCAGGGATGGATCAATTGCAGCCGCCAGCAACAGGGAGATCGTTGCTGTAGATGCCGCATCCATGTCGAAAGGCAGAAAGGTTTCTTAAAAAGCTCATAGTCAGTGAGGACCATTTTATATATGAGAGAAGATAGACGGCCTACCCAAGATGCCTTGTTCTAGTAGGTTTGACAGGATTCTTAGAACCTGTTGGGAGGATTCCACACAGATGTGAAGGAGAGCCTTCACAGTCCCAGCTTGAAGCCAGTCCATCAACGCGGGGTCAGATAAGCCCAATTTCGATTGAAGAAATATATACAAAAGGGGCCTTGTCGTGAGAATGATACACTACATATAGTGGTGAGCAAGGTTCATAGCCATTACTTTGCAGATGTCATACCTGATGCTGAAAAATGTACAAATGTGCCGATATTCGCGAAGTACCACTCATCGAGCCATTGGTATATAGGTTGAATGAGTTATTCAATTGTTCGGTGACATGGGCAATGTCTCGGAGAACAGACTGGGTAGCGCTGAGATAGCGACTGTCGAGCTTTCCTTCGCTGCCATATACAGCTAACCTTTGGTTAGCAAACAAACGCGTCAAAGGTAGTGAGAACCCACTCAGGTCCACTTTTGCCAGGATTTGGCATAACATAACTTGCATCTCTAGGACATTCGAGCCTTGGATATGTGTGGAAATCGAAGGAAATGAAGCACTGATGCTCTCTTCTGAAATTCCCATGGGCACGCCTAAAAGAGACGACATCCGGCGTTCGAGGACGTAGCAAGTCCACCACACAAGGCTGCTCCGCTGCACATAGTCTTGATTAAGACAGATCCCATGCATTTCAGTATACATGCCATATCCGAGTGCATGACGAAGCGCACTACCAATCTAAGACTATCACCATCGGAGTCAATCGAACAACGGAGCTTCATTCTTACCATGCGATGGGCCGGGCCACGACTGTGGATGGACTGCAGATATAATGCAGCACAACACATGACCTGGATCATCTCAATCGGATCGCCGTCAAAGAAGTTAAAGTCCGGCATGCATTGCATGGCCTGGATGAAGTGTTCTGCGCCGACAGGGACCCGCGATCTGGTTGATTGAACCACGAATATTTTTCCGAACGCAAGAATCAGAAGATAGTGACAAAACCACAAAGGTGAAGACCGAGCTTCTTTCGCTGGATTTCGCTGGAATGCTGCAAACTGCTCCATGAAACGGTCCTCGTCAAATAGATAGAAAAGCTGTCCGCAGTGAAACTTGACTGAACTGATAAGATACTTGGCGTGTTCCGGTGTTGGAAGGTTCGAGACATCAAAAAGGTCCTGGGGATAGTTGGCTTTGTTTCCATCCCACTTGAGATCGTAAACATGATCGTCAAAAAGCAAACTGCTTGGATCGGGAAACAACGACGACCCTGTCAGTTTCTCGTGGGTCATCCCCAACACTCGCCGAGCGAAGGCCCAACTAGATGACGTGCCCATGAAAACTATTATACTAGTCAGAAAAGACACTTATGCTTTGCGACGCAAGTTGAAAGGCTCACCCGGTCTTCCCATAGGGCCTGGGACCCAGTCTGTGATGTGAAAAGCTAGTGGATTTGTCAGAGGCGCCTTGACTTCCACCCCACCTTGGCTTCTGGATGTCGTTGTAGTAGCATGTCTGAAGTGCAGGCCTTGGTCTTCGCTCTCGGCTGATGATAGCAATGATGTTGCGTTATCACCTAGAGAACGCATTAGTGGCCTCGTGTCAAGTCAAGGATCGACCCGCTTAAAATGACACTCACATGGGACGATGGTAGGCTGTTTAGAGGTCGACTCCAAAGCCGCCGGTTGGTTCACTCTATGCTGCAACGTAGCTAGTCGGTCGTGGAGGCTATTAATATATCTGTCTCGATTGGGGCCATTAGATTTGGAGGCGGATGATAGCAGATGGCTTCACCCACCTTCGTGTGACCAGAACCGTTTCCGACAGGCTCTCGAAATGACAGGCTGAATTCCGTTTGCTACACTGGTCGCATGGGTGGGAGCCAGTGCATCTAATCTTTTGGTCACGGCATCTTCTGCAACTGTTCGCTCGTTCAAGTTGTCATTAGCATATAGCTTCCTGGGCCTGGGGAGGACGTACGCTCTAGTCACACGCTTACTTGCTCTTAACGAGCGTCTTTCCGCAGCATCTCTGGGAGGCATCTTGCCTTAAGGAACCGTCAGCTTCGAGAAGAAGGGCTATGGATTGAGGAGGATGTTGGCTCGCGTGGGGGCGCGGATGGAGTGGAGCGGCGATGGCTGGTGAGTACGGAGACCCAAATGCGGGGATATTAGCGGGCAGACTGATGAGAAAAACTTCGCAGATTGGCGATATGATGTTTGTGAGACAATACGAATAGCTTCCTGTAGTTAATCCACCCGGCCGATTACTGTCGAGGCAGGTGTCTCCGAACTAGTACCTCGTACGCATCCCGATGCCGGCGATAACTGTCAAAGACCGGGGGGCGAACTTCTTCATGCCGTCAGCGGCACAGGTTCTCGGGCCCAATCGAATGAATCCACGCCTAAGGTCTGGGACTCTGGGGAGGGGGAGAGGCTTACAATTGAGGAAGGTTTCGAGTCTTGTCAACGGAATTCCCACCTGGCATCGGATATAAAGGCCGTAGCGCGAAGTCCCACTCACCCCACATAGACGGAGACAGGCCAACCACATTCGAGACGAGTTTTGGAGCAAGTCAACTTGTGGATCTTCCCCGGTTCATCTGGGGGATGCCGTGTCTCGGCAACGGCATGGGGTATCAGACCTGCTGCCCCTGGTAGTAACCCCAGATTCCCCTCGCATAGTCTCTGTGGCTCGCTGGCTCTTGGAAAACAACTTGACATCTTCTGCCCTATGCTTAGGGACAAGCTCACGGGCTCAAGTTCCCAATGCGTGTTGCTTTTGAATTGGCAATCGATTACTTTTCTGCGCTCTTACCATAGTTGCCATGTACATGTATGGTCGAGCTGGGAGATATGAAGGTCATCATCTCATTTGCTATTCACACCACCCAATGATAACTATCGATCTACTAAGGGTATGTCTTTCCGGTGTTACCGGAGAATCCTAAGCACGAATAAGGTTCCTGAATCGTATATAAGGCCTCCACCAGTGTTTCAGTACCAAGAGATTTATCTTTTCCTATCCCATATCACAATGTCTACCAGAAGCCCATTTATCCCCATTCACATATTCTAGGCAACAAACCTTCTTCAAACGATATACCATGTCGGAGCTTAATGATCCCAAAGCGGATTTGACGGAAAAGTCGTCGAGACCTCTGGATGCTCCTCCCATAACACAAGATGCAGTCTTTGGCGAGATCACTGAAGCAGGGCCGAATTACCGAAATGTAAGTACGCTGTATGCAACTCGTACTCAAATATCTAATGATCGATAGGTTGGATGGCTAGGAACCGTGGCTCTCATGATGAAGACCCAGTTTGGCCTTGGGGTTCTTTCCATTCCCCACGTCCTTGATTCACTGGGGCTAATCCCAGGCATTATATGCCTGCTTGCGATTGCAACCATCACCACCTGGTCTAACTACGTTATCGGCACTTTCAAGTTAAAGCATCCGGAGGTGTACGCCATCGACGATGCAGGGGAATTGATTTTCGGCCGAGTAGGCCGCGAGGTCCTGGGTATCGGAGTTTGCATCTGTGGGTCTTGAAGGAAGCCTGGTTTCAGCGTTTATTCTAACCTATACCTGTCAGACTGGATTTTCTGTTCTGGTTCTGGACTCTTGAGTACATCGATTGGGCTGAACGCAGTCTCAGCTCACGGGACATGCACTGCTGTCTTCGTTGCGGTCTCTGCAATCGCTTCATTCAGCATGGCCAGCATCCGCACCCTGGGGAAAATCAAATGGACGGCGTGGGTTGGAGTAGGGTCGGTTTTCACTGCTGGTTAGTGGGTTCCTTGTAATGGCCTGCTTTCAAGTACATACTCAAGGATCACTAGTTATGATGGCCACGATCGCAGTCGGTCTCCAGGAACGGCCTCCAACAGCGCCCAAGGGCGACGGGCCCTGGGTATCGGACTACAAGCTTGTTGGCCATCCATCGTTCACCCAGGCCATTACAGCAGTCTCCTCCATCGTCTTTGCGTACTCCGGTACTCCTGGTCAGTCTGCCCTATCCCTTTTTTTTCCTCGGAGCAGATTGAGTGACGAGGCCATTGGCCAAAGGCAATGCCATATTCCAATATCAACCTTCCGTGTGCTAATAATTGCCAATTAGGATTCTTTCCGATTGCGGCCGAGATGCGTAATCCGAAGTTTTACACAAGATCCCTACTTATCTGCCAGTCTGCTGTAACTTCAATCTACGTCTCGATTGGTATCGTCATTTATTACTATTGTGGCTCATACGTTGCATCACCAGCCCTTGGATCTGCCGGTACATTGATCAAGAAGGTCGCATATGGCATCGCCCTTCCTGGCCTGGTAGTCAGCACGGTGATTGTCCTTCATGTGAGTGACCCCAATGGTGAATCTCGACTTCTTCCTTTTTGATCAAGTATAGTTTTCAAGCAAATATATCTTTGTCCGCGTATTACGAGGGTCCGAGCATCTCACGGCCAACTCTTTCAAACATTGGGCAACATGGTTGAGCTGCACTTTGGCCACTACAATTTCATCCTACATCATTGCCAGTGCTATCCCCATCTTTGGCGATCTGGTTTCCCTCATCGGCGCCCTGCTGGGAACTTTCATGTCATTCCAGCCAATGGGCTGCATGTGGCTATATGATAATTGGAAAACTGGCCGGGAGCAACCAACCCTCAAATGGATACTGCTTGCATCTTGGAGCATGCTAGTCATCGTTTCGGGGTCTTTCTTAATGGTTGCAGGAACTTACGGATCCGTTGTCAATATTATTGCTTCTAGCAAGGCAACTCCTGGTTCTTCTGCGTGGTCATGCGCTGATAACTCGAACTCGTGAGCTTCGGCTTTGAAAAGGAAAGATTACATGGGCCTTCATTATTGTATTTCATACACTGGTTCCAGGATACCTCGGTCGCATCCCAAATGGAAGATACAGATTCCGCACTGCACCGGACTATTACCCCAGCGTAGATCCAAGGACTTTATCATTGTCCTCACAGGAATACAAACTGCGGAATAAAGCAATCTGTACACCATCACACTATCTATATCTATGGAGCATGAACAGTAGTGTAGTGGGGTAACCCTGCATCCCTCACGTGTCACTATAATAGACAGCCAATGTCCATGAGATAGCTCAATCAGCCAAGTTCTATATTCTCTTCATAGGCTTTACCGGCCGGCAGTGTAGGAATGTGTGACCGAAGACGCGAGTACTGAGTATCTTAGGAGTGGTGTGACGGCCTACCTCCACACTATCGTAGAAGAAGAAGTATTAAAGAAGACGCCTTTGCATTTGCATAACGGTGAAGGGAAACCTAACTGACAAAGGATAGCGCAGCAGGACTCGAAGGCAAAAAGGGGTATTGGCTTCGATGACACTCAGATTGACCAGTTTCAGAAAAAGAGCTGCTTATATTCTTGCACATTCTTTTTGGCGCTTCATGTGGTGGCTTGAATCGTCCGAAATGCAACCCATGCATGTCAGGGCAATAAAGGTTTTCAAGCACTCTCTCGGGTGGCCAAGTGTACGGCGAAGAGGAAGGCAATCTGTTCCTAGTATACATACAATCATGTTAACGTTAGTGTGCGTTAAAATAGAAACACAAGAGAAATCTGGCGTGACATGCGGTAACAGCTAGAGACTTTGGGATAGACCCTATCCATGACGCCTCAAAATTCTAGACAGTAGGGAATATCATACGATTTGTTGTTCGCAGGATCGATTCCAGTATTTTCCCTCCTTTGCTGTATTAAATACACTCTCTCAGCCCTCTAGCGCTATATACCTAGACTCCGTACTCAAAATTCAACTGGTGCGTCGCTTTTGGTGTCGACATGCTTTTCACAGGTATTATACAGACATATAGAATATCCACGGCCACAGCCCACCACGGTCTGCTCCTTGGCAAAGAAATAGGGATAACCCCGAACCTATTTTGTCTTTACTAACGCTCCTGAATCGTAGAAGTGAATCAACCAACCACAGTAGCTCGATTTGATCGAACTATTCTAGGACCGGCACAACTTCGGACCAGTGGAGCTGAAAACAAACCTGACTCACGTACCAGTGAGGCGAGTACGCATTACACATCTCATCTGGTAATTGATAGACTACGGCTACTGCCAAGCCTCAGACAGAGGGCTAAACATGGCCTGTGGGGTTGCTTGAGGGTGTATCTCGCTAAAAGAAGAAAGATGACAAGGCAACCGGGTGACCTTACCTGACAGCCAGCCTGTTATGGAGCCCTGCGAATTGGGATATTGCTTGATTGGCAACTGTTCATCATCATTTACTATTTCTGAGGAAGGGTATGCTCCGTACCCAGTGATATGATCATGTCTGATCGTCGCCATAAGCGGCCATGGTCAGTTTTCTCTATCAAATCTGTGCCTCGTGATTCGATCACCACCACGACATAGTTCGGTGGGCCTGTATGCACCGGCCCCGAGCTAACAGGCGTCAGCTGCATGGCTTTTCGTCGTATACCCTGCTCATCTCGCTTGTTCTATTAGATGGCAAAGCGAACACTACCTTAGTTTAGGACTCTGGCAATACTAAGCCTGTGTGGGCATAGGGTAGACAGTTTTATGCATGATCCTGGTAAGGAGTGCTAATGTGTAGGAAGAACAAAATTATAAATTCCGTACTGTGTAAGCGAGTTTCGCCCTATTTGCTTTTTTTTCTCCCTTAAGATTAGGGAGAGACACGCGTAATGAAAATGGAATAGAGCCAGGCATCATGAAACCGCCATGAAGTCAGAGTTTTACAACCACCGTAGATCAGCCTGAATATGATGATTAATTTCACCTAGTCATCGAATTAGTGATAGGAGGATGAGACGTCTCGAGCCGCCAACATTGGAAAGAAGGCCAAGTGTCAGTAAGGGGCAGATATGTGCTCCCAAGGTTCTCTCCTGGCCTCAAGGTTCTCATTTTCGCTCTCTGGATATAATATAAAAATGCTCGACACTCTTGCAGCGACAATGCCTTGGAATTTCTTTCTGCTTTCTTTGGCCTTCGTTGCAAACCTTTCTGCTACATGGTGATCAGCGTGTACGGCATGCCTCCGTGATGAAGGAACGACTAGGCGTACCACCCACTTTCACTTAGTGTCCCCATCGAGGGCCCATGCCAGGCAAATATGGCGGATAGCGCGTCCTTGTTGCCTTCTTTTCTTTACCATCTGCCCATGTGGAGAAACAGTACCAGGATTTCAGGTCCAGTCTAGTGTCAGCCTCGCTACGACTCAACACCCTCCGAGCTTCACCCACCATAGGCCCCCATCCCCACAGCGCGATACGAACCAAGTCATGAGTCGGATATAGAGATTGCGATGAAGGATCCGAGCGGGATTGGCCCATTTTTCCCAGCGGTTCTCGCGGGTCGCGGTCATTAAACAATGAAATCAACATGTCCCGGTCCTCTCCGTGGCAGTCCAGCGATGTATAAATAGTGGCCTCCATGCCTGTCTAATTCAATCCATTCACCATCCATCATCATCATCATCAAACCAAGCTCCTCAAGCCTCATCACCAAGCTTCAACCCTTCAATCAACCAAACAAAACCACCTCTTCCTCTCTACAACCAGAATGTCTCCCTGTGCTTGCAACTGCTGCAGTGGAAACTGCTCTAGCTGCTCTTGCTCCTCTTGCAGCGTGAGTCGAATGTATCTTGGATCACCGTCAGCCCGTCTAACTCGATTTTCATAGCATTAAATGACACAATGTCTACCTGCCACATCCTCATCGAACAGGCGCCTCAACCGACCTCTCCGCCGCCAATTCCGGGCTGTATTTCGGGCCTGAACGACCGATATGGGTTTCGATAATGGGATGAGAACTTGTTTCGTCGGGGTAGCTTGGGCTTTACATCACATGCTGTTTCGTTATTCGTTGGTCTCTTGCTTATGAGAATGTTGTATCACACACACTGTCGTTACAATCATGCGCGCTTAGGAATATGATCATAGCTATGGTACCAAACTTTCTTCCTTGGTCTTGCTTGCAAACGTAGCTGCGAGGAATGTGGGATGGGAATCGGAGGCGGAGTCAGGGCTCAAGCTGACTGATACCCTACTTTTGGGCGCCCCACTGGCATGCATGCTCTTCACCAGAGATTTGAGATTCAGGACTTCAGCTTTACTACGGCTAAAATATCCCCCTTCCCTTTCCACTGCGACGTATTCAAGCTGTAAGATACGACATTCAATATCAAGGTCATGGTTATATAAAAGCGTAAATTCAATACTGCCTGCACCGTACCACTAACTATCCATGCAACCTAGATATGAACCTCGATTCTCTCACCAAACAAAGACGGCGACCCGGCATACTTCACAGATTGGACCGTCCAAGCGGCAGCTCTAACACTCCAAGTTGCCCCATGAACTCGCTCGTTATGGTCATCCAGGTTGAATGTTTCGAAGTCGTAGAAGAAGTCCGTGTTCCTCACGACACGGAGCCAGCCATCCCGTCCTTGCTGCATGTTGGCGAAGACCTTGGAGAAGGGGGCCCACCAGGCGTTACGCCAGCTTCCGTCCCACCACTGCGAGATGTGCAGGACGTTCGTGGACGGCCGGAAGGAGACATGCAAGCACAACCGATACCCCTCATCGTCGTAGAAATTGATGTTGGCGTTTGCATCGCCTGAGTTAGGGCTGTCCAATCCCGCTAGGAGTCGGGCCATATCTAGCCGAAAGAGGAATTCCTGGTGGTTGGAGTTGGTTGCCTGCAGTCCATCCCCATTCAACGTCAAGGTGTAGCCCGTACCAAGGCTTACCCTGTCCAGCTCACTGGTGATCCTGGCCAAGGAGGTTGTGGTTGGGTGACTGGGATTTTGTCTCAGCCGTTACTGTCTGTCGCACCAAATGGAAAGGAGAGAGAGGGAAATACGAACCCTGTCGACATCAACCACTGACCGTGGCCCAACTGGTCCCTCATCTTCTTCTTTTTCCTCCCTAGCCCGGTGCCGCCGCCGCTTTCATCCCACCCGGTACCATCATCCTTGATAGGATGGGGCGCCGGATCGCGAGGGTATACGTAAGCTTCCATGCCCCTCTCCATGTTGGTGTCTTCATCAGTCGGGGGAGAGGGTCTCGGTGGTGGCGGCGGGTCATCCTTCTTCGGGGTGGGATCATTCAACAGATCCACGCCATCATTCTCCCAGTCATCAAACATGTGTTTAATGTCGTCTTCGGACTTGCCGTGCTGGATCGCGTCCACCAGATTCTTCACGATCCTGGATTCGGGTCAGTGTCGGGACTGTGTTCGGAGTCATCAGTGGGTTAGGGCCAACGTACGTCTCCATGTCATACTCGGACAGACCCTCCAATCCCTTCTCGGCCAACATCTTCCCCATACTGACTGCCAGCTGGCCAAAACCCTCCGCCATCAGCTCCTCGACGATAAGCTCACTGAACGCACCTGATAGCCCTTCCAGCCCCACGCCGGCGATCAGGGTCAGTTCCGCCACCAGGACGCGATAGATGGTGATCGCGGTCACCTCATTGCGCATCTTCGGATTGCTGATGTGCTGCCCGATGGCTTTCTTTGCGTACAGGCCAGCATAGCCCGTGACTCCCGAGGCAACAGCTGCCCCGACTGGCCCGAGCAGCGCGCCGCCGACCAGGGCTGCCGCCAAGCAGATGGTCGCGTAGGTACATTCGGCTGCTGCACGCACGGCTTCGTCATGGTCCCCCTCCAGTTCATCGATACCCGCCACAATATATCCAATCAGGGGGATTTCCTCTAGCAGTCGGAAGAAGGGTCCTCGCAGATCCCAGGTGCCCGCGCTTTGATCGAGTGATCAGCCTATGGGTCGGTGAGATTGGGACGGGACAGGTACTTACGGATCCTCCATGGCGAGTTCACCCTCGTCAGTGATGCTCACCCACTCGTCCATCAGCTGCCAGCAGTTGATCAGATGGTATGTGTGGTGCCAGTCCTCCAACTGGCCAATGAGCGCCCAGTTAGAGTTGAGGCCGAGCTCGATGGCGCTATGGCTGAAGTTGCCGTCTTTCTTCCTCTTGAGTATGCCATTCTCATTGGTCAGGTGCTTGTCCAGGTCCAACGAGGTCGGGCACAATGTCCCGTAGCGAGTGAACGCGAAGCCGTGGAGGACTGCCGGAAATTGCAGCGTCAGGTGAGTCAGTCGCGATCGGACATTCTTGGGGCTGGCGTTGGCTTAGTTCCTGAATGCAGGATTGACAGAAACAGAACACTTACGGGAGTTGATAGACCAGGTCTCCCTTGTCGTTATGGAAGATCAAATCCAAGGCTAGGGTATTCAGCCGGTGGTTGTAGCTGCCGTCCATGGTGCAGAGCAGGACCGCCCCGCCAGCCGTGAGCTCTAACTTGGATGAGTACCCCGTCAGGTACTTGCATTCAATTAAGGAGCCCAATAGGGGGGAGCCCAGCAGGAACCGCCCAGTCGGCTGGTCGACGCCGATATACCAGTCGAGCGTGACCTCCCGGTAAATCCATTGCCCATGTTCATCCTTGCAATCCGCGCAGAGGTTGGTGATATGATCGCCTGCCGCCGTCTTGATGCTGCGGAGGTGGATGTTTTTGGAGCTGGTGGTGAACCCCATATTGAGTGCTGCGATGGATGAGAATGAGGAAATGCGGAGAGCAAGAGGAGAAAAGGATCTAAATATACCAGAACGAGGGGCAGATGAGGCTCGCTGGATGTGGTGGATTCTGTATCACCAGCTGAACAAGCAGCGGGCAGCAGCTGAAGTGGCTTGAAGAGGCGTTCATGCTACTGGATCTATGGAGAGTGACTAGGCCAACTGCAGGTAGATTCAACTATACTAGGCCTCTTCAGGACTGGATAGGCTCAGCCAGTGTCATAACGGCGGCTGTGCATTGATCCACTCGATCCCTCGCTTCCATGAGTCTACACTCTAATTGCAGTTTAGTTGCGTATCTTCTGATCCAGGTGAGGGTTCTTCTTGGATCCATCGGGCTTAGTTCTCTTGTCGCCCTATCCCCAAGCAGCTGAACTCGTCTAATCTTCACCCAGTTGCCCTGCACGACCCCCACACGCTTATTCCCTCGCTTAAAATTAGTCTACATATACTCCTCGTTTGTTTTTCGAACGATCTTGAGGTATCAGTCAGCAGAATATTTCTAATCTTGAAACCTCGGAAGGTACCTCAGGAGAGGTGGGCTGCGTACGGCAAGTCCACTTGGCGATTAAGAAGATCAGGAGCCGCCCTTTAGGGTCAGAAAAACATTAGCAGGTATCATGAAGGAAAACAGAACACCGATCACGCAGAAGATGAATTGTCGCAAAGAGAGCCTGGAACGAGATTAAGCGATCTAACCGAATCTTATCTAGAAAAACCAGGTAAATATGGGGGGATTTCCGGTACTGCGGAAGCCTACGGATTAAGATTGATTGCAGCCTGAATATGAACGGTTTTAGCCCTTGAAAGACATACTACAGTTTAAACGGTTCATGAGACCATTTATGATAGTACCCTTGAGTTCACTAGTTCTTGTTTCTATTTGTATGCACTCTTATCTACTTTTCTGTACCCAGCCGCGGGGCTCGTCACTGCAATCCCATGTTCTGCTCAGGTAGTAGTACCTCGGCAGGATCTTCGCGGATAGCTCTCTATAAGATAATAGCTTTAGAGACTTCAGACCCTGTTGCATACAAGTTTAGCCAGTATGTTGACAGTAGAACAATAACGTCAGTTGCAGATACGTATATCATTTCATATAATTCCACTACATTTAGCTTGAATGGCGGACTTAACAGTTACTGTTCTCTTGTTCTAGATCGCAAGGCCTGTAAACACTGACGATTACCCGGATAGGACCCACTCTCATGCATCGCAGATACCCCAACAGATGTGGAGGCAGCACATGGTGTACTAGTATAGCGAATGTCTTGAGTCTATGCTGGCTACCCAGAAAACAACAACCTGAGCTATTCAGGCCAATAAAGGAACAACTGAGTGGTAGGCTTCAGGTTAGTATGTTCAGAACCTAAAGCCGTTAGCTTAGCTGGTTGTTCTTACCCAAAGGGCCCTATATAGCCACCGTCTAAGGGCCGTGGAAACAATTTACTAACAGAGACATATCGGCCTACAGTAAAAGTTGAAGATCTGTTTTACGGCTTGAGATTTCCAAATGGGCTAACATCTCAATGACGGTAATGTAAGAAATTCTGCACAATCACCCCCGGCTTGACGCACTCTTAAATCATTGTTCTGGAGCCTGTTTCCGTCTTACTTTTATGTGATCTATTTAACAAAGCACTCAACCACACACAAAATATTTGTTTACACTGTCAGAACTCCCACTGAGGAACGAAATCCAGGGGATAACCTCAAATATCGATTCCCAAGCCACTTCACATCACATGTGCTTTAGAGATGACGGAATCTGTCGACGCTTTCTCCCTATAATCTCTAGCCAGGATCTCCTCTCTCAGACCCCATCCCACAGCAAACGTGGCTGCTGGTCCGACTAGAATAAGGCATAACGGTAGAGCCAAAAAGATGTATAACCAGGGTAGTTGTAGCTTCTTTTCTTGGCTCACATCTTTCAACTCCAGGATAATCCAGATCACTGCGCTGCCAATACCGATCGTGTGGGCGTTTAAGGTTGCCTCCAAAGACCGAGAGTGAAACAACCTGTCCTGTCCAGAAAGCTCAAAATGTCTGCATACGGAGACGCCGACCGAAATTAAAACGGTCAGAACACATGATGCCCTGATCCATGGCAGATCGGCGGTTGGACGTCGTATTCTGTCATCGATGGTCGTATCCTGTACATAACTGGCCAGGAAGCGATGCAGGAGGCTAAAAGTAACGGGTATAAGGAGTAGCTGAAGCGAAGACCATTGCAAGGCCCAACCCCATAGTGAAGGTACGTAGAAGCCAACTATCAGTGCGGGGATCATCGACTTGACATATGATAATCGTATAGGACGGCTGTCAGGAATGAGACGTTTTGATGCAGAGAACAAATAGTAGAGTGTAAAGTAAGCTGGAACTGTTCTCCATAACCCTACGCTTGAGTGGGCTAGTAGAGAAGTTGGAAGGAAGCTGGGGGTGATGTTGAAATTAGCTTCTAAGTATCCTAATAGTATGAGGAGAAGAAGACTTACAAGCTCATGAAAGTTATGGCGTTGCAAAATCTTACGCTCTCCAGGGCCCAAATAGCCTGGAAAATTCCCACGTCTGCAATCGCGGAATAAACGTCCCAAGGACTCGAAGCTGGGGCCTTCCCGGGAGACACAATAATGCTCAAAGAGAAGCAAACCAGAAGCGGGACCGTCCAAACTAGTCGGCCAGATGGTATAATCGGGGACCCGATATAATGCCGCTTCCCAAACGGCATTGTCCCGGTACTTTGACGTTTGGGTAGAGGTAGAAACGATATACATTCTCCACCCACGCCCATGTCAGATATGAGATCTGCAAAGGCATCGATATAGTATTTGGAAAAGATTGGGCCAGTAATCTCATAGACCACATTATCTAGCGATTGCATCCGAGTCACCATCTCTGATAGCGTACAAATAAGCCTCATCCTGGGTTTGCTCGCAGTTGCCCAGGAGCCCAATCTGGTTTCGATATTTTGAAGTTGCTGTTTTTCTGAGTTTTCCGCCATGTCAATTATTGCATTGGCCAAGGTTGCGGCACTTTCTATAGCGCAACATCCTCCTTGGCCAAGATTTGGAGTCATCTAACATCGGGTTAGTAGAAAGAGCTTATTGAACTCATATCAAATAGGCTGAATAATCGTACCTTGTGAACAGCGTCCCCTATACAAGCCACCCTTCCACAATTCCATCGCTCAAATATACCTTCTTCGAGAGGCAGATGGCTGCATCTAACAGTTCGTTGATATACCTCCTTAAACTGAGCTCCTGCGCAAACGTATTTGTTCATCAAAAATGCAAGGTCATCTTCCAAATGCTGATTGAAACGCGGAGCTTCAGGAGCGTAGTATGTTCGTTCCATCTTGACTCCCACGATCCAAAACACATGGTCCTTACAGCCAATAGTCAGGATAGAAGCCCCCTTTACAAAGACATTGTGCATCTCTCCTTCTCTGATCCCTGGAACTGAGCTTGAAATACCAAAGACACCGCGATATTGCGTGGCCATCCCTATATTGATTGTTAGAAACCGTGGAATCAGGGTGCCATCAAGCATTGCAGATACTCTTATTTTCAGATTGCAATGAATCGCCCAGCTGCATTACTTCCATGTGTCGACACATCTCTTTGTGGATGATACTGTGCACGCCATCGGCGCCAACAACGATATCACCCGTATAGGTAGAGCCATCAAGGCACTGCACAGTCGCTTCTGTGGAGGATTGCTGCATCCTGACCACTCTTTTACCAGTTAGAACACGGCTCTTGTCTGGCAACGTATTCCAAAGCACGTCCAGTACTTGCTGTCGCATAAGGAAAATCACTGGGTATCCATGGCTACCAGGTACATACTTAGCAACAGTGTACACCACAAGACAAGGGGAGAATAGGACCCACCGAACTTGAGATAGCTTGAAGGCTCCTGTGTATCCCAGCCGATGGCCTTTATCGTTCCATGCATAGTTGTTGATTATGGGTGTTGCGAGATCGGCAAGTTCATCCCACACACCGAGCTGGTCCAGGATCCGGGGGGAGTTACCGGAGAAGCCAATACTTGCGCCAACATTTGGAGCGATTTCCTCACGGGCCTCTAGAACAACAAAGTCAATGCCATAGGCAGCTAAGGCATGGGCAAGAGTCAGGCCAGCGATCGAGCCGCCGACAATGACCACTCGAAATTTGTGGGGGGTTATGTCCCCCGAAGTCGATCGCAATGGCATGTTAACTGAGTGCACTTGAAACAGCCTAGGTTTAAGTTGGCCACCGGCATACGGGTTAATATTAAATACTTCTTATATTCGACCCCTCTCTAAACTCATTTCATTTTACCGGTCACTTAACCGGGTTTTTTTTCCACGACTAATGCAGGACTGGGCGGCTAAGCCGATGTAACGTGGTCCAATAGAACAGCGGCCTCGTTTGTACGGAAAATACACCCAGAAGCCCCGTTTGTTCCCATACCCTATGGTCGTATGTACCAGGGTTATATAAAGCAACTACACGAGAAGAAGTATTATAGAAGAAGCCTTTGCATTTGCATAACGGTGAGGAGAAAAAAAGGTATCTAATCTGAAAGCCGAATAATTTCGCGATATGTTCACCAGCATCATCCAATATACTAGTACATTAATGTATCATATATCACTAAACAATCTTAGTGTAATCTCAGTTCTTACCTCAATGAGGTTTTACTAATATTGCAGTACTATGTACATCACACACAAAGGGGCGTTTACTAGATGCTATTAGTATATCTCTCGAATAGGAAGGAACTAAATACATACAGCCTAGACATCCTTATAGACTTATGTTATCTCTGAAACAAGAAGGAATTAAAAGTTTACATCCTATCCATACCTATCTGTCAGCCTCGAAATCCCCACATTATCAGTTAAGCAGGAACAAGCTTATATCCTTACTTGTCTTTTTTCAACTTCACCATCAACTTGGATGGGTCCTGCTATTGTAAAAGCAGTAAACATAACTGTAGACGGGATAGCAATGACCTTTATATTGCCGAAAGACTTGGTCCTTGCTGTCACAGGGGTAAAAAGGTAGTTCAAAAGACGAGTTTTGGAAAAAGACGAAGACTGAAATTTAGTTTACTATATGGGATTTTTCAAGCAGAGGGACACTATATACCAGGAATACTAAACTTATGAATACGATGGCTGAGCCAAGTAAAGGATAGAATGTGTCTCCGAAACTAGGATCCACATATCTGTCTGACATTCCAGCTTGTGTTAATAACAACTTAATACATTACATCGATTCTTCACTGCCAGTTACTCTTCGAAGACTGAGTTAAGCTGAAGAATCTAGGTCCTATTCTAATTCAGATCAGGTCATGTTACATGTACTGACAAAACATCGGCTTGCATTGAATTTGAGAAATTTACCAGACGTTCACAGTCAAGGATGACGGTTGATCTGACATCAGAATTCTTCAACCCGCGGGGGTCTTTTGACAGTCAATAATCGGCCGCCCAGCATGGTCCCCTCTGAGACAAAACACAAACTGCAAGGAGTCAAGGACTGGAGGTGGAGGCGCACGACCACTTCTTCATTTTCGGGGACTTTGCTGAAGACCACGAGGCATTTACCAAAACGCCTAAGCAAATTTTCTTCCTGTAAGCTCCCATGAAGTCTACATAGGTAATTAATAAGCGGCATCAAAAAAATAAATGAGCAGGGCCGAGTGTTCCTGGGGTTTTTCCCGAACACCAGCAAGAGTTTGCCCAAGTCTCCCGGCGGGTCAAATTAGGGCCCAGCCTCCACGATGAAGCTCTTGATGATTGTTTCCACAGTTCTCTTTGCTGCTTTTGTGGTGGCGGGATCAAAAGGAGAGAGGAATTATCAAGTTGAAAGGAGACAGGTAAAAAGGCGTGATGTATGAGTATACAGGCCAGGAGTCATGTTGTGTGGGGATACTAAGCTGACAAGAGAGTTGAAGAGAGTGCATGCGATGGAGATTTCGGCGTAAGCTATTACCTATCCCTTGAAAAGCGACTCTTTGGACGAGCAGACTAACTTAAGACGAGGTCTGAACAGAAATTGTGCCGTGAGGGAGTTTACGGAGTTGCCCAAGAACGTTGTGATGACTGTGGAATTAAATGCCCATTTTGAATCAGTGTCCATCTCGAAGATTACCACTAGCAGGATGATCCAGCAACCACTCAATTTCCGATTGTCAGGTGCAGAATTACTATCACAAGTGGTCCTATCGGTTGTAAATCGCAACCCTTGGCTAATGCGGCACCACAGATACTATTCGTACGACTAGAATTTTGGCTACATTCATGATAAGCGGCGAAGATATTACATCGACCAATAACATTCAACCGCACGAATCTTAGGATTTGTAGAATATCATAACCAGAATTATTGAAAAACGTTACTATTAACTAACAAGGCTTCTCAGTATTCGCACAGTGACACTGATTAGCCGCTGTTGTATATTGGACCCGTGGGCACTAGAAGACACCCACGAACCAACTAGAGTACCAAAGATGGGATATAAGACTACAAGGTGTCAGAGGAAGTACCACACATAGTATAGAGTAGTTATCACAGAAGGGATATATAAGATCACTCATTCACAGACTTCACGTAGTTCTTCGAGATCAATCCTATATCTTATCTGATAGCTATATTTGTACAGTACCTCTACCAGCTCAACTTGTTCGCACTTTTTAACTATGGAGTGTACGTACTCAATAGGCCTGGTCTTGCTACCTTGGACTGGGACAAATTTTGGCATCCGTAAGCGAGCTTCCCCCTTGCCTGATTTCAATGCATGTGTAGTCATTCAACGCTAACTGTAAGCGCGGTCTTTCCAAGATTCAATAGATCAGATGTTCTCTATTTACCGTGCAGTGCTTGGCATATTTTTTAATTCTTTGCGCGCAAAACTTCGAAAAATAGCCAGTTCTTCAACACCGACAAGTCAACCAACATGTATTATAACACCCTGAAAATAAAAAATATAATAAAAGAATCGCTCAAAGAATCTATTCGTGGAATAAATTTCAATACTGCTCAAGTTCAAACCTAACTTAAAAAAAAGTTCAATTTTCTGTACATATTTATACTTTCGATAGTGCTGGTTTTAAACCTTCAATCAGGACCGAATTGGTTCCGTGATATACGGCGGACTACGTAAATCGAAATTCCGGACAATATAAAATATAAGCCAAAACCTTGGTGTTTTACATAAAGCGACAACTAGTAGTTAACCACCACATACTTCTAAATCTATTTACTACCAGCTTCTAACAATAAAAATGTACTACCTCTAAATATTACTACCACTTCCGGAATACTACGATATAGTATTATACTAGGGCCCCAGGGTAACTAAAGATCTAGTATTATAATTTCTAAAAACAGGGTACTGATAGCCTCTAACAATAGGATACCAGTAAATTCTAAAGATATAGAACTGGTAGTCTTAAAAAGGCTATATAACATGGTAGAAAAGGCGGTATAGTATGTGGGAAATGGATTAGTCGATAATCCAGAACTTTATCTTATAAAAAAAGAATACAATTGGTTGAGTAGTATAGTAGATCTTAATAAATAGATCTAATTGGTTAACAAAACTGTGCGTTGGTATTGGTAAAGTTGGCTACTAGTAGTTGGCTTCAATTTAGTCCGCCGTAGTTATAAGCTTTTAAAAACTGGCCATTGTCAATAAGCTTGTACACGCGAAGAAAAAGAAAAGGTGCCAAATACTGAAGAACATTCTACATGCACTAAATCACATCTTCTAGGAGTTCGGATGCTTAGAATCGGGCCCCGATTTATGGTCTCTTCGAAGTTACTCTAAAACACGGCCACCCAAGAGGCTTCCATATCCACAGTATTCAGACACGATGAGCATGTTGGATAAGGCGCCGTTTGCCGTATTAGCCATTGTAATAATTTTATTGGCTCTTTTTCTGCGACCGAACACACAGAGGCCAAAAAAATATCTCGAGCCACCTTTGATCTCAAGCGCAGTCCCCGTGGTCGGCCATCTAGTTGCATTCGCCTACTATGGACTTGGGTATTTTCCACTGCAGAGGTACAGTTGCTAGGTATGATAGATAATGCAGTTCTGTGCGCTAATATGTACAGCGCGAAAACAACGTTCCCCGTCTTCAGCATAAGAATCCTGTTCCAAAAGGTGTACATCATAAGGTCACCGGAGCTAGTCTCGGCGGTTCAGCGCAGTTATCGCACCATGTCTTTTGACCCCTTGATAACTCGCACTGCAAAGTGTGTTGGGGGCATCAATGGGCCTGGTCTGCAACTGATTCGTGAAAAATCATCCCAAGGCCAAGGGCTCGGGCATCAAACAACAGCTACTATGCGTCACACGCTCATGGGCGAAGGTTTGGACCAAATGAACAAGACGATTATCCCTTGTCTGCAAAGGAGCGTCCAAGATTTGAAATATAATCGCGGCGGACTTGATCTCTTTCAATGGTGTAGTCGCACACTCACAATCGCCACGACGGAGGCGATTTACGGGTCGCTAAACCCCTACCGTCGTGTCATTGCCCGCGAAGCCTACTGGTAACTCGAAAGCCACCCTGATCCCGTTTGGGCGCCTTGGTCACTAATCAGATAACGTATAGGGAAATTGAGAAAAGTTTGAATTCCCTCATGATGGATGTCGCACCGTGGCTGTTCGCACGAAAGGCTTGGCGGGGGCGAGAGTATCTTGCCAACGCTTTTATCGAGTATTTCAATGCAGGTGGTCACTTAGAATCGTCACAGATGGTGTACACGAGATGGAAAACACAATACGATGCTGGCGCGACATTGGAGGATATTGCTCGTCTCGAAATCGTGATGAGTCTTGGGATTCTCTCTAATACGGTTCCTACCTGCTTCTGGGTCATCTTTGACATTTTTTCTCGCCCAGATCTGCTCAAAGAACTAAGAGAGCAAATACAACAGAGTTCACTGTCTGTCGACTGCGACGGTGTCCATACGGTCGATATGGCAGCAGTTCAAGACAACTGTCCGCTGCTGCTTGCATCATTTCAAGAGACACTTCGGGTTCGCTCAAACTCAGCTCAGTTACGAGTGGTTCACAGGGAAACCGTCTTAGATGAATCATGGCTGATCAACGCTGGCTCTGTACTTGTTATTCCGGCTGCAGTGATTAATAAAAGCAAATCGGCATGGGGACCGGATGCCAACGAGTTCAATCCTCAACGATTCATAACAGGAGCTCCAAAAAAGAACAAAGCATCAGCCTTTATGTCATTTGGTATATCCCCAAACATGTGCGCTGGTCGGCACTTAGCGGCGGGTGAGATCATGGCTCTTATGGCGATGTTGATCATGCAGTTTGACATCTGTCCTCCTGAGGGCACCTGGCAAAAGCCACCCACCAATGTGAAAGCAATGGCTGCATCATTGAGCCCACCGGCGGATCAATATTCCGTGATCATTCAAGAGAGAGAGGAGTTCAAAGGGGTGAAATGGAAGTTTGTGGCTGCATCGGGAAGGGGAAGGCAGAATTTGATCGTCGGATGAAGCCCTTGCATCGAGTCCAGATTTCTACTACTAGTAGTATCTTCCAAGCTGCAACCCTTAACCTTAGCGGTCCTTACCTATCCCATGCTGACCGCCACAACCTACATACATTATTGGGGCATAAGTGTACATCCGAAGATCCCCGAGCTGATCGTTACCTTTAGCGGTCCTGCTTATTACGTTCTCCCCTCCATGACTAGGTAGTTACCTGGAGACTTTTAAGTTGTTCTCCCTGCAGACCCAAATCGATCTACATAGATCTGTAATTCCGGCCGACCAAGGAGGACGCATAGAGGTTCCCAGGTTCATACGAATATGAAGGATTATAAGCTTGCTAACTTCAAGTTCGTCGCCTTCTGAGAGAGAGTCTTGGAATCGCGTCGTTTGTTACTTGGACTCATCTGATTTATCATATATAACCTCTGAAGAGGTAAGCATGATAAGTGAAGAAGAACGGTTACTTCCAAGGGAACGAGAGGTGTAAATGATTTCGAATACTGATGTACACCGCGCCATTTGTCGAATGCTTTCATACCATTTGGTTCAAGAATAAATGTCATGGGAAACATTCCGATCATGTCGCTGGACCTTCCGATGGTACTCCAGAGTGGACTCTGGGCTATTGTTATCCTTCTACCGCTACTTTGTGGTCTTTGCGTCGTCCTCCTCCTTCAGTTTAACAGACAGGCGCCCTTTCCTGACGGAGCGCCACGGCCACTCGGAGAGGGCTATCCTATTCTCGGCGTGCTACGGTTCTTTTCAGACCGGTACAGCATGTACGTCGATGGCATTTCTTTCTCTAAAACGGGAAACTTCAGCTTTTATTTTGGCAAACATCAGATTGTTGGGATTTCGGGTCTCGAAGCCCGCAAGGTTTTCTTTCAGAGCAAATCAATGGACTTGAGCCAAGGGTTAGTAGCTTGAAGTGCAGTTTTCCTCAGAAACCTGATATCAGCTTACCTTCGCAAAGTTACACACTTCTCCTAGCTACAACTCCATCCTTCGAGGCCTCACCCCGTCCTCCTGATGAAGCGCTTCATTCGTCCCAATGGTTTCGTAATACTCTTGCCGGCATGATGTCAAAAGACAACCTTGTGGCCAATCTCCCGCGCATGGTTAACGACATCAACACTAATTTCAAGAATGCGGCAGACCCCATTACCAACACTGGCATTATTGACATCTTTGACGAGATCAGCTACATTGTGTACCAGTCGACAATGCGAGTCATCGGTTTCAACAAGATAGCCGACTCGGAGGAGCTCTGTAGCACGACACTCAAGTTATTCGAACGTATCGAAGATGGGACTTCTCCATCGCGCATCATTTTCCCATGGCTGCCCACCCCAGCTTTTCTTCGACGACTCACTGCAGGCATAAAACTATATCAAACCTTCAAACGACTTCTTCAAGTGCGAGAAGACTGTGACCAAAAGATTGACGATGCGTCACAATCGCTCGCGAACAGCGGAACCCCCATTAAAGAGATTATTGGCGTGAGTGGACCCAACACCCACAGATCAATCTTAAGCCAAGCTCAATGATGGCGCATTCTGATCAGATGGGTTTGCCTCGAATGCTAACAGAGGGATTCTTATCAGTTTGTACTTGGTACGTTGTTTGCAAGTCAAGTCAATACCCCAATCTGTGCTGCCTGGCTGCTGGTTTATCTAGCTACAAATCCACACTGGCTCGATCTAGTGCGTACTGAGGTCGACTCTGTACTAAAGAAGCATGGGGCCCCAGACGAGACACCTCAAGAAACTTTTGGCCGCCTGAGCATTGACGTGTGGGAGTCTGAGTTTCCTCTGATACAATTATGTTTGCGTGAGTGTATCAGGCTTCATCTTGCTGGATCAGCATTCCGCAGAAATATCAGCGGCAAAAGTGTCCCAATTGGGAGTACTGGAGAGGTCATACCGAAAGATGCCTATCTTGTTAGTATTGATTATCCTGAAGCCTGCGCTTTGCACGAACCCAAGGCCTGACATGCTGGACAGTTTTATCTCGTTGACGAAGTTCATTTCAACCCAGATATCTACCCTAATCCAAACCTGTGGGACCCTGGTAGATATCTCCCAAATGGGTCTCAAAGCAGTGATATTCCACTCAGTTATCTTGGTTGGGGAGCCGGCCGGCATCCATGCGGTAAGCTGGGATCTCAACTATTGCAAATGAACAGAATCAACGGCTAATCTGACGCGGTCTCATGCAGTGGGTATGAGAGTAAGTATATTAAAGCCTACCAATATTGTGATTGCCCAGCTTACACCACTCGTCTCAGCTTGCCAAGCTCAGTGTGGCGATTCTTATAAGCAGTTTTGTTTCTACGTTCACGTTTACACTATGCAATGACCAAGGCGAAACCGTCGCTGAGCCGCCGATGCCAGACCGCAAGTTGCATAGTCCCCGCAAACCATCTGTTCCTGTCAAGTTGAGGGTCAAACGCATATAATCATCAAAATAAACTGTAAGCTTATGGTTTCCCTTTCAGTTGCCAGATATAAGGGTTCCGTAATCCATTGGTCTTCCTCGTCCTTACTTTTCCTCGCAAATGAACCTTTGACATCTGCAGTGAGATTTAGATGTCAGTATACGTACCTAGCTTGGCTGTGGGTATCCATGAGGACCAGTTTGGCTTACAGCTTCACTCTACATGCTTGGAATAGGCGGTGTGGGATGAGAGGTCCACATAGCTGTACACTATTAAATAATGTTTTCTTTCTTTTCTAATTTAGGAAACAGACGGCTCCCAGTAGCTCTGCACGATAAGGAATTAAGATTGTTACGACGGTTTATGCTCGGTTCGAGAGTTTCTCAAGAAATGATCTTACTGAATCTCCTACTATCCACGCTGCTGAGAGCAGAGAAACGTACTCATAACCCGTGTCAGATCGTATGGTCAAATTATCCTACTGTGTCCACTCAAAGCTGCCCTTTCGTGCTGGGCAGAAAATCCAATACCGCCATAACCCCCAGGTGATCCGTAACCCAGGGCTTCTCGAATCCCAGATTTACAATCTGCCTCCGTTCTTCGTCCCCCTCTGCCAGGATATCTTCTCCAAATCGCTCAAACTTCAGTAATTTGAGAGACCCCCGGAAATAGACCTTGTCCATTCTGGAACACCCAAACTGCGCGCGCTGCTTAGTTGCTGCTTGTTGGCCCCATGTATATCCGTCCTCGGTGTCCTCCTCTCCGCCTAGTTCTAGGAATGCGTCCTTGAGATCATTGTCCACATGCAATGTGCGATCAAACGGCTGGATTGCGTTGAAGTCACCGGCGGCGAGCGCAGCGTCCACCCCATCGTGATGCATATACTGAGCGACTAGCTGCACCTGCGGTGGGCGGTACGGAGGGTCAAGTGCCATGGACTCTAGGTGCGTGTTGCAGAGGCGAATTCGCTTCTCCTCAAGCCCAGTGGAGACGTCGACGAAAAGGGCATCGCGATCCATTCGCGTGTGAGAGTAGTGGACACGAAAGACAGACGTAATCGGCAAATGCCTGCTGACAAGGACAGTAGTGCCATACTGCGTGGTGGCCCAGTTGGCGGTATCAATATCTGTCAGGTGGAAATGGGCTCGCACCCACGGAGTCGCAGCAATTGTTTCCAAGTCAGAACGGGTGCATTCTTGGAGAAAGATAACAGGGGCGACATTTGGAGGGAGAAGGTGCGTAAGTTGGTGAAGATGTGCCAGCGCTGGTCGCATGCGGGCTGCGGCGAAGGGAAGCATGAAATCAATGTTCCACGTATAGAGTGCAATAGCGGTGATGGCTAGACGATCATGATCATTGTCATTGCTACTCAATGGCGACTTGACCCAGGTGGATGTTGCGGGGTCAAAGCCATAGTAAGCCTGGGTATAAGGTTCGTCCAGAGTCCAGGGCACCGACGTCTTCCGAAAGGTCGCGGTGTCCCTGATGGCCTGGGTCATAAGCGCTTCCATGGCGATGGGTGGGGATTTCGATAGGGGGAGTGTCGAGGTAAGAGGAAACAAGAAAGACAAACAGCTGAAATTGAATAGACACAGTAACGTGATAACAGCTACCTCGCTTGGGTTTTATTTGTTGTTACCCCTCCTTTCTGCTAAGCCACTCCTAGGCTATGAGCCGGAGATCCGGCAGTTCTGTGGTAGGACTATATCTCCAACACTGGAGGGAATAACTCGATGTCCCAAGGATAAGATCAGATATGTCAAGGACATTATGTTCAAGACGATGCCACGGTGAACCATATGGTATTGACGGTGGTTTCCGTACGAACATAGAGATGGAATGGCCTAGATCCATCAGAAGCTTATTAAACCGTGCTTTTAAACTTAGACCCTACTCCCAATCACTCCAAGCCACCCACCTCAACGCCACTGGTCCATACCCATCCGTTTCTATACTTTCTCTCAGCAGATATATTGTTTAGTTAGTTTGTTAGTTTGTTTGTTTGGTGTTTGCATGGTCTGTTGTTGGACGACGATGACTAAGCTACCCCAGTCACGTGTCGTATTTGATGCATGGATGACGCAGGACGGCCGACGATCTCCCGGATGCGGGTCAGCCTATCGAAGGGCATCTCTCGTACTCTCTCCGCGTCTTGTTCCTTTCTTGATTTCCCCTCCTTTGTTACCTTATCGTCCCACGTGTGTCTACAGAGTCTCGATCACCCCTAGACTAGCCTCCGGGCCGTGTACTCTGCAAATATTCGCTGGAACCTAGTCGCTCCCGGTGCCCCTCAGACGCGCGGCTGGACCGGGGTGTCTTTACGCTACAGCAGGCGGTGTACTACTCACCAGCAGTCGTGCCCTTTCCCGCGGAGATCATATTGGCGCAAGATGGCGGCCCCATCAGGCTTGCATGCGCATCTTCATCACGGTGCGACCGATGCGGGACCCAGGCTAGTCAACCGGCTACGTGACAGCCGGTCACCGTATGTTCGAGCCCACATGAATAACCCAGTCGCCTGGCAACTGTGGGACGCAGAAGCGATCAACCTCGCCAGGCGCTATAACCGACTGGTGTTTCTCAGCATCGGTTACTCGGCTTGTCACTGGTGCCATGTCATGGAAAAGGAATCCTTCATGTCCCCGGAAGTGGCTTCCATCTTGAATGAATCTTTCATCCCAATCAAGGTGGACCGCGAGGAGCGACCGGATATTGACGATATCTACATGAACTATGTGCAAGCCACCACTGGCTCTGGTGGTTGGCCGTTGAACGTATTCTTGACACCGGATCTAGAACCGGTCTTTGGTGGTACCTACTGGCCGGGACCCAATTCAACGACGCTACTAGGTAATGAGACTATCAGCTTTGTAGATATTCTGGAAAAGCTACGGGATGTTTGGCAGACCCAACAGCAACGGTGTCTTGATAGTGCGAAGGAGATCACAAAGCAACTCAGGGAATTCGCCGAAGAAGGAACACATTCGTACCAAGGAGACAAGGAAGCGGATGAGGATCTGGACATTGAACTTCTGGAAGAGGCTTATCAACACTTTGTGTCTCGCTATGACTCTGTACATGGAGGGTTTTCTAGCACACCCAAGTTCCCAACCCCCGCCAACCTCAGCTTTCTGCTCCGGCTTGGGGCGTACCCAAATGCGGTATCGGATGTTGTTGGTCAAGAAGAATGCGAAAAAGCGACTGCCATGGCAGTGCATACGCTCATTAGTATGGCACGTGGGGGGATCCGTGATCATATTGGACATGGTTTCGCAAGATACAGTGTCACTGCTGATTGGAGCCTCCCACATTTTGAAAAGATGCTTTATGATCAGGCACAACTCCTGGATGTATATGTGGATGCATTCAAGATAACACACAACCCTGAGCTGCTGGGTGCCGTGTATGATTTAGCCACATATCTGACCACCGCTCCTATTCAGTCATCCACTGGCGCTTTTCACTCTTCGGAAGACGCGGATAGCCTGCCGTCACCGAATGACACGGAGAAACGCGAGGGGGCATATTATGTCTGGACACTGAAGGAACTGACACAAGTGCTCGGCCAACGGGATGCTGGGGTTTGTGCTCGTCACTGGGGTGTACATCCTGACGGTAATATCTCCCCCGAGAACGATCCACACGACGAATTTATGAACCAGAACGTGCTTTCTGTAAAGGTAACACCGAGCAAACTGGCAAGAGAATTTGGGTTAGGGGAAGAAGAAGTGGTAAGAATCATTCGTTCGGCGAAGCAGAAACTGCGCGAGTATCGGGAACGAACACGAGTCCGCCCTGATCTGGATGACAAGATCATTGTCGCCTGGAACGGACTAGCCATTGGGGCACTCGCCAAATGCAGTGCTCTGTTTGAGCACATTGAAAGCTCCAAGGCAGTACAGTACAGGGAGGCAGCGGCAAAAGCAATTAGCTTTATCAAAAATGACCTCTATGATAAACCAACCGGGCAACTGTGGCGTATTTATCGCGATGGTGGCAGAGGTGATACTCCAGGCTTTGCTGATGACTACGCTTATTTGATCAGCGGCTTGTTGGATATGTATGAAGCAACATTTGATGACAGCTATCTGCAGTTCGCAGAGCAGCTTCAGAGTAGGTGTTCTGTCAGACCCTCATCTTACTGATACTAACAATACTACCAGAATATTTGAACGAGAATTTCCTTGCATATGTGGGATCGACTCCGGCAGGTTACTACAGTACACCGTCCAACATGACATCAGACATGCCGGGTCCTCTGCTTCGTTTAAAGACCGGAACCGAGTCGGCCACTCCATCAGTTAACGGAGTCATTGCACGCAACCTGTTGCGCCTTGCCAACCTGCTCGAGGATGAAGATTACCGGCTGCTCTGTCGCCAAACATGTCATTCTTTCGCAGTCGAGATCCTGCAGCATCCATTCCTCTTCGTCGGACTGCTTGATGCGATTGCCGGACTGGAAGCTGGCTCGCGGAACTTCACAGGCGTTCTCTCTACGACACTTCTTCCCCAGACCGGGCCTGGACCGTCAGACCGTCTCAACAGCAATTCCGACGAGCCAACATCCGTGCGGGACCTCATTGTGCAGAGACTCCGGGCAGAAGCCGGTCAGGCGATATCAACCTCAACGACCACCGTTTCCCTCATTGACATCCGCCCTTCGCACTTGGGCGACTTTGTAGGTAATCAGTCATTCTGGTTGCGGACTCGGAACAAGCTGTACAAAGATTTGAAGCCGAGTGAGCCAGCGAAAAACTACATACTTGTCTGTGAGGGGGGCAGTTGCAAGATGGTGGATGTATGATTCTGCAGGTGTTGCTTTTGCGACCGACCTTTCTCATTACTTTCCGTACTGGGGCTATCTATGTTCTTCTAATTTATGAATTCGGAGGCTTTCTGCATTAGCAATGGGTTCATTGTCTGTTTTCCGAGTCTGGACAGGATGGCTATAATCAGGCGTGCAGTATCATTACACAGGAAAGGAGCAACGAATATACTTCTCATATAAAAAAAAAAAAAAAAAAAAAAAAAACAAGCAACAAACACATCCCATACATTCATCAAACAGGCATAAAGCACACCCACAAAATCTTCACAGTAAACCAATAATTAGAGATACGCCCAAGCAAGGAAATACACCGAACCACCCCTCCCAAGTCCAAATCACAGATCCCCCAATAAATCAGATACACAATAAACCCAACACGCGATCAGACATAGATCGAAGATCGCAGAAAACCCAGGCCGACAACGCCTTGTTTCATATAAATTAAGCACGGTAATTAGCCCTCGCCGATCACCTAACCACTTATCTCAGCAATCTGATATATATGACGATATCGATCCCGTGTGTGGGCTCCCCCCAATTAATCATCTCGTCTTATATTAGGGGGCTAAGGCTGCAGTGTGGATCTCGGAGCTGAAACGTTCTATACTGCGTATGGGTAGATGAGGTATTTTGGACGCCGAGATCGGTCAAGCATTCTGGGTGAGGTTCTGTGTACTAGGGTCCTTTGAGTAAGTATTTACTCGTGTGTGTATGGAGGTTATGGTTGTATGCGGTTTAATGGTTGTTGTGTGGAGATGATTATGCTTGCTATGTACCTTGGTTATAACTAATGGGGGATTTACTGTTCTAGACTTGTGTGTACTGGTATCTGTCTTGTTCTTGCTTGCTTGTTTGGCTTAGATTAAAGTAAATATTTTGAGGATTGATCTTTCTGGGTATAAGTATTGGCAATCTTTGTTTGTTAGTAGATTGATCGGGGTAGATGTAGTGCGATGGTAGAGTCGGTAGATGAGGAAGTAGAAATGGCGGATTTAATAGACCGACTCTATGGATTGAGTAGAAACAGTCTCAATGCAATAACAGATTCAGCAAACTCAGTGAAATACTGGTTTTACATGAAACAGCAAACTGCGTCGGAAGGGTTGTTAGCATTGGGCGTAGTGCAGGTACCCAACACAGAGAATATGGTGGGTACCACATCCGATATCATAATGACGACCGATACTGTGCTGATGAAGAGGAATTAAGATGTTGGGAATGGAACAATGCCAGATAAGTGAAGTGGTTGCCACGTAAGGGTACACAAGGGTAGAAAAGGTTTGGGGAATATTTGGAGGATTTTAGTGACCACATTTGAAGAAGCTATAACCCTTGGGAAGTTATTTGTCTTACATATGTCCTGTATATAAATGTGAACACATACTTGTATCTCACCACTAGTAGTACCTAGAATAGGCGTTTATAGATCAGAATGTAGCTATATCTATATCTACTGAGCAAAAGAGCATAATGTTAAATGTATCGAGCCCATGCTTGTCTTGCCTTGGTGCCATAACATCCCTCGCATAAATCTGCCTTTCTTGCATCCACAAGTTGTACTTGATTTGACATACCATACATATATATATATCTCTCTCTCTGCGTAAACGCCCACCCAAGTCCTGTAAGAGTACTAACATGTATAAACTTAACTAGCCTCGATGATCAGCGTCCCTGCTACTCCAGCACCCAATCGAAACCAACTCCTACAGGCAAGTGCAGCTCCATCGGCGGTGAGCGTGGACCTTCACCTGGCAGGTGAGGACGAGGGTAATTATGACAGAAGGCGGAGATGATGTCCAGGGTCGTTGCACTAGCTACTAGATATGGTGTTAATACGATTGGGTCTACTGGTTAGGGCGTTGGGGTCGCGTTCAGGGTAAACTTTACTCTCATTAGAGTTGGTTTTCGCGGATACAGGAGCATCGGTCTGTGTGTGGTCTGGTTAACGGTGGTCGTCGTCAGGACGGTCATTGGTGTGTCTCAGTTGGCGGTACCAGGGTTTTGTCCCGAGCTGTACGAATGGACTTTTTGTTTGGAGTGTTTGGAACTCGTCATAAATAGCCCGAGTAGCATTTCAACTCATTGTTTAAGGGATGACTGGTTAAACCAACCCACGTTCGGTTTTAGCAATAAAACATACTGCTCTTTCACTGGATGTAACGGATGCCAGCGCAGTATTCATGATGATAGTCAGAGAGCAGACTAGTAATGACCACAGGTAGGACTGCCGTATGCTTTTCTCGCAGGAGATGATGGCCACAAGAATCTGTTTGCTCCCTAGCTGGGGGGGATCAGGAGACCACAGTGGACTAGATATGATCTACATATGGAGTAAGTCAGGGCGATATTAAAGAATAAAAGCTGTGTAGATCGAGGTCGTCTGATCAAGAATCTCTGTAGATGAATTAGATCTATCAACTGCAGTGACTCACTCCTGGTCCTTTTGTTGGATCGTCTTCATGCTTCCTTTTGGATCCATACTCCGCAAGACAAAGTAGCCTTGAAGTTTTATTTTCAAACATGTTCCAGTCATGCTCTATTTTCAAGATTACTATAGTCCTCCTTTCATACTACTACGCTAATGCTCATTGTCAAGCTACTCCATACAGCGCGGGTCGAAAGTCACAAAGGTAGTGTCACGACGTCGCTGCCGCTAGGGAGGAAGAACAGAATGGAAAACAAAGATTGATAGGGGTGAAACAACATGTGATGAGTACCCAGGCCTACCGTAAGGTTGTCCTTGACTCCAGAACCCTATGTGGAGGCGCCAGCTAAGTCCGATGGCGTTAGGGCTTGTCGTACAACTCGTAGGCACTTTCCCGGCTACTAGTAATAGTTGACCACCATCAACACAGGTCGGATGCGAGAAGGTCTATATTTAACCGTCCATGGTTACACGGGCGTTTACGTAGTCGTCGTCTGTACGGTATGCATGGAGCCGGTATCATGTACATTCCATACCTAGGTACAGTGGTGCACATGGTCTCTCTCAGCATCCCAGTACTCGTTCACGTGGAATGCCGACAATCCGATTTCGACAGGAAAAGAAGAACACACTTTATCGTATAAAGTCCCCAATACGCTAGGGAATAAGTTCACGCCTCGGGAGACCGACCACTTTGACAGATCATGACAGATCAGCTAAGACCGCCGTGGTTGTTTAAATTACTCAATTCGCCAGGCTCGACTCGGCAACGGTACTTGGGATCCATTCGGCTAGACAGCCCAAGACGTTCTGGACTGCTCGAGACAGCGAGGACAAGGAACAGCCGGTGAGACTGGGTGGACAGGGTGGACTGTGGTAGTATGGATAATGGGACAGGACGTCAGCATGAGTCGTCAATGGACAGTTAATATCCATGTTGACGGGGCAAATCTCCGAGGAGGCGGAAGATGAAACATTAGCGAGTGGCAGATGGCCGCCAGAACGGCTGCCGAGTTGCCAAGTCGTTGGTGGTTGATCGTAGAATTACCCCTGGTTGGGTGGTCCGTTCATTAATCTTTTGCCCGTTCCTCGTGGGTGGCGTCTCGGATTGGTCAGGCAAACGGAGTTTCACGGGTTTGAACCATCTCTGAAACCATTTATTTTCTTGTCATATTCTTGTGTATTATTATTATTATTATTATTATTATTATTACTATTATGATAGAAAAAAAAATTAAATAAAAAGAAAATATCACGTCTTATACCAGTTCATTTTTCCATTCTCTTCCACACATAGTATGTGGGGTCTCATTCAACTCATTGTGCTTCTGAATGCCATTGATCATCGAACAATGGGATCTCTGATCAAGTACTAAGTACTAGTGATCTTCCTCAGTCTCACTGAGTCTCCATCCTGCCCAGAAAATGAGAGTTGTATGATTTCCATGGCATTGGGTTAAAAGTACGAATCAATCTTACGTTTGTCCGCTTTTTTTTTTTTTTTCTTTTTTTCCTTCTCTTCTTCTGCCTTTTTCTGACTAGTGGTAGGGGCTGCTCCAAGGTTGCAGGGGTCGAGTACCTGCAATCTCCACCGCCATTTAGCCAATGGGACAGGGTACCTGACCCGGTCGGCATGTTGATTGGCCGGACCGGGGTTAGGGTGTGCCAGGGGTACAGAACAAATCATCCATCTTGCGGACGGGGAAATTCACCGTCATCTCGTTTTAATATCTGCAGAGAATCTTATTAGATTACCAGAGAGAGACCATGATCAAGCAACCCCCGAATCATTCCATAATGGATAGCTAAGGTTACATCCTTTCCATGGCTGGGAGATTCTTTCAGGAGGTCGACAGGAATGTATTTCGTAGTGGCGGATGGGCCGGCAGACTGTTCCAGACGATCTCCGGTATGTACGAACTGACTTGGTGGTTGGGAGGATAATCAGGGGATGAAAGAAAAGCCCGTCTCTTTCCTCAATTTCATGTCCACTAAAATCAAAAACTCTAATGGTTCGTTACCGATCTTCTTTGTGCAAAAAGAATAAAAAGGAAAAAGATAAAATAAAAATAAAATAAAAAAGAACGGAAGACAAGATCACTAGGATCACTCACCCACCTCAAAAAGGATGCTGGGTTGGATTCCTCAGACTGAATTCCTACGATCCCCCATCTAGAACTCTCCTTTAATCACCAGCGCAAAGCCAAGCTCTCTCCCCAGCTCATTTCATTTGTGTTTAATTATCCCAGATCGCGCGGCCCCACTTGGAAAAGAGTGACCACGCCCGTTGAGGGGCTTTCGACTCTCCTTTCCGTGATTAAGGTCCCCATCGACGGTTGTTTAGTCCGCTTCATCACAGCCGTCTCACGCTAACTGTGTACCACTACCACTATATTATCACTTCTCCCTCCACGTCCTTTGCCACCTTCTCTTTTGTTCCCCCATTGCTGGTCTCTCACGCATTTCCAATCTCCCTCGCCTCCGGTACACTTTTTTCACTCTTTCAAAAAGTGTCTCCAAGGCTGTCACTCTTTTTGTCTATATTGACCTCGACGGAACAGCGTACATACACCCAAACCACCTTTCTTTCCAAAACCCCCTGATCCTCAAGTCCAATCGCAGTCGATCTGCCTGTTGTCGGACGCCTTTTCTCCATCCATTTCATTACTTAACTCGGTCGGATAGCTTCCCGGAGAAGTCGTTTTCTCGATCGAACGCAGTTGACCTGTGAAAACACCTCTCGCAAACCAAACCACAAGACCACTCAATCGTCTCCAACCATCAACCACCATGCGGTCTTCCTTGCTGATGGGCGCTCTTTGCGCCGCCGGTGCCATGGCCAACCCTCTCGAGAAGCGGGCCTACACTACGGACTGGACCATCGTCACTGTGACCACGACGATCACCGCACCTGCGGCTCCTGCTCCAACGGCTTCCTCGTCGACATACGTTCCCGTCCAGGAACCCGTCGCCAGTGTGGAGCCTGCTGAATCCGAGACGCCTGCACCGGCACCGGTGGAACAGAGCTCGACCGCTGTCTTTGTCGAAATCCCAGCTACTTCTTCCGCTCCTGCGCCTGTGGAGCCCACCACCGCTGTGCAGCCAACAACCACTGCTGCTGCGGCCGACCAAGGATCTGCCTGGACCTCCGCTTGGACCTCGGCGTGGACATCGTCCTGGACCTCTTCGGCTTCCCAGCCAACCACCCTGGCTAGCACCACCTCCAGTGCCAGCGGCGCTGCTGCCACGAATGGTTACCAGTCAAACGTCTTGTACAACCACAATGTTCACCGCAGCAACCACTCCGCCAGCTCTCTTGAGTGGGATACCTCCTTGGAGCTAGCGCCCAGACCCTCGCCGCCAGATGCGTCTACCAGCATGATACGTAAGGGTGCCCCTACTTTTCGTTCGGTGTGAAATGTACTAACGGTTGTTGTAGCTCTATTAATGGCGGTGGCTATGGCCAGAATATTGGATATGGTGTCTCCTCGGAAAAGATCGGAGAGATGATCACCAACCTGATGTACAACAACGAGATGGGCTACTTCGAGAACCTGTATGGCGAGGCCAGCCCCAGTATGGACAACTTCGATGCTTGGGGCCACTTCTCCCAGATTGTGTGGAAGGGTACCACCCACGTTGGTTGCGCTACCGTGACCTGCAACAGTCTTGGTAACGTTGATTCGTCCGTGGCGATTCCCTTCACCGTTTGCAACTACAGCCCGGCCGGTAAGTAATAGACACCCTTGGCTCCCGTTGGTGTATTCCAGGAATCCTGACAATCGTTTAGGAAACTATGCCGGCGAGTATGCCGACAATGTCCTTCGTCCCCTTGGACAGGCCATGTATGTCGCTTCTTAGGTTTCGAGAGTTGTTTTCGCCTCGACTGTGCCGGGAGATCAGTCTGTGCACGTTAGCGGCAAAGATTCCGATCCAGGGTAGTGATTGAATTGCTGGGGTCGGGTATGCACCCGGGAACCGCTCGGTGGCCAGATTAGATGAACTTGGCCAAATCAATGGTGCACAGATCTTCTCCTGTATCGGCCGTCCGCGAGATGTGAAACTTATGAAACTCACCAATGGAGATACGCCTGGCAATTGTCAGCTTCTTGCTTTTATTTGAACTTTTTTCCTGTCTCCTTCGGTTCTCCTTCGAGACCACCTCGTGCTTGCCTGCGCCAACTCGCCAAGCTCATGATCGTATCCGCCATCGGGGGAGTCTAGCCATCAGGTTGGTACCGAGGCGCAGGCCATGTGAGGTGGAATTTTTGATTTGCCTTCTCTGTGAATATTGATTTTTGCCCCGTCATGGTACACCAATGGCAACATTTGAATCATTTGATTCTTCATCTTTTTTTGCTTCTCCGTTTGTGCTTTCATGTGTTCATATGAGCGTCTTGCCGGAGCATTTTTGATGACCAAAAACTAAATGATGAGATTTCCCTACGAGAATGATTCCCGCGGCATGTAGACCGTACTTGTACTAGTAGGGCCCAACATCGATCGCCGAATGCGGCCAGGGCACTGACAGATGTAGTGTAACCAATGAACGGCATGGCTGAAGTAATCGAACCCCACGTGACCGGCCCGTTGGAGATTAACTTCCCCGCAACCAGAAGTATAGCTGCACAAGTCGACCTCCCCAGCCAGCTCCCTTCGTCCGAAACGTCATCGGGCAGAGAATCCCCGTCCAGTCGGGTTACAAATCTGCAGCGCCTAAGAGTCTATTTCCGCTGTGACGGTAGTGGTGCAGCCTATCTAACCTTGGCCCTAGGGTAGCTGCTGAAGATTGCCACATCGGATTGAAATCTGGCGATACGACGTCAAAAGTCGGGAGGATCATTAACTTGACACTTTCGATCTACAAGCTCTTCGCTTTCCAGTGCTAGTCGACTGTCACCGTCGCTGAGCTGTCATAATTTAGCCTGTCAATTGGCAGTACACGCAATTTTCGACATTCGCAACTTCGTTTCTAGTTTGAGAGACCAAAGCAGCTCTCCTTCTGTCCCGCGTCGCTGGTCAAACTCCACTCCGGTCTTTTGTATGACGACAGAACCGGTCTAGGAAGATTACGGTAAACTAGTCGAAGGCACTAGATCAAAGAAAATTATACCAAGTGCCTTCCACTGGTGATCAGTGTTAAGTTCATCTTTGTGGTTTTTAGGCAATTGTTCGCTCGTCTGTGCGACTGCGACCCACACGTTCTATATATCTCTTGGCGCATCGCGAAGCTACTATATCGACTAAGCTTCTTCATCCGTTCCTCCGATACCACCTTTGCCCCAAGCGTGCCGACGCTTGCGCCTGCAACTGCGGTCCGCCGTGTTTTATCCGGCTAGCAGACCTTTGACTATTGCTCTTGTCGTTACTCTTTTTTTTGGTACCTTGTAAGCGTCCCTTTCTCCGTCCCCAGGCCCTGGTTTCCCTTAGCCCGGCGCCCGAGCACATGCTCTCCCCGCGCCTGTCGTTCCTCCGGACAGCGGGGCTATCGAATGAGTACTCTTATATCCTATATAGCCCTTATTTATATTATAGTTCCCCCTCGCTCCTTTCTTATCTATCGTTTGCCTGGGATTCGTCACTGTTAAATTGCCTTTATCTTCCTCGAGGCCTGCTGTTAGTTACTATCCCGTGATTGGGTTGGTCATGCGCTACTAGCCAGAACCCATGCCCTCATACTGCCTGCAAGATTGTCACTACTTCTATCGCACCGCTTTGCGCCTACTGTCCATTCCAACCTTCCTCGCTTGTCGCTACGCTTAGTTGATCATATTCTGGAACTGAACATCACTTACTGACATAATGTCTTATTCGTCTGTCGCAGTTCGCCACTTCACGGCCCCAAAGCCACTATTGGACGCGATGGCCACCCCTCGCTCTCAGCCTACCATGGAGACTAAGATCAAACCTACCTCGGTGGACGGCGTAAACGGCCATAACGTTGCGTCGGAATCGTCGAAGAAGAAAGGGTCCACGTTCGCTAACCAAGAGTCTCTCCCCAAACTCCCTATCCCGGATCTAGAGAGCACATGCAAGAAATACGTTGAGGCCCTGTCTCCATTACAGACGCCGAGAGAGCAAGAAGAGACAAAGGCTTCTGTACAAGACTTTCTCAAGTCGGACGGCCCTGTGCTTCAAGAGAAGTTAAAGAATTATGCGTCTTCAAAAACCAGCTATATTGAACAATTTTGTAAGTGTATCCGTGAAAAGAGGGAGACATATCACATTGTTGAATTGAATGAGAGCTAACACTGCCGCTTAGGGTATGATTCTTACCTGAACTACGACAGCCGTAAGATAAATCCCCTGTCACAGAAATTAACTGGGGTCCATCGTACTGACTCTAATAGCGGTCGTTTTGAATCTCAACCCATTTTTCTTGCTGGAGGATGACCCCACGCCTGCCAGGAATCACCAGGTCACTAGAGCAGCATCGCTTGTTGTATCAGCCCTCAGCTTTGTCCGAGCCGTGAGGCGGGAAGAACTCGAGCCCGATACCGTGAGAGGGACACCACTATGCATGTATCAATATTCTCGGCTGTTCGGAACAGCACGTCTACCCACCGAAAATGGATGTGTTATCAGTCAGGACCCCCACGCCAAGCACATTGTTGTCATGTGCCGGGGCCAGTTCTACTGGTTTGATGTCCTCGACGAGAACAATGATCAGATTATGACTGAGAAGGACATCGCCCTTAACCTTCAGGTAATCATTGGGGATGCGGAACAGACCCCTATCCAGGATGCCGCCAAGGGAGCTTTAGGTGTCCTCAGTACGGAGAACCGCAAAGTGTGGTCGGGGCTACGGGACATCTTAACGAAGGACGAAGGCTCAAACAACGCAGAATGTCTCAACATTGTTGATACAGCACTCTTTGTTCTCTGTCTGGATTATACTGAGCCGAGCAATACGTCTGATCTCTGTGCCAACATGCTTTGCGGTACGAGTGAAGTGGTCAAGGGTGTACAGGTCGGAACTTGTACCAACCGGTGGTATGACAAGCTCCAGATCATTGTGTGCCAGAACGGCAGTGCCGGTATCAACTTTGAACATACCGGCGTGGACGGCCATACGGTGCTGCGTTTTGCCAGTGACGTCTACACAGACACCATACTTCGCTTCGCAAAAACTATCAATGGACAGGCGCCCACTCTGTGGGCAACCAACAGCCCCGATCCGGCCAAGCGTGATCCCCGAAGCTTTGGCAATGTCAGCACTACGCCCCGCAAACTAGAGTGGGACATGCTTCCTGAACTGAGTATTGCCCTGCGATTCGCCGAATCTCATCTCGCCGATCTTCTCAAGCAGCACGAGTTCCGTGTGCTTGAGTTCGAAGGGTATGGTAAGAATTTCATCACATCAATGGGCTTCTCGCCAGATGCATTCGTCCAGATGGCGTTCCAAGCTGCGTACTACGGGCTGTATGGCCGTCTGGAGAACACCTATGAGCCAGCTATGACCAAGTTCTTCTTGCACGGTCGGACCGAGGCGATACGGACTGTCACCAGCGAATGCGCCGATTTTGTACAGACTTTCTGGGGAGAGAATCCAGCAGAGCAGAAGGTGGAGGCTCTGAAGAAGGCAACTCAAAAGCATACCGCTACTACAAAGGAGTGCTCTAAGGGACAGGGGCAGGATCGACACCTCTATGCATTATACTGTCTGTGGCAGCGGTCTTTTGAGGAAGGCGTTTCCTCTTCTGGCAATAGTGTAATAAGCAGTTCCAACGGCTACTCTAGCCCTGCCGAGAATGGCTCTACTATCGACTCACCCAAGTCACCGTTATCGGATGATGGCGTATCCTCCACGACCAGCTATGGCTTGCGTGCGATTCGCCCGGCGCCACCCACCCCAGCACTCTTCAGTGACCCCGGTTGGGACAAGATCAACAATACCATCCTGTCAACCTCGAACTGTGGAAATCCATGTCTACGGCATTTTGGTTTCGGCCCAACGTCTGCGGACGGCTTCGGAATTGGCTATATAATCAAAGACGACTCAATCTCGTTCTGCGCCTCGTCCAAGCACCGCCAGACCGCTCGGTTTTTGTACACACTCGAGTCGTATATGTTTGAAATCCGAAAGCTGCTACGCGCCACAAACCGGAATACGGCCAGTCCACGAACCAGTCGGGCCCGGGAAATGGAGATCATCGCCGAGCGGCTCCAAGGGGATCACCGTCGGGGCCGGCTCGTCCGGGGAGATCCTGGGGCAGTGCGCCGGGGTGCCGATACGCCAACGACCGACAGCGGAGAAATAGAGGACGACGGCATGGGCGGATGTAAGTTACCGACTCAATCAATATTGAACAGAACACTAACAGCATGTCAGACGGGTTCTTCGATGCCGGGATGCTATTGCATGCACTCAAAGGCTTGACTACAGACCGAGAGCGTAACGGAGAGAAACCCGAACGTCGTCGGTTTGTTGGCAAGAAACTACGTCTAAATGAGTACTGATTGTTTCTGCCTCGGGAGTTTTGGTTGTTCATTGTTGTGAATCTACAGTATGCACCTTTAGAGCGAGATACCAATGCGATTACTTGTTCTTCAAAACTTAGTCCTCAGTAGTTTTGTTGGATGCGGATCATGTAATGGAGTAGATGTTGTATCTTCAGAATCAAATCATAGCATACCATGCCTCTGAGTCATTTTTTGCAGTTCAAATGCAGTCACGACTGCACTGTGAGAAAAACTTTCTGCGAGGTAATATTATTAATCATGAATAAATAATGAACCAACCAGAATTTGGCCTGCCGCATACCGAAAACGTCGAGGAACATGGAGTTCCATCAGCTGTGTTCACGCCACCGACTTTCTGCCCAACCGACAATTGTCGGAAACAGTTTTCAGTTGAAATT